TTTAGCACACACAATGCAGACAAGGCGCCCAGTCCTGCAAGCTTTGTGCAGCGCATCGCCTTGATGACGGCGTTCGCTGAAGACTTGTCGCAGAGCCTCAAGAAGGGAACATGCTCTTCGAATGCTGATGTTACCAATATATCAATAGATATTGGTCTTACCAAAGAGCCCTACTACAGTGACAAGTCAGCAGCCATCGCCCAAGCTACGCCACTCTTCTATGCTTCTAATCCGAGGCATGTACATCTTGTCGGCTATGACACCCTAATCCGCTTCTGCAACCCAAAGTACTATCCTAAGCACGACCCGCCGCTCTCAGCCCTTGAGTCCTTTTTTGCTGCTGGTCACAAGCTGCGCGTGACCCAACGACCAGCCGATGCGAACGACGAGTCGTCGCGTGAGTTTGGCTCAACTCAGGAGCAAGCCAAGTACCTGCAAGACCTAAAAGATGGAAAGCAAGAAGAAGCCGGCTTCCAATCCGCATGGAGCAACAACATAGAAATGGTCGAGGCTGAGGAAGGTGTTGGGATCAGCTCAACGCGAGTGAGGGATGCTGCCAAGCAAGGCAGATGGGATATTGTGTCAGAGCTGTGCACTGAGAGCGTGGCGGCTTGGATCAAAGATCAGAAGTTATACAGTGAGGATGCAAGTGGCAAGAAGATGATGAGCTGAATACTCAATCACCGCGGCATCTCCGATACTTTTCAGCATGCAATACATGTTGCTCATTTGTAAGAGTGCCTCTTCCTCTGAGTTTCGGTACATTTCGGTTGTTTGATCATCGTAATTGCTGTTGCTTCTATTGTGTCGTTGCCCCCCCCCCCCCAGCTTTCCTCGTCCAAAACATGGGCAGGCACTCCACGTGGAAGAGGGCCCTACCTGTCAACAAACAGCAAACCTCTTTGCCCTATCCATCTGCTCACCCTCTCACTTCCACACCATGGCTTCCAAGCTGTGTTGCATAACAGAAGAGGACGAACGATCGAACTCACCCGAGCTGCCCAACGTCCGCCTCAGCCAACTTGCACCCGCAAAACAGTGTCTTTTACCCGAACAGACCAGCTCACCAAACTCACAGTTTACGAGCGCCCGTTCTGGTGATTTCTACAAGCTCAGAGAAATCTTTCAGCATGCCCACCACTCCGATGAAGATCGTGATACACCCCTGCAGGCAGGTCCTGCGCGTTTCAGTCGCCCTTCAGTCCACAGCATACGCTCACTTCGCAAAGTGAAAAGCATGCGTTCTGTGATCAAGAAGAAGTTTTCCAAAGACTTTAATAAAAAGGCGCCCTCTACTCCAACACATCACTCTGATGCGAACGAAGGCACTCCTAAATCCACACCCGACACTGTGATCAAGCTTCAGAAAAGGGGTCCAAAGCAACAGCTCCAGATTACCAAACTAGAGTTACACAATAATCTTCTTAGCAACAAAAAAGCCCACGAAGGAGGCTACGACTCGGATGCCCAAGTGTTGGACGACGTTGCCAGAAATGCCGGCAAAAGATCACCTAATAAAAGACCTAGTATTCACAGCGTCGACTGGATTGCCTCACCTGGAAGGTAATTTGAAGATAATCGTTCGTTTGTTCGATACTCACATTTCTCAGAAAAACGACCCCAGAGTCATACACAAAAGGCTGCGCTAGTGGCGATCCTGAGCGCGACCTTCGCCCATATGATATCGCGGACCCGCAGACAGTCTCACTATCCAATACATTCAACCTAGTGTCCAAAGCGCCTATCCTAGTATCAGACACGTTTGATGAGAGAAGACGCAGGCTAAAGCGCTCGTACTCGGCAGAGTCGATGAGCTTGCCAAAGCCCCCGCCAATCTCTCCATTACGATTACCAGGTCTTTCGAACAACGATACAACTGGCAAACCCTGGTCGGAAGTCATGACTAAGAGTCTTCGGTCATCACGCTTTCCCGTTCTTCCACGTGAGGGCAGTCCTATAATGTTCGGTACCGACTTGCATGTCTGCCGAAACCCAAAGCACAACCAGGCACATCATCGACGCCGGAACAGTGATTCCTCAGTAGCCCCTAACTGCACATATGATATGCTCACATCTTCCGTGGCTCGCGTAGTGGAGATTCGCGTTCAACAGCCAACCTCAACAGCCACCCCTAGACCGTCCATGTCAATTCAAGGCACTCTGCGTGAGATATCTTCTTCTGCTACAGTTGTTCGTCTCGAGAAGTCTCAGTGTGAAGAAGCAGATAATGATTCCCACCATTCGGTTCATCTGCAAAGCATGCGTATCTCTCACCATCTACGCTCAGGATCATTGCTCTCGTGGGACAAACTTGCAGGCGCTTCGGAGGTACCTGGATCGCCTTACGACTTGCATGAACATACCTCTGCCGATTCAAACTACTTTTCAGAACAAAGTCAGCAGCTGCCTCGCCATCGTCGGCAGACATCGAGCTCTGGGATAGCAAGCTACAAGATTCCGGGTGGCTGGGGAAATGTCGTCCCTAACGATGCAAACATTCGGCCTGATTTTGCGTCTTCTATATACTCAAGTAGACCACAGAGCCCGCCTGGCAGCTTTGGCGGATCTATGATCAACCTTTCCCGGACTGATACTGAAAATCGGCCCTTCAGTATCTCCACCTCAGATCTGCACAGGGCTAGATGTTCGTCATCCTTCCCAACGGATAACGAAGAAATGCCAAGGCCAAGACAGCGGCATGGTCTCACGAACATGAAGGTTTCACAGAGCTATAGAGCGGAAACTCCACCATATACTCCACCAAGAGCACCTTTGGCACGTAACAACAGTGTTGCTGATACCAAGGTTTCCAAGTTTCGGGAAGAGTTCAGTCCACCTGCTGCCAAAAAGAAGCTCACACATTCATCCTCGATAATGAGATTCTTGAAACCCAAGAGACTCAGCTTGCGGAGTCAAAGCGAGGTAAGTAATTCTCCTGAGCAACCGATTGCCGGCGTGGACGGTCCTTTTGATACACTAGACGTACCTGCGGATCGAGAACGCCGACAATCGCAATCCCTGGTGAGTTTGCGTGCAGAACAGCAAGCTCTCGGCAAGAACAAGGGCGCCAACCAAGTTTGGGATCGTGCATTACAAGCTCATCAAGAAGAGAAGGCATCCCTGTTTCTCCCCAAGAACAAGGATCTTGCTGTACAGTCTAGTCCTTTCAGGGAACGCAGTGGGAGTGTTTCCACAAGACGAATCAGCGTTGACGACGGAGATGTTTCCATAAGAGCTGAGGAATCAAACAGGCGTCTGTCCACACTGAATACTCTTACATCAGGTGGTGATAATGATGAGGACAGACCATCAACTTCGATCTTTCGACGTCGCGCCCTGGCAAGTGGAGACGATTCCGAGGTAGGAAAAGAAGTGGTGGATGCCTACAACCGACAAGGCGATGATGTAGAAGTTGTTGGTGCATGGGGTCGCTATCCTTCTCACACACGCGAGGACCGAACCGGATCTGCTGGTAAAGTAGATGATGTCCAGCCCCGCGACTTTGCACTCGAAGCAGCGATAAAGTCTACAGCTCCAAATGATGAAGAGGACTTGGCCGATCCAACGCAGCGAAGACCCTCGACTCCGCTCCTGCCGGGCGAAAAGAAAAAGAAGAAGAAACTCGGCAGCATGCGCATGGCAAGAAGTAGCTCCATGACGTTTGGCAGGGCACTCATGAAGAACTATAGTAAGATGTTCAAGAGTCAGAGCACGGAGTTCAGGAGGCATGGTCGCGGCCATCGCAGCTCGATTGCGTCTGGTGGTGTTCTCGAACATCCTGAACTTGAGCTGTTTCCTGAGGTGTGGGCAGGCAGCTTAGTTGAAGAAAACAACAGTGGTGCACGAGGCGATCGTGAGGAGTTCGTTACCCCAAACCAGAGACCAATGAACACCGCCAAGGGCAAGGACAAACTAGTCGTTGATGATACCATGGCAACGCTCCGTCCACGCCACAACTCATCTGCACCCAACCTCAGTGAGCTTTCGCTCCGAGGCGGTGACGCCAACTACGATCACTTCCATGACCTTGCTCGCGGCTGGTCAGTCTACTATAAGAACTGCGTCGACGAATACCCCCGCCCAAGCACCGGTGCAAACACCACAACAGCAGATTTTGGCGCACTCGCTCGTCTGTCTTTCGACAGCAGACATATGTCTCTCCACTCTTCCATAATGCGCAGCCATATTGGAAGGCAGTCGCGCAACCCTAGTCCCGTGAGCCACGTGAGCTGTAACATGAGGGGCGGCGATGACGCTGCGAGCGAGAAGAAGAGTATGGTTAGCGTGCGACGTAGCACTATGGATCTTATTTCGAAGTTCAAGCACCAGGAGGTGGCGGAGCATGAGAAGATGCTGAGGCTTCGCTTGGGAGAGAGTGGTGAGGGGATGGGGGATGAGGATGCGGCTTGAGGGTGTGGAGTCAGAGTGTAACTTGTAATGTTTAATATTCGCTTGGGGAAGTAGCAGAGAAGATAGTTATAACTTGTATGAAATAATTATCGTAATTGTAATTGTATCAGTTGATACACATACTTTGTGGTGTAATCACTGTGCGATATCGAAAACAACAGCCAAGTGCGAGGAGTGAGATGTTTCCAACAGCAGCACCCAACATCATCAAACCGCAGCACGAAAATCGCTTGGATTTAACACATCTCCCATTCGCCCCCCGATATCCCAAACTCCACAAGGAATCTTGCCTCTCCAATCCCAATCCACCTTATCCCAAACCCTCCCCCAACTATGGTTTGCCATCATTTATTCAATTCCCCCCCCCCCCGACTCACCGACACAGTCAAATCCCCCTTCGCCATAAAAATACACTGAGCTCCACACACACAACAAAATAACCATATTCCTTTTCGAAAATCATCAAATTGACAACAAAGTTCCATCTCAAGCCCCGTTTTTGATTGTGGAGGGAGTTGGCTTTCGTATTCAGGATGCCAAGCGAGGAGAAGCAAAGTCAGAGCGCGAGGGGGATTCCCTCGGTTGCAGAGATGAATGCGAGGTTTGAGGCGAGAATGAGGAGGTATATGGGGGAGGGGACGAGGGATGGGAGTGTAGAAAATGAAGGAGGGGAAGGAGAAAATGTCGGGGTGTGTGTGAAGAGGAAGAGGAGTGAGAGTGTAGGAGATGGAGAGGGAATGAAGGGTGAAGAGGATGTTGATTGTGTTGGTCAAGAAGATGAAAAGGAAAAGAAGATGGAAGCAAAGGGAAAGGGAAAGGGAAAGGCAGAAGCGAAAAAAGAAGCTCGACCCCGGAAACTCATTGTGAAGTTGAGATTTGCGCACTTTCCCGTGGTGAAGAACGATGAATCTTCATCATCACCATCATCTTCATCTTCTTCATCTTCTTCACATCAACCCAACCAATCCAACCAACCCGGCCCGTCCAGCAAACCCATCCAACCAAGCCAATCCAACCACGCCCAAACAACAACGAGCAAAGCTCCTGCTCCCGCTCCCGCTCCAAAATCCCTTTCTAAAAAATCAACAAAACAATCATCCCGCAAGCAAGCCACCCTCCCTCCCCCATCAAACCCCTCTTCAACCACCACCATGGCACCTCCACCCCCCAAACAAAAACCCCTCCCCCTCCCCCACCTCCGCATAACAAACGAACCCCCCATCCCCTGGACGCCCATCCCTCTCCCGTGTCCCCTCCTCCCAGACGACCACGAAGGCGCAAAAGCAGCGTGGAAGCGAATTTTCCCTAACGAAAAGGAGTTTGGCAAGTATGGTGGGAAGTCGACGGGATGGATGGAGAAGATGACATGGAAGAAAGAGGGGTGGATGGCGAGGGAGGAGGGGGATGTGTATGTGGAGAGGTTTTTGGGGATGGTGCCTGGGAGGCAGGGAGTTAGGGGGGATGAGGGGAGGGTGAGGGGAGGGTGAGGAGGGGGTAGGGGTGGAGAAGGGTGGAGAAGGTATGGGGTTGGATGGTTCATTTTCAAATACTACATACTACTTGAGGGAGATGATGGATTTGGTGGGGGACTGTGGGTGTTGGGAACTTTTGGTTTCTTTGGTATCGACAGAGGTAGCTGGTTTAGCGAAGCTTGAGGGGTCTTGGGTGTGGTCTGTTTCATCGCAGTGGATGGATTCTTCTTCGTGGACTACATCGTTGGTGTGGGTAGATTGCTTTGCGTTTTTAGGTTTGCGTGCGTACCAGAAGAAACTGGGGAGTTAGCATAATCACAAATAGGTGTCGGTGAAGACTTACACATCAGCGTAGTAATGGCGGTCCTTTCTCTTTGCTTCCTGCCTGCAATCGGCTAGGAAAACTTCTACCTCTTCTCTAGACCACTTGAGTATTCGTGTGAATAGACCGAGAGAACTGCTGGGCAGCCAGTCCATCAGGTCTTCATATACAAAGTGTCCCAGCAACTTGAACCTCGCGCCCTTTGCCCACTTGCCTACTGGCCATTTGTACATCTTAACATGGATATCTGTGAACCCCGCATCACGCAGCTGGGGTGTGAAATGACGAGGGCCTGTACCATCAAGACCAATCTTCTGCGCAGCCTCGATGAAATACTCGGACCAGCGTATCAGCGGCGAATCTTGTGCAGTCACATTGGTATCCATGCACCGGATGGGAAAGGCAATGTCTTGACACTCGAGGTAGCCATCAGGGTTGAGGTTATCATAGGCTTGTTCGAAGAAACGAGGCCAGTTCTTGATCGCTGCTACCAAGGCGCGCGAGTGAATGTAATCGAATTTATCGTGGAAGATCCATTCTTTTTCGCAATCATCAATTAGGAATTCACAGTTAGGTGGGACCTGTTCGGGCTGGATTGGACTTAGATCTGTGCCTAGGACACGAGCGGATGGGTGCTCGTCTGCGAACTCAATAGCCCATATGCCAGTTCCACATCCTACATCCAAAACACTTTGAACATTCTCTGAAATAGGGGCTCGATACAGCTTTCCGTCGAGTGTAAGGCGAAAGGCGTGGTGTTGGAGATCGAGTCTATCCGCCTCGGTCTAGCAGAACTGGTGTAAGCAACTAGTCCATCTGAGTGACAGCAATGCGGGGCGAACCTCGTCATTTGGCACTGGGTACATGCCCTCTGCGTAAGCATGGTACCGCCTGCCATTTTCATAGCGGAAGCTGAATACAGACGACGTGGCAGACATTGTGTAGGATGATTGAGTGTCTCCAAAGGCAGAGTCGCGTTCGTCGCTTTGCTCGTTCTGCCATGGCACCTATTTGTCAGACAAGGCATCTTAGGATTAAGACGCTGAACGGGACCCACGTCGATTTCGAGCGACGGTTCGGAGCTGCTAGCCTCTTCAGCTGTAGGATCGCTATTGGCATGTGGAGTCGCTTCCTGCGCATCATTTGACGGCGACATTATGGTTATCGGTGGGGAAGCAGCAAGACACACCGGCCGATTGCTGGTTTTAAGCTCTCTGGTGGCATGATTTGAATGCCTCTCAAAAGGCCAGTTCTCCGATGACGGGTCGGTAAAGGATGAGAACTGTGTTCTCTAGTTGGGATTTTTCAGGCGCCCCATCCAATTCTACCGGTTGTTCGTACAATCCAGCGGAGTTTCCCACACCTCTGTATCTATTAGGAATAGTCATTTTGATCACTTGCAGATGCCTTCGGGGTTGGTGGAGTATTTTGGCGTATTGAGATGATAACAAAATTCGAGTCGGATGTGGTTTGCCTTTGCAGTAGAACCGTCCATGGTGGGGCGTAGTGTTAATTGTTGGGTTTGTTATGGTTGTTACTTTCAAAGGGTTCTTGAATTGGTACTCTCTGCACTAGGTGTTCCTGTAGAATGAGACACACAGGCTTGAGGGCTGAAAATAGTTTGGGAGACAGGATGATGGGCGTACGTGAGGTTACAACTACCTGCGGCTGTGATTTGCAGATGACCCCACTGGCCCTCGGTGGCTGCTGTCAGTAATAGCTGAGGCAGAACATTTACGCGAGACGGCCACGCGTGAACTGTTGACCAGTCAGAGTATAGATAGCTATGTAAGAAGCTGTCTTCACAGCTATAGTTCGAGGAAAGTAGACGACTGGGACCCTGCGCCAAGACTACAAACCCTTACTATACTCAGCCCACAGTGACACATCATCTGCTTTACTTAATCCGTCGTCTCCAAAACTTTCTATCGAGATTTGCTACCTCCGCAGCGACTGCATACTTAATCACTTCTCTGTCATATTTATCCCTTACCTAGAAATCACTGCCTCAATAACCAGCACGAACTGGCACACTTTGCTTTCCCCCATCGCACGACCAGAGAGAGCTGCGCCCTACTCAACGAAATACGTGGGTCGCCACGATTCGCTGCTTCTACAACCAACATCAGCTGTTCTTAGTCAAACAAGTACCGACGGTAGTCCACTTCAAACAAGATGCATTCACTCTTCACTTAGTTCACGCACGAAGCAAACAGGCACATTCGATAATGGGGTCGTTACATGAAATTACAATTATGACTACTTGCAGTCAAGGAACTGCAGTCCCCTTAGTAGGGACGACACACATAAAGGATTAGTATGGGAGAAAGGTCATTAGGGGACGGATGTCATCCATCAGTTGCTTCAACCGCGGAAGCTACGAGCCACAACGGGCTCTGACCTGGTCGTAGGAGCATTGGCTGCACGAACGGGTCCCACACCGGGCAATGGCCTGAAAGCCGGAACATCAGGCCAGTTTCCTAGGCCGGCAGGATCACCACCGAGTCGGATCCATTTGGCGTGCGAAGGGATGTCTCCCGCAAGGACAAACATACGATACCAGCCGAGTGGTGCAATATATGGTCCCTTGGGCGCCTTGACGGAGCAAGCGTTTCCTGAGCATGTAACTTGAGGGAAGAGGATACGTGCACCCATGGAGCTACCGTGCGTACTGGACTCGGCTCCCATAAGCGACACCTTGATGGGTCCACCTGCGCTAGATGTGACAGTGAAAGAGTAGTCGGCCTCCCAGTTCCAGTCATTCTGAGGAAGATCAAAGGTTGGCTGCGGGATTCCAGAGAGGAGGTATGGGGGAAGGAAGACCTCCAATCGATGCTCCTGGGGGTTCACGTTGTCCTGCGGGTCTGAGCCAGACACAAGAACTCTTCCGTCGTCCATTACTACAGCCTCGGAGTGGTACATGCGCGCAATGGTGGTGTTGGCCATGACGCTCATGCGTTGGTGCTTGGGCTTCCTGGAGTCGTACAAGACAGCGTTCAGGTTAGGGCTTTCAGCGAGACCAAAACCAGCTTCACCAATCTCGGCTCCGTTCAGGATCAAGAAAGTGCCATCTGGGAGAGACGCCATGCAGGACATGACACGACGGGATGGCATACGCTCAATTGTCCACTTGGGTTGGGCAACATCTGGTGCCATGCTGACGCAGTTGTCAAGTCCATAGCGCGGGTTCTTTGCTGCGCCACCGCAGATGAGAACCTCAAGAGGATCGGTGTAAGGGTAGTGCTGAGGAAGGAGAACCTGAGTACCCTCGTATGGGTAGGTTCGGCCTCCTGTAGGGTCGGTGACAGCAGCCGGAACCTTTGGCAGAATGGTCTTGGTGTCGAGAGTGACCTCGTCCAGGATGCGGGCTTCATTGTAGTACTGGATGAAGATACCACCGGATGGAAGTACGACAAGGAAGGGGTACAGGTTGTATGGGTCAGTGTCTTGCAAGTACTGTGCGTGCTTGACTGCTCCAGCCTTGGGTAGGATCTCCATGTTCGGCACGGGGGGACCGTTAGAGCCGTCCTGGCCACCGACGATAAGCATTGAACCATTAGCCATAAGGAGACCGGTAGGATACCAGCGACCTTGTTGCAGCTTCACGGTGTTCACATCCTCCTGCCAGTTGTTGGTACCGTTGACGCCAAGCGTGCCGTCTGGCGTGTACATGCGCACACCGAACAAGGAATCAGTTGACCAGCCACCAATGTTGATCTGGCGACCAGCACGGTCAGGTAGAGTCAAACCAGCAGCGCAAAAGATGTCGGTCTTAATACCGGTCAACTCACGGAAGGCGTGGAAGATGTCACCTCCAATCGAAGGGTCGAGCTCGTAAGCACCGGTTGAGTTGGGCTCTCCAGTTCCGTACTTCTCGAGGAGAGAAATTTTGCCATTGACTGCGGGCTGCGAGATCAATGGAATAATTGGACCACCGACCAAGAACTCATAACGTCCAGCCGCGTTGCCTTTGGGGTAGTTCCACACATACAGTGGATCAGCCCCCTCCCACTTGTAATAGGACAGACGGTTACCCTGGCCGCAGATTGCCTCAGGTGCACCGGGGCATGACATGTTACATTCTGACTCAGGGGCGGGCTTGGAACCGGCTTTCTCGATGCCATCCAGATCACCGCAGAAGCACTCCTGGCCATACTCCAATCCAGCATACATGAAGCCGAATTCTTGACACTTGTTAAGACACCATTCTGGTGAATTGCCAGTCTCGTTGACAGACTTCCACGGGAAAACTTGGCCACCGATATCAGTGATGCAGCCTTGGTACTTCCAGCCACCCACAGTCTGTATGGGCTTTGGTTGCTGATAAATCTTGAGGGGATCCTGGCTGGAATAGATGCTCATCCTGTTGGGACCTCCACATGTCTCGGCTTGATTTCCGGCACATTTGGTATTGCACTCGGACTCGGACTGAGCCAGTGCGCCTCCCATCCTGACCTGTTGAAGTTAGTATCTGAGTACGAATGAAGGGCGTTGGTAATGCTCACAAAGTTATCACAGAAACACTGGTAGCTATACTCCATGGCAGCGATCTCAAAACCGGCCTGGGCACATTTCCTGGTGCATGATGCAACTGTCATCTGCTGGTCATCGGGTTGTTGGTTGTTGAGAATACGGAATCCAGGTCCATCAACGTAGCAACCCTTGTATTCGAAGCCTTGAGGAAGACCGCTAGCAGCTGGTGGGGCGCTGGACGTGCTGGCTTGAGCAGTAGTCGTAGGTGTGGTGGTAGTAGCGGGAGCTTCAGTACTGGAAGCGGCAGCACTGGAATCGGCAGCACTGGAAACGGCCGGACTGGAAACTGGAGCACTGGAAACAGCAGAGGATGAGGTGCTGACTTCATTGCCTGTGTAGAACCTCCACAAGGTCAATCGGTCAGGACCTCCGCATATTTCTGTTTGGTTCCCGTTACAGGCCATGTTGCATCCCGTGTTACCGTCGGGAGCCGGTCGGCCTTGATTCCGCAATTGGTTGTCGCAGAAGCATTCTCCGGCATACTCGGTACCAGCATAGGTGAAGAATGCTGTTCGGCATGCATCTCTGCATTTCTGGTTCGTCATGCCACCAGTTACTCCAAAGGGTGCCGACAGCGACCTTGCTTGGACGGAGTCGGTATAGCAACCTTCAGCGTGCCATCCGACTTTGGGTTCCTGTGCGCTGACTGTAGATGCTACAGACAGTGCCAGGAGCAGGCTGTGGGATAGCCTGAGAGCATGAGGGGGCGCCATGTGAGGCGAGAAACGATGGCAGAACCGAAGGACAGAGGAAGACAGTACCGAGAAAAGTCTCGACAGGCAGGAATGATCGCCCGGTCGATGAGCCCTGTGAAATCTAGATGGCACCCCAACCGATATCTATATATGTTTCTCATAATGGCAGACAGCGACGAGATCGGGACATTGGCCAATGCTACGCCTAATCCGGTCACTTCGACACAACGAAAACCTAGTCAGTCAGCTTCGGTAGTTTAGCTAGGCGACGGGTGAGTTGCATGGCTGTGGCGGCGAGGGCGAGCAGGAAGCAACTAGAAAAAAACTGGACCGATTCAATAGTCATGGTCCCCGTATTACGGCTGAAAAGCGGAATAGGAAGAGGCCGAGTGTCGCTATCTCGTTGCTACTCGCTTAGGGCGTGCGTCCCGCAGCTTGGTTCTCGCCGGATGGGTATCGTGCCTTATCCCGGCCAATCAAGCACAGAGCTAAGCCAGGGATTCAATTTATCTATTCACAAAGTTTCCTGTTTCGACGTGGATGGGTACGCACTGGAGGAGTACTCCAGGCTGAGGGCTTGTGGTAGCATGCCTGAACAAATGGCCGCAGGCGAATGACTGCGGTGTGGTCCCATGGGGCCCATGTGAGGATCCAGGTCGCGCCATGACAGCGCACACGTCCGGCGTCCGAGGCCTGAGGCCGAGTTGGGTTCGCGGCATATAGTGTGGTGTTGACGGAAGAGTAGTTACGAGGGTGCAAACGTGGGCTAAGTTTAGCACCGCTGGTCTCTGGGACTCAGCTAGCGTCACCAACCCGGCAGCCCACAGCGTTGGGTGCAACACCAAATCCGTCGTCGTCATCAATGAATTTGGCACTTGAGCACACTCGATTTGGAGCGGTTTGGCCGATGCACACCAGCGGGTCGATAGATATGGAATCGTGTCAGCATTGGGCAAAACAGGCAGCAGATGTTTCCCCCTTGCAAAGCTCACGGCAAGGCCCTGTCGCTCATGCGAGCCGCCCCGCAAGGCATTCTTGGTAAGATAATATTATACTGGCGCTAAACAAAAGCCCAGTGTGGAAACAGACAGCAAAAAGTGGCCTTACTAGCGCGCAAAGACATGGCTCCTCGTGGAGATGGCCAAGAGAGGCCGTCTGGTGGTAGTAGGCTTGTGGCTGGGTAGGTAAAGGCATGTGACCCGGGGCTAAGGCAGCTGGGAGTATACCTCGCTCAGCCCTGTCCAACGTCGCCGCCACTTTACTCGTCCAGCAGCTGAGTTGGCGGGAGCCAACGCGTGCATGCCAGTCACGCATCCTACGCGGCTCTTTTCATCGCCAAACTACGCAAGAATAGGATTAGGGAACCCTGGCTGCCTTCACATGCATGCTCAAAGCCTGTGGGCCACTATCTTTTCAACTTTGCTTCTGTCCACGGCCCTAGATTGATTCACCGGAGTACACCAAGTCGTCGGTTGGAAAGCCGTTTGTTCCATGATAGTTCGAGTCATGCTTTTCACACACCGTTTTGTGTACCACCTTCGGACCCAAGAGAGTATTAGCGCTTCGCACACCTACTTCCGACCTTTATCGAGGCCGTCGACTGCCCTGCATAAACCCAGCCGCCAAGCAGCGGCGACGCCAAAAAGGAGCACTCTTGGCCTTTCGCAACCAATGGCATCTCTTTAGCGTCGCCCCTTTTACGAATTATCTCTGCACAATCTCCTGGCTTCTTGACTTATCACACGAGTATCTTGCCTATACGCATTGGGCGCCAAGACCAGCCTTGCACAGTGACAGTGCTGTATCCAGGATCCAGGCAACTAGCTACCATACTGAACATTTCAAATCCTCCATTGCCCAACGATTAGACGCAGTCTTCCATTACCAAAAGTCTTTGGAAATTCAAATCCTGCGGCAACATACTCGGCCGAGTACCATTTTCAACCAAAATGGTTACCCAGTCGAGTCATGAGCAAATGGAGCTCATGTATAAACGAGGATAATTTTTTCAGAGGCGCTGTCCACGTGCCGGACACATAAACCAGCACGCCCTGGTAACATTGCATCTCGCCAATCGTCCTGGGCGATTCAAAGCAAAGACTAGTTTGCCGTGAGTACTCACTGCTATCAAAATTGAAGCGAGGCCCACCGGCAAGTAACGCCATTGGAGGCCTGATGAGGGCCGGACTAGCTGAACAACATGGCGGCGGGCGTTCTAACTACACCCATTGGGGCCGTCCCGTCGGGTGGGTGTTGTTGACAGCTCTGCAAGGCCTTTTATGGTCACGTTCATAGTGCCAAGGTAGCATGTTCATTGCCTCAGCGTTATCGCTTCATTTTGGACCTTTGTATCCTTAACTACTGTGTACATGGTGAATAAGCGGGCCCTTGAACCCTGTGTAGATAACCCGTTTGCCCTGCATACGCTTACTATGTACTACATCCATGAGGATGAGTACATGTCCCATCTGGTATGCGTATCACCTGGCACCTATTCCTTTCAGCCTTCCAGCACCCACCGCCCACTCCAGGCGCTTTGACAGTAACCGGCGATGTAGACACAGGGTAAGCGAAGCGTAGAGATCGTAGTTACGTATATACCTCAACAAAACCTCGATAGCCGTGGTGTCAGGGAGCGCGATGGCTTCAGCAAAGTTCACTGTACGACGCGAGTTAGGCCCAGCCCGGCTAGCCACTGCGGGGTAGACCGGTGGGGACGGCACCCACGATAGTAGAAGAGTGCCTGGCAGGTCTAATCGCCATCAAGTCTCAACATCTGCGCCACAGCCAGCAGCCTCTAAATTAGGCTTTTGATTCTGACAGCCACTCATGACTCAAACCTTACCGCCTGTTCGGGCGTGCATATTCGACGTGGACGGCACCCTTATCAACTCAGAGGACATCTATACCACCATTTACAACCACATACTGCGCGAATGCGGAAGGCCCGAATACCCCTGGGCCATTAAAGCCACGCAGCAGAGCAGAGGCTCACGTGTAAGGGTCCCCCCACAATCAAAAGCAATCTTCAGCTCCTCATGTTTGTATGCAGGGCACCAATCGTCTTCTCGCTTGGGCGCAGGTACCACTTTCCCCAGCGGAGTGGGCGTCAAAAGAGAAAGCACATACACATTTGTTCAAGAACAGCGAGACGCTCGCCGGCATCGATGATCTCCTTGGTACGCTGAAATTCCAGACCACGCCACCTATACTGCTGTCGCTAGCTAGCTCCGCAGGGCGTGAGAAGTTTGCGCTGAAGACATCACATCTCCCATGCATTGGGCGAGCATTCCAAGACTCGGCGTTGCAAGTGTTCGGCGACGACCCAGAAATGTCGGATAGCAAGAAGAAGCCTGAGCCTGATATATTCCTTCTTGCTCTTAAGCGGCTGAATGCTGCCAACACGGCGCGTGAAAAGCGCCCGCTTGAGCCCCGCGAATGTCTAGTCTTTGAAGACTCGATCGCGGGGGTCGAAGCCGCACGGCGGGCTGGCATGCGTGTGGTGTGGGTGCCACATCCGGGCTTAGCACGGGTCTGCAAGGGACGCGAGATGGATGTCTTGATGGGGAGAACAGAGGAGGATCGTCAGGTACCCGACTATGCAACTCCTGTTCAGGGCGAAGCGAGAGGTCCTGTGGTTGGTGAAGATGGACGCCTGATGTCAGAGGATGGACTGGTGGAGATGAGGCACAGTCTAGAGAATTTTCCCTATCGAGCATACGGGATCAATGTTGTCGAATGACAGTGGATCGACATGATAGCTTTGCTGCCCGAAATGACAAGAAAAAAACAAATATAGAAGTGGTTGGTGTTTATGAGATACTGTGTAGGGAAAGGTTCGACTTGACTCGGTTAGTTTCTCGTATCGAGCCGCAGCTGTCTTTCTTGACAGATAGCGAGCGACTCGAACATCTGCACATCCCGTGTGACAAGACGCTAAGCTCGGTAGACACAGACAAAAAAATCAGTATTACTAGAAGCGAGATGCTCGGCAAGCCGTAATTGAGCCCAACAAATGACATTCAACAGAACAATTGAAACGACTCTGCGTACTATCTCAGCCACGAGATTTACACAAGCACCGCCAACATTATTATTATTATTATTATTTCACCCTTTCCTATACCACCCACTCCCCACAGCCTTCGTCTTCGCCTCCCCCGTGTACCCCTTTGCCCACTCATCATAACCCGCAGAGTTGAACCCACTCATATCCGGGAAATCCTTAGGACACCCCAACGCCTTAAACCCCGGCACTAACATGCCACTCAAGAAATTAACCACACTCTGCACCAGCACCACCGAGTTGAATAGTTCACTCGGGAAATTCGCATAGACAGCATTATAAAGGAAACACGACAGCGCCTGGGGGTTGTTAGGTAAATCCACGGGTCCCACAACCCATGACTGATCCGCGCCCGCTCCCCCGATCGCCGGTCTAGCGTACAGATAGACGTCCAGGATACCTGCGGCGGCCTCGACGACCGTCATGGGTGTCGCGCGGCGGTACCAGCCCTGCTCTGGAATGCGTTCGGGGACGCTTGTGTATTCCAACTCCGGGTCGTTCCACTTCCCGCCTTGCTTGGGCTTCGCGCCGTAGAAACTCGTGATGGAAGCTTCGTTTGCGATGGTGCCGTTTGAGAAGAAACCGGGTATGAAGTAGTAGGCGCCCATTACGACGCCTGCGGAGGGGAGGTTGAAGTAGAATTGAGCATTTGCGGCGCGAGAGGCGGCGTAGCGGGTTTTGAAGTGCTCTTTGATGGCGTCGGTGTTATAGGTGCCGTTGCCGTGGGCGAGGGCTTGCTGGTGGAGTTGCTTGAAGAGGGAGGGTTGGAAGGAGATGTTGTCGCCTTGGAGGTAGAAGTCGAAGCGTGTGGCTGAGGCGTCGCCTTCGTTGAATTTGCCGTGGCCTGCGATGCCCGAGGGGGTGCCGAGGAGGAAGTTGAGCGCGCCATTTAGGATGCCTACGCGTGCGTCCGGTCCGCCGATGCTCATCTTGGTGGAGAGGATGTCGCCGCCGTCGAGGGCTCCGCCGGTGGCGAGGAGCGCACTTAGGTCTGGGGCCATGTTGAAGACAGCTTGTGTTCCGGCTTGGATTTGGGCAATGGTCGCGATGCCGTTTCGTGGGATGTCTGGGCTTGTTAGTTGAATACAAGGTAACGTTATAGTGCAGAGCTTACATCCATGATTTGCCAATGTGTTGAGACCAGGGCAAGGGCCACGCTGGTCAGTAGGGCCAGGAGGCTGGAAAGGGTAGTCGGCTGGGACTCGTTAGTAACCTGTGTGAACTAAATACAGTATACATACCCTCAGGGAACCTCCTCAACCCCTTCACAGAGTCGGATGTCGGGATGAGTCCTAGTAGAGGGTCCAAAACAGGTTTGAGGGTGTCTACGAGTTGGCGAGGCTCCACTGAAGCAGCATTTCGACTTTGCAGCTGACGCTTAACTTCAGCGCGTGCTTCTGGATGGTTCAAGAGAGCCTCAAGACCTTCGGGTTTGAGCCATGGGAAAGCTAGCGCCGAGGGGGTAGCGAGGAGAAGTAAAACCGTGGAGCGCATACTTGCTGTGGTTGATGCGATGAAGGAACTGACAGAAACATTGCAATGCTTTTAAATTGGGCCCGCTGCTCTTTCGCATCGTACTTTCCATCTAACGTATCCAGCCTCAACACAAAAACCTTCGTCATTGCAAATACTCTTTTTGCTTTCTATGGGTAACTTTGGGTTTAGTTTGACACTACCAATCATATCCCTACACTACACCTGCCAATTGGAACCAGTTCAATATACTTTTTGTGGCTATAACCTGATTAGATAGAAAAAAAGACGCACGATTTCGTACGTGGCTGGTGAATTTAACTCCAAATTAGGAACAACCGGCCTTTTCTGGATAATGTCCAGGTGCTGTCCCCCGCGCACCATCAACGACTAAGCTTTTGCCGGAGCGGGAGAGCGGCTATCCAGGATTTCTACGATCGCTTAATTTGATCCGTCCATTTGGAGTAGGATGTTCGAGCGCTAGTGCAACGCTTGGCCTAGTAGTACGCCGGATGTGGGGTATCTTGACAGACGGTTGACGTTGACGTCCCGCGTTTGCGATTTGCAGATCTAGAATCGCTGATCTTGACCCAAATACATATAGTTTCCCGTCCGTTGCGGATGCCTGCAGTACTCGACTGTAGGTACGTAATAGGCCAAAACCTGGTAGACAATCATGTGCACTTTGTGTGGCACACACATGGCTTATCTTTTCTTGACATTTATAGCCTTAGGTATGTATTTTTGTGCTGTTGATGCTTGGATATATGATCAGAAAGCCTGCAGAATGATGGTATAGACATCGTCGATGAAAGTGTATAGTGGAGAGCGGTGGGCCATGTGCAAAAGACTGGTATGCACTCATAGAGAAGTAACTCCGCTTCCTAACCGGTGTTGGTGCTAGTATTGACTCAGCACCCAGCGAGCGTCGGAGTCTGAACCGTGACCTTCGCTATGAAGGACCGGTAAGACTAAAGAAACCTCCGACGTCATCAGGGTGACGTGAGGTTTGGTCCACCATCTCGTCTAGGCAGTTACTATCAGTTTACCAGCTCAGCCTAGTGAAGTCAGGGGTGAGACTCCAGTATCGATGAATCAGAATTTAATGCACGTTGAAGATCGAAGCGCAGGTATAAGTAGTTCAAAGGACTCGTTGTTGAAAACAACACCCAGCTTATAACCAGTCTAGTTTCATCTCAAGCTATGTGAGGTCGCCATGTCCCTTTAGTCTGATATTGAAAACAAATCATCCCGCCAACACCGGTACACAATGTACTGACAAAGCGCATTGGCGCGAAGCGGATGTGGCCTGTGCGACGGGAATGACCCAACATAGTGGTTTTGACTGCAGCGAGCACGACACACCAGAAGCGCTAGATGTGCTAGTGTGACATTGAAGATGACCTCTCCTGATTGCGGAGTCGACACCACTGTCTTTGGAGTTGGAGCTGTGAAAGCTTGCGTGCAAGATGATTGCTTACAAAAGCTACACAAAAGCAAATTAGCTGAAGGTAGAGTGTGCAACAGCAGTACCGTAGGCTCGGTACCAGCCTTGATTCAAGATAGGGCTGGCAGGATATGTTGTACGCCTGTTATTTCAGACGACCATTCACATACATTGTCCTACGTGCTTGTGCGTGCAAGGAAAATTTCTCCAGTTACAATCACTGTTTTTGATGAAACTAACAAGCACTATGTTCTGACACCACAAGGAGATAGATTCTACGACGAGACCTGGGATTGCTTTTTTAGTTTAGAAGAATTTTTTTTAGTATTGCTTTATGCTATATATATACATCTAACAAAGATGTGATTGTAGACATTATTCCATAGTTGACGCTCCATCAATGGGACCCTTTGAGGCTAGTCCAGTCGAGGCTAAGGTACAGAAAGCGCCTGGGGTGACCAATCTTACCGGCCTGTCAAAATGACGGCAGTCACTGACTGCCTGTTCCAAGATTGCACCACTTCCCAACACCACTCCGTATTCTTGTCGCAGATATACATACATAAACACCCGACAGTAAGGTCATTGGTACGTTTTGATGCCATCACCTACACAAGATACATACGGTTTACGCCAGAGCATATGTTACCCAAATCTGTCCTACACCAAGCAAGACCGTTATCGAAAACAAAGAACAGATCGAATGAGAAAAGTATCTCCCTGTAGCTAATATTCTGCCGCTGTCTTCAAGTCAGGCGACCAGGTCTGTGTTGCATCCGTTGCATTGGACTTGGGGCACCAAATCCTACAATCACAGCCCATCCGTCTCCACGGCATGGCACTAGCATATCCAAGACACAGCACTCAACGTCGTGTACCGACTATCCCTCCAACAATAGGTTCGTTCAGAACTAACAATCTACCGTTCAAGTCTGAAAGTGGGGGAACTACAGCTCAGTTATACTCACACAACCGCACTGTATCATGATATCGGACCCAAACATCAGAATACAAATCCCACACCCTCCTCTTCCTCTCCAACCCAGAAGCCTTCCCATTTTCCCAACCCAAAAAAGAAAATCTCCCATCTTCTCCTTACCCTCCTGAAGTTACTCATCAACCATGTCCCTCACCCCCAAAGACCAACCTCCCAGCCTCCCCCTCCACAAACCCTCCTCTAACACAACAACCCCCTCCCAAACCCCCCGTGCCCACCACACCCTCCGCACCGAAGCTGCCGCCTTCATCGGCGAGTTCATCGGCACCTTCATGTTCCTCTCCCTCGCCTTCACCGGCACACAAATCGCCCTAAACGCAGCCGGCAGCAAAGAGCTATCCGGCAGCGGCGACCCACTTCCCGACGTATCAAAACTACTCTACATAGCCTTCGCCTTTGGTGCCTCACTCGCCGTAAACGTAGCCATCTTCGCCGACATCAGCGGTGGGAAATTCGTATGCCGTTCTTTTTCTTTTTTTTTCCTCCTCCCTTGACTCCAATCAACCTAGTTACTGACATGATATAGAATCCAGCTGTACGTAACCCCCCTAATTCCCCCCCTCGCTCCAAATTATGTGCATGTATAAATGATTAGTGTCAAAAGGTAACAACAGCACTCTACCTCACCCGCAAAATCCACTGGCACCGCGCCACGCAAACCATTGCTTCCCAACTCCTCGCCTCCATCGCTGCCTCCGCCTTCATCTCTGCCTTACTCCCCGGGCCACTCACAATCGCGACAACTCTCTTACCTTCCATCTCCATTACTCGCGGTTTGTTCCTCGAAGCGTTTGTTACGTCCCAACTAATTCTTACCATCCTGATGCTAGAGGGAGGGGTGGCTAAGCCGATTTATATAGGGGCGTCATTGTTCGTGGCCCATGTGTGTAGTGTGTATTACACGGGTGCGAGTTTGAATCCCGCGAGGAGTTTTGGGCCCGCGGTTGTGGTGGGTTTCACGGGGTATCATTGGATTTATTGGGTGGGGCCGTTTTTGGGGAGTGCGGTGGCAAGTGCGGTGTATGGGGGGGTGGGGTGGTTGAGGAGGGAGAGGGTGGTTGTTGTGTGATGTGTCTATGTATCTATGTAATGTAGGGTGTATGTGAGACGTATAACTACCACTTCACTTGTTCGAGTTCCCTCGCATCGCTTTCTTCATACGCAAACCTTTTCTCCGCATCCTGAATCAACTCGATATGTGTCTTCGATCGAGGCGTGATGCAGCATTCAAACGGCACGGGCCGACTTATTGTGCCAGGCTCGAACTTGACTTCGCTCCGCTTCACACGTCCCTGTGCGTCTACGCTGGGAGCAATGTTGAAAACAGCAAGTGTCTGTGCAATTGTGACGAATAGCGCGTGATCTGCTACTTGTCTCCCCGGACAGATCCTCCGCCCATATCCAAACACGTGCGTCCGCGGGTCTGGTTCCGCTTCTCTCCCCTCTGAAGCTAAAAAGCGCTCAGGTCGAAATGCCATGGGATCGCGATACACGGCCGGATCATGCATGAAGCCCCAGTTGTTCGCTAGTATGACTGAGCCCCTGGGTATGCGGTAACCCCGGTATTCATCTTCTTTCGTGCTCGTATGTGGGATCCCCATGGGAGCGACGAGGTGCCAGCGGTGTGTTTCTTGGACTATGGCGGAGATGTATGGGAGGTTGGGGAGGTCGGCTAGGGTGGGGAGACGAAGACCGTGAGTTAAAGAGTCGATTTCTTGTTGGGCTTTTGATTGGACCGTGGGGAAGAGGTGGATTGCAAGGAAGAAGGTTGTTATTGCTGAGACGGTCTGGTGGGATTGGAGTGAGTTTTTGATTTGGAAATGCGGTTATGAGTGCGTAAATAAGGGGACTCACGGTGTCTGCGCCGCCAAGGTAGAGGGCCAGGGCTGCCCATTTGTGGTAGAATTCCATATCTGGGGTGCTATCTGCACTTTCTATGCTTTGGGAGAGAAAGGACGGCGTATGTCTCTTTTCCCTCATTTGCTGCTTGACAAATTGGTAGGGCCGGGTTGTGCATTGATCGAGCTGTTTTGCCATTTCCTTTGCTGTGCGTTTGAAGCCTGCACCGGGCATCCAGTCGGGTATGTATTTCACTAACGAGGTTAGAAAGTACTTCTCGATGGTCTCTGAGGAAGGTACACAACGAACTGAATGGAAAAATGTCAACAGCCCACCGCCCAGGGACAGTAGCTTCGGCAAACTGCTCCATGGTTTTTTCCGCCACATCAACCAGTGGATCCTTTCCATGTGGAACAATATTGTATCCATATGTGATTTTCAAAATCACACTCCCAGCCTCCTTACGAACATGCTCAAACAGCCGATCTGGCGACTCCAACATATTGACCAGAAACCGCGCGGCTTCGGCCTCTTGGACGCGGTCAAACACAGAAAGCGATGTACTTGTACTCGTAATCTTTGTGATATTCTTCCGGTGTATCTTCCACACATCGTTGTAGGGTATCATGACAGTGGCATGGCGCCAACCCACCCTATAAGCAACAGAATCGTAGTTAACATCAACCCATGCATCCCAGAACAAACAAAGACACTTACATGTCACCGGCAAAGACGAGACTAGGGCGTGACGAGTAGATTGCAGAGCGGTCGCGCAAGAGGTCGAGAGCAATGGTAGGGTCGTTGATGATGATAATGGTCTGGCCCATGGCTGTCACCGAGGAAATGGGGCCATATAGCTCCTTGTGCTGCAACCAGTGATGACACTCGAGCATGCCTGGCTTGGGCATGTCGTGGACGTTTCCCAGTATAGGGATTCCCCTGGGCCCTGGGGGCAGAGGTAGAGCATGTCTGTTTTGCCAGAACCTGATCACAGCATGCAATAGGCCGACGGCTATGAGGAGGAAAGCAGCAACTGGGGTTACAATAGTCATGACAAGAAAGGTTGCATTTCACAGTGTGCAAAGCTGGTGGCTGAAGATGAGGGGATCTTGAGAAATTCGCTACTTTGATTATTGATCCACCTTAGGAAAGGGCCCCCCCCTGCCCCCAAGTGCGGAGACTGGCGGGGTTGGGAGAAAGGGTAATGTGGAGTGTTGGGGCAATCACATGGCACTTTGCCCTATACCGGTAATGCCCGACGCGGTGTAACATTCGTGTGCCTGAGGAGGCGCCGTCAGCGGCTGGCCATGGTGGCCATGGTGGTGATGTCACTAAGACCCTAGTGTTGCTTTTGAATACAAGCGAGAGGGTCCAATCAAGGTTGATGCGAGCGATCTGGATCTCATCGTGGAGAGAAACTGAGGCTGTTCCTTGCGACAAGGATCAATTCGAGGTTCAGTCTAGACTTGGCGTCTATTGACAATCAAGGCAGAAACGCCGGGTCTGGTTCATGGCCAAGCCAAAGAAGCCCAACGCACTACCCACACTCGTGCAGCGCCACGACTAAGTAAGGCCGACCACAATATCATAGGCCAAACTGGCCCTCAACCTCCCTCCTCCTCTGCTCGCGCTCCATCTCCTGTCGAAGCTTTTCTGCATCCTCGGTGATGCCTTTTTCGCCCTTTTTGCGCTGTCTCTCTTCATACAGAGCCCTGCCCTTCATGATCCTGGCGACAATCTCGGCGGCATTGACGTTTTGGAAGCCGTGGTCGCCAATCTCGCAGTAAATGTTCATCGCCTTGGGCACAGCGTAGGGGTCGAACTGGAGTGGCATAAAGGTAGTTTTGCCATGGTAGATGGTTAGGGGAGACGAATACGGGAGGGCGTGGAGGAAGGCCTTGCTAAGGGAGAAAGGAGCGCCGAAAATGGTAGCATGGACGTACTGAACAAGTTAGTATGTAATTACAAAAATCGCCCAAGCGGGGCGTACCTTGCACTGCAAAACGCATAGACCACGTTCAAAAATGTTCATGATCGGGTAATTGATGCCTTTCCAGTGGTTGATGACCTCGTCGTCGTGGATTCCGGCAATCAAAAAGACCGGGCCGTAGTCTTCGCCAGTTTTCTGTATGCGCTCCAGTTTGGCTTCTTCCGTGAACCATCCGTTTTCCCTGGCGCGGTCTTCTTCGCATTGCGTGACGGAGCGCAGGAATTCAATGTGGCCAGAGGAAAACAGATCCCAGCCGCCATCGACATAGACGACCGACTGGCCCTCCTTGAGCCCCTTGCCCTGAACGATCTGGTTGAACTTGCCCTTTTCCTCCCTGACGGGGCCTACTTGCGAGGCCGTAGATTCCTGGCGGGGGTGATCGGGGCGGGTGGGGCTTGTAACGGCGCTGGTCGTGGTTCTCCGTAGCTTGACGGGTCGAGAAGCATGCCAGTACCAGACATCACAGCCAGGGGCACGGCCCGAGGCGTCGGTCGCATAGTCCTTGATGCGCTGCAGCATTTCCTGGCCGGCCTTTGTGCGTTCTGCTTCGTCGCCAGGACCCTCTTCACCAGACAAGCGCTTGTCGAGCGAGGGGATAAAGTGGGAGCGGGTGCACAGCAGCATGCGGCCAACGAGGTCGGTTGTCGAGATGCCTGGGGTGCGCTTGACGACCTTGAAGCGGCCGGCCTGCTTGACATAGCGGTAGCAGTCGCGGCCATCGCTGTCCGAAGTGATGTCATCGCCGTGGACAACATACTGGCAGCCGTAGTGGGTAATCCAGGGCAGCGACGTAACGTAGGGGGCTCGGGGAACGGCCTTGGTTGCCCATCGGCAGGCCTCAACGGCGGTGACACTATGGCAGTCAGCCGGCGCAGGGCGTTTAGGGGTGCAGCGAGGAGGCCTACCGCTCGTCGAGGCGCATTACGGTAGGGCCCTTGTTCTCGAGGATAGCTTCGTCCGAGTGGACGCCGACATAGAGCTCGGTGCCCAGTTGGCGGGCCTGCAGCATTGCGCCGGCATGACCTGGAGGGGAGAGTGAGCGTGGTGAAGGTGGTGCAGAGAGGCAGTGGGCGTACCGTGGTGGGCAAAGTCGAAGCAGCCGTCGACCCAGATGCGGTCGTCAGAGACTGGCATGTCGTGCTGGGGATCGACGGGCCATTGGCCTTCGGTGGGGATCCATTCTCCCTGCGGAGGATTAGCAGGCGGACTTGGGGCGTGTGGGCGAGGGCGTGTTAAGTACATACTCGGGCGCTGTGTCTGCGCTGCATGGTGGGCGGCGTGCGGGGGGCAGAGGCAGCGGTTGTGGAATAGAGGGGGGCGCAGGGAAGGATATTAGATGTTAGAGAGAGGACAGGCAGGGCGGGCGGTTGCTGGCTTGGGGGGGTGGTTGTATGGCGGAGAGGGGGAGTGGTGGTGGTAGAGAAGCAGGGGTGGTGGGCCTACTCCGGCCTGGCTGTTCCTGCGTTGGTCAAGCTGGGGGATGGATGGGATGGATGATAGGCGCGCAGTCCATCAGCTGGCACCGCGAACCGAAACACGGCCTGAATTTTGGCATTGTCGCAGCAGCGCATGGTGCTCGTGGAACGCGCTTCGTGTTTAAAGCTCGTGGCGCCCCGGTCCGCCGAGTCTGTCGCGTCGTGTTGTCGGCTTGTTGTTGTCGCTGTCGCAATACATACATCTAGATATATACATCGACAATCGCCTATCGAAAATATAGCCCGTCAGCCAGGCCGTAGGCGCATGTTCAGGCAGGGCTCAAGGGTGAAACAGCGCCCCTGATCGCTCGGTAGCCCCCACCCTTGTTGGCTGGCTGGATGCCTTCAGCTCACCATGGCCGACCACCACCACCACCTCCCCCTCCACCAGCAGACACAGCAGCACCAGCACGGCATCTTCTCCCGCCGGCCCTCCTTCTTCGGCGGCAGGCATCGCACCGCCTCTAGACACGGCGCCGCCTCCTCCCTCTCCCACTCCCATGCTGCCCCCGCAGACACTGCGCCGCCCCAGCTCCATGTCCAGCCCGCGCCGCCCATCACCACCACTGCTGCTGCTGCCGATGCTGCTGTCCCTGATAGATTAAACACGACCCCTCCCCCTCCCCACGATTCATCAGACGACCCCACCAAGCAGCAACCCACGACCCCCCAGCGCCGCCGCCACGTAAGCAGGCACAGCATCGCTTCTTCCGTCACCGATCTCGGCTCCCAACTGCGCACCTCGCGCTCGGCCTCACTGCGCACCACAAACTCGTCCAGCACCCGCAAGACGTCGTCCTCGTCGCACACGAGGACGCCCTCGGCCACGCTGGCCCTCGCCGAAGCAGACAAGGCCCCCGCGCCCCAGCGCCCGACCCTCTCCGTTTCCACCTTTACTCGCTCCTCCAAGCAAAAGGCTCAGGACGTCCCCCAGAGCCCCTCGAGCGCCGTCGACAAGCCAAAGAACCCTTTCGCCATGGCGGTGCCCATGCCCTTGCGCCACCCACCTACCCAAAAAGACATTCTGCACGCAAACCAGCAGTCCAACCGCACCCTCGCCCCTGCCGCCCCAATCCCCGTCCCCAATGGCTCAAACCCCAACCTTGTCTTCCAGCATATTCAAGAGCTCGCCTCGAAGCGCATCTCTACGCTCGACTACCTTCGCAAGGCGTATGGCCCTCTCTTCCTCTTCCTCTTCTTCTTCTTCTTCTTCTTCTCCTCCTCCATTGCCCTCCGTCCCACTTGCCCTTCCGAAAGCTAACAACCCCCCGCTGCAGTCACGAAGGCAGAATATACTGGTTCAACACGCTCCTCTTCTCCAAATCCGACCTCACCCGTCTCCCTTCCTTCACCTCACGCAACCAAGCCCGCCGCGCTACCCACTACCTCCTCCTCGGCTTCTCCCTCCCCACCATCCTCGACCTCAACGCAAACTCGCCTGCCGACTACCTCAAGGCCCTCAATGCCTTACTTATCGAGTTTGAGCAGTACCAGTCCATGCACCCTGCCGACGGCTCTACTCCTTCAACCCTGAGCCGTGCTCGCCTCCCGCAAATGTTCAAGCGTGCAAACATGGGCATGACCATGGGCATGGGTAGCAAAGGTCGTCGTAGTAGCAGCGCAACCGGTGATTTTCCTATCTTGACCCCGAGCAACAGCTTCAATGGCACAGAGGGCATGGGCATCGACTCGCCACCGACTGATGACTTGCTCCTGCCAAATGAGTCGTATACACACCTGCAGACTCCGTCACTTCCCTTTGATCCAGACTTTTTCAGCACCTTTGCCACACTCTGCGACGTCCTCATCGATTGCTACACGCGCATCCTGTCCATGCTGAGTACCCCCGAGAGTGTCGCCATGGCCGGTGGAGGCGTTCCCAGTATTGTGGGCGACCTGTTCAACAAGGCCGACGCACGAGTCCGGAAGATTATCCTCGCGGGTGTTGTAAGAGAGTTTGAAGATAGCTGTCGTGCTGGGGTTAAGAGCGAGGTTGGCGGCGTTGGTAAGGTTGTCCTGGGCGGTTTGATGTAAAACACAAGGGAAAGCAACGTAACAATTCCTGTCATGACGGCTTGGGAAGGGATATAAGGTTTCATGGGAAATTAACGATTCAGGATTTGTTTTGTGATATCCACTGCCGGTTTTGTAATCTACAACCGGCTTTTTTTCTTCTTCTTCTTTTCTTTTCTATTCTTTTATTCTGTTGTAAGACAATCTTGTTGTAATATTTTGCATTCAATCTTGTGTTGGTGGGCATTTGACATAGAAATAGGGGTGAGGGATACGATATATATAGATCTATGCTCTGTATCAAGACTTGTTTTGTACCAATTCAATGCTTTAATCCACATAATCTTGCTTGGTGCATACTACAACCGGCGTTTCCTTTCTCAACCGCTTTTCTCATAATTCTTCCTGTCCATTTTCATCTCACGACACTTCAACACGGAAACCCCCAAATTTCCACCGCCATATCTACGCAGCAGCAGCAGTACTAGCCTCATTCTTCTCGACCAAATCCACAACCCCCCTCCCCCTCCCCATCTTTACCAACTTAACCTCCTCCCGCCCCTCACTCCCTACGCCCTCTCCCTCATCCACGCCCTCACTCCCCCAAACCTCCTCCTCCTCCTCCTTCACCGCCCTCTTCACATCCCCCAGCTCAATCTTCATACTATACGCATCCTCGCCATCCGCATAATACTTGGCCTCCACCTTGTCCACCTTGAACCCCAGCGTCTCACGGTACAAGTGCAGCGCCGCCGTATTCGACACGCGGACGTGCAGGGACACGTAGTGCGCGTTGAACGTCTCCGCCATGGCGCGCTGAGACTGCCGCATTAGTTTCTCCGCGAGCCCGAGGCGCCGGTGCGTGCGCATGACGGACAAAGAGGTGATGTGGCCGTGTTGCACGCCGTCGGTGGGTTCTTCTTCCATTTTTGCGAGTACGTAGCCGACGATTTTGGGGGGGTCGTAGGGGGTTTGGGGGGGGCGAGAGACCTTTTTTTTGTTTTCAATTCGTCAGAATCGATTTTTATTTTGGAGGAATTGAGAGATTGATTGATTGGTTGATTGGGAATGGAAGGGGTTTTTCAGACAAAGCAAGGTTGAGGGTGGTAAATGTCACGTGCTGGAAACTTACATCTACGGCTACGTAGCTGAGTTGCGGCCAGCTCAACGCATGATACAGGTAGTACTTGCAAAAGTAATTTTCCGGCAAATTCGTGATATTGGCGAGTTGCACGTGCGGAATGTCTTCTGGGCGGAGTACACGAATGTCCATTGTTTCTTTCCTTTCTCTTTCTCTTCTTTTTTTTGAACTCCCGTTTCTTTCCTAGCTCTTTTCGTCTGCAACCAATGCTGTCGTGTTGCGGTTTTTCAGATCGAAATGTGTCCAAGTATCCAGTTAACTCTCAGACCGAAACAAACAACGCGGCTTGTCGGATCGCGGCTGCGGACGGGGCAAATGTTGGGTCAGAGGTTCAGATAGTTACACGAGTGCGTTATGTAAGCCTAAACTGTGGGGTCGGAGGTTGCACTAGTGCGGGGCCTATCTCCGTCGCTTGAGCAATGAGATGTGATCAATGTACTAGATTACATTCAATACCTGATGATATCTATCTAGAAAGCCTGTTGCTACACCATCTTCCTGGTCCTTATCTTTCCATATATATACCACTTCTCCCATCTCAACTTCCTATTACCTTACCGCCAACAACTTCCAACCTTGCTTATATACAACCGGTATATCCTCTCCCCTCCTCTCCATCAAATACACCCAACAAGAAAAGTAAAACATTTATATGTTGCTTAATAGATAACGCGAGAAAATTCGCCCTCACACATGCAAAAACCCAACCAAACTCCCGCATGATGCTTTGTTACTTCATGCTCCGAATCTTCATGCGTTGTAAACAACAAAATATCCTTCATGCCACCATTCTCTAACCCAATCATCATCACCGACCCAGAAGATGATCAACGCTAGGCTTCACAATCGGCAAGTATCCCTCAGTAAGCGGCACATATAGCGCCTTCTTGAGTCCCAGCTCCGTCCCCAAATAGTACAAGAGGCGGTTAACCCACTCACGTCTTGATGCAACGTCCATCTTTTTTGGTTCGGGGATGTCGAAGTCCACCGGAAGATGTACTGGACTGTCATAAGGATGCGCTGGGTTGGAGTCGAAAATGTGGTTCTTCTTCGCCATGTGGTCATACACTGGTGTGCTGTTCACTGGACTGTTGCTTGCACTCGTTGCCTCCAGTTTCGGTACGATGTTGGCGAGCTCCGAGAATTGCGGTGCCAATGCGTAGGCGTTTTTGAATTCCGAACCTGGGTTTGATTGGAAAGAGTCGCTGTTTGGCGACGTCTGAAACGTCGGAAAGTGGGTTGCTGGCGATGGTTGTTGGCTTCCTGGCCCGTTAACATCAGGAACAAGACCCGAGCTTAGAGCAGCGTCCATGATACCCAGTGGCCACAAACAAACATAACCTCTCATCCCAACAACGTCATTGTATGATTTGAGATGTATAGGGACTGTAAAGCTACCGAACAATGCTGAGCAATTTTTGTCAATGACCTCAACCAAGTGGGTAGTAGTGATCGATTGTTGCATACGCAGACTCCTGGTACTGAGTGAAACAGGAACGGACTGCCCATTAGTAGTTGTAGAACCGCTCTCGGCCATAGAAGGATAAGGCAAGGCCGGCTCTGGGAATCGCAACAACCAATTAAGCATCTCAAGAAGGTCACGAAGGAGAAATATTCGACTGGTTCGAAAAAAGCCCCAGATCCAGCACCTCTTCAGGCTTTGGTATGCATGAATCTCTGGCGGCGCACCTCGACTTGATAGGAAGAGATTCCGCCATTTTTCATCATAAGCTGTCCTAGCTTCTGCTGTATTCGGTGCCATGTGGTAATCCCAGGCCGGCGTGAGGGGCGATTCCCAGGCTTGAAACGCGCCATCTAGTTCGACAGCGGTCTGGAAAATCTCTAGCATAGCTAAGCGACTAGTGGGTGGGTTCGCGCTTTGCTTAATCTCATGCCACTTTGCGTGCAACATGGCTTCTCTCCAGATCAGACGGATGACAAACACGTGAGAATTGCTGTAAAGACTGGGAAGGTACCCCTCCACCTTGATTACGTCTTTTTTAGGAATGGGTGGGCGCTTTGCTGACTGTAGGTTGCCGAGTAACTATTCGACAAAGTCAGCAATGCATAGAGAAAATATACGCCGGTATTACCATTTGTGCATAGGCTACTTCATACAATCTAGCGGAAATCGGGTCACTGTAGTATTGCTCGACAGTTCGCAGCTGGAGCAACGCAGTAGCACCATGGTGATGGGCAATAAACGTGCCTTTTCGCTGCACATTGGTGAGGTTCTGACAAAGTTAGGACTCTGCCAACCAAAACTCAGTCCCTACATACCTCATAAACCCCCATAAGATAGACTGAGCACAATGCTTCATTCGTAGCCGATCGCCTCTTATCCGCAATCACCTTGGTTAGCATGGGAATGGCTTTAGCAACGCACTCCTCGCCTAATGCAGCGGCATGGGCATCCTTGCATCTATTCGCATAGTTGACATATGCAACAGCATCAACAGTAGTAGCTATCAACGAGTCCTCCGAGGCACCCTGGTACAGCACGGGAATAAAAGTCCACAAGGCGTCTGAGGGCTCGTCCTTTGGCATGGTGGGCGAGTCGGGCAGAACAAAGTCATAGACGAATCGCTCAAATGCCTTGCGGCGGAAATCGGGATTGGGTGCCGGCGTAATGGTCATTTTGCTTAGGTCAATAGTAGCCAGTGAAATGTTGGATGCATCCTGGGTAGCGTCATCGGTGGACCCGCTGGGCGAGTGCACACTCCCACTCGAGGAGCGTGTGTCGTCGAGCGTGGGCGGAGTAGATGCATCGCTTGGAGGCGTCTTGACATAGGCAGCGGTGTTTGTTTCTGCCGTGGTTGGACGCTGGTGGGATTTAGATCTCTTCCGCCATGATTCCTCGGCTCTCTGTGCTGCCGAAGCAGTCTGGTTCCGAAAGAGGATATCGGCTTGATCGCGATACTTGCACTCGTGGCTAGCCTTTGTGCATCGACTGCAAGCCGGCCTGGCCTCGTCGCACTATGGTGGCATTAGCCTGGCAGTTGGGGGTGCAATGTGGCCATGAGAGAAAGGGCAATGGAACGGCGTGCTCACCTTGACCTTACGGGCTCGACAAGCCTCGCAACCCTTGCTGGGCCTTCCGCGATAGGACATTGACGGGCGATGGGGTCTAGTGCAAGCAGATGATGTGGAGGCGAATAAGAAAAAACAGGACGGGAAGTTAATAGCACCCGGTCCAGTCTACACAACTATGGCTCTTTGCTTTAGGCCTTTGGAGGTGCGCAATCACCAGAGGCGTGCGCGCCAGGAGGGGTGTAGCGCGCCTTCACGTGAGCGATCAGGCTGAAACCCAGTCAACGCCCTTTACAAGCATCGAGCGAAGCGCCTGGTGGCTAGCGGAAGAGCGTCCATGTAAGTTTTCTGGTCGAGATGGTATGTAGGAGGCAAGGGGGTTGGTGGGATGGTTCAGGCCCGGCGGCCGGGAAAACGGCCCTGCATGGTGTGGGCGTGTGTGTGGGCGTGCAAGTGAGTGTGTTCGATGTGCCGCAGTCCCCCGTCGTGCGTCGTGCGTCACAGGCGCTCGGCCTCCGACCGTTGCTGAGTCAAACTCGGAGTGAGGCCTTGGCTTGGCTGCCCAACGGCTTTCCAATTTTCTACTACAGTTGCTGTCTCCTAGCTCCATCAGTGTTTCGACGCGGCCATCAGCATCTCGTCCACCTGTTAGCGTAAACTCTTCTCATCCTTTGTCTCTATCCGGCCTCGTATTTGCCCAGCTTCCTTCGCGGCCTTATGTCCGCCAGCTTCCGGCCAGCTTCCGACCAGGGACCCGACCCCTCCACCAGCCCACATACCCCGGATGCCGTCGTTTCAACGGTCATATACCAGGGCCTCGAATCAGCTCACAGTGCAGGCTTAAATCGGCCCTTTTCCAACGGCAGCCTAACTACAGTTACATATGCATATACCTACATACACAGTGGCTTGGTGGCTCTACATATCTAGATTCACTGCATAGCATCATCGGCCGATTCTCCATGCACGGCAATGCAGCTAGACGGACAAGCAGCTGTGCCATGACGTCTTCAGGGGTACTTTTTCTTTTATTCTTGTCCCATTTAATTTCACATCAGGACCCTGACCCGACAGAGTCAAATGTAAAGGAAAAGGAAGAGGGGTAAAGAACAAAGGATCAGCACGATCCAGTTTCACGCTACCCACGTTTCGCCTCCTCATCACGCTTGACACTTGACGGGTTTCTGTCCAGCACCCTCTTGGGAACTGTATACTATGCATTGGCTGGATATTACAGCTTCGCCAACACATGCCGCCCCCCATCTCCGCTGCCCAGCACAATCTCGTCACTACGCCAGTCCACATTAAAAGTGACCTGGTTCAGTGGGTTCTTGCGATGCGCCATGTTGAACAACTCCTCATACACCCTACCGTCATACCTCCCGAGTGCACTGTTCAGAAGAAAGTCTGGTATGGACCACGCATCTACAAGCTTTACAGCGTCTGGCCGCAGCTCGGTCATCAAATCAAGTACCGTGTTTTGTAAAGCATATACCGACTCGGGTGAGACGGCAGCCGTCATAATAAACGAGGAAGCACACTGATCAAGTGTGTACAAGGCGTAAAGCCGGAAGCATGTTCGCAAAGCAGACTGGTTGGCCGGAGAGACAGAGCCGAGGCCATTGTAGAAGTTGGTGACGAGAATCTGCTCAGAGTATGCACGACTGAGACTGTGGAGCTGTATCATCAGGCGTGTCCATGACTGCTTCTCCACCACGCGAGCCTGATAGGCGCGGTATGACAAGTCTGCTGCCCGCCATTGAAAGACCCGGACTATAATCTGATCATCTATTGACCCGTCCTTTGCTACTTCCTGAGGCATGTGATCATTGCGGTTCTTGAGATAGAACCTGAACAGCCCATCCGTTGGGTCTTTGGGTGACGCATCAGGACATTTGATGACATCTCTCATTTTCTTGATCAGATACGCGGCCACTTGTTGCGTAATCATCCAGTTGTCTCCCTCGACTGTCGGTTTGGATAGGTAGTCAGCATTGAGTCCAACAAGGCCGCTGCCACCGCCGTATCCATGGCCGCCCATTGCGCGTCGACACGTTTCAATGCCATCAGCAGCAAGCGTCGTGCAAAGACTCTTCAGCCCCGAGCTTGCGCTGTGCAATTCCGCTAAAGGACCAAAGTCTCCAGTCTCAATCGTCTCCCGCGATCTCTGATACAACGTATACATGTATTCACCCGTGTAATGCAGTGCAAAAGCAGTTGCAAGGAGCGGCAGGACACGTATTTGCACAGTCGGATAGTCGAGCACCTTCATCTCCTCGTCCGATGGATCAGTGGAATCACGGTCCTTGAACTGTCGCCTGATAGCACAGTACCGCACTGCAACAGTGACTGCCCGTGCAAGGACTAGTCTTGCATGCATGATGATTTGTCCTCGAACAAATGTTAAGCTTCCGTACACAACAGCCGGATGTCCTCTCCGCAGGAATGCACCCGTCTCGTCTGACACCTCAGCATACCGGCTCAGCATAGCCGACTTGGGCACGCGAAAGTGGTCAAAGACCATGTAGCCATTGTCCATACTGGCGTAGCCATATTTCGGCCCGATGTCACCCACCGCTATTCCGGGAAGAGGTTGATGCGTCTTCTCATCCCGGATCTGCAGGATGAATGTCTGCGGGCCGTGGGCGACGTAATCCGATTCGAGACTCTTCGGTTCCGAAACTTTACTCGCTTTGAGCAGGTTGCGTGATTTTGGCAAAAATAGTTGCGCCACTACGATCTACGGATGGCGCGCGTCAGCGATTGCCTTACTCTCAAGAGCGAATTTTGGTAGGGAGAGGGGGTTCTGGAACGTCGTACAACAAGGGCGAGAGGCACATACGGCATGTGTGGCGGTCCTTCCCATTGACCCATTCCACCATTTGCTGGCAGTCAGACTTGGACTGTGTATCTCGAATTCCTTTTTTATTGGGTCCCACAGGGCCACAGTTTCCAGCCCTCTGACGTTACTGCCATGGCCAAGCTCAGTCTGCGCATAGCACCCAATGATGTCGTAGTTGACAATCTTGGGCATCCAGTAGTTTCGCTGTTCCTCGGAGCCTTGCTCGCCTACTGTTGTGACTGGGTGACACGGGACATGTCAGCCTAGCCCAAGCGCCCCAGTTACACAAGGTTTGCATGATATGTATCTCAGCTTGCAATAATCACTAGACTTACCGAACATAGCCGTGTGCAAGAAATATGGGCTCGGCTCGTCGACGAGATACTCCGCCATCTTACAGTCCTCGTCATCCCAGCTGTGTGGCCTCTTCAGCCTCTGGATGGCCTTTGCCCGCGCGAGACCCAGATGGTACCGGCCAGGCCGCGATAGGTTGAGTTGCTGGTCTTTTTGGAAGAGCTTCTCCTTGCTCAAGACGGCGAGAACTTTTTGCTGCCGCTCGAGAAAGTCATCACGGCCGAGGAGGTGGTGTGCAAGTTGCTCAACATCGATGCGCGAGCCGTCGCGCTCAGCCTGGATCGTTGCTGTACCGTCGTACAAGGGTTTGAGATTGTCGGTGAAGTCTGTCATGCTGCCATTCGATCGCCTGCTTGCTATCAAGATCTTACAACCAAGCCAGTCGCCAGCCGCCTCATAGGGTGAGCTGGGCGTATTCCTTTTGAAGTCCGTTATCTTCTTCGCGAACAGTGTGATACAGCCTGTATACTTCAGAGCACTACCGGTTGACGTTGTCCGGTGCTATTACGAGAGGTGACAGGCATTACTACCTCGGTTCGCTTCCAGTCATCGAGACAACAGAGTCGGGCGGGGGTCTCATTGTGGATGCGAACAACGGTGCGGGCCCCGCCTCTTAGGCATGTGGAGCCGGCGATGCGGGGCTACGTATATGCTATCCCAATGCAGGCAGCGTCAACTGAACATCCTAACTAGTGGACGATCCAAACGACTTCAATCATTTGGGGATACAAAGAGAAAAGCAAACAAGATTGAATTGATTACAGTTGTAAATGATATGCCGAAACAAGCAAACAGACCTGCACTTTTCAGTCCCAAGATACTAACCCCAAAACAAGCTAATTGTACAGGATATCAGATGTCCAATCCCAACCGGTGACCCAGAGAATAACCCAATTCTCTTGAAAAGAAACAACGCCAGATGCTCCTTGAGTTGCAACTCCCAAAATGCTTCATCAATAGCCCGTTGCACTAGGGCAAACACACTTCTCTTGTCTGGTAGAAGGGTGGTCAAATACAAACCCCCAATCTACTCAAGCACAGCATCCGCCCAGCTGCGCAACCCTCCCTCTTCGTCGAGCACGCGCGTCATGTCCTCCTTGGCAAGTCGTACCAAAATTTCAAATGGCGCCTCTGCGCCATTGACCAGCTGTCTGCGTCTAGGCAAGAAGATGATTCCACCATCGCTCGGCGCATACGTGCGCCTGATGAACTCGGGCCGACCGGCCAGTGACTGTTTACCTTGATCAGTACCCGGGATACCCCAGCTGAGGTCTGCGCCAAAGTTTAACCAGCTCGAAATGTATATGTCCGACCCAAATGCCGAACCTAGTGAAATCTCGGTATCGGTGATTTGCGCGATCGACTTGAAGAATTTGAGATGGCGTGACACCCACGTGTCGTCGACGCCTTGGATGGCAGTTTGGATTTTTTTGATGACGCGGATGATGGTGGGGAGGGTTACGCTGTTTCCCAAGTCAGCAAAGTCCTTTTTCTTTTCTTTTTTTCTTCCTCTCTCTTGAACCCAGAGGAACAAACTTTGTTTTAGCCTTGGGAGGTTGGGTTCACAAAGTGTAACGTAAAAAAAAAAAGAGGTGAAACAAACCCGATCGCAGGGGGGGAGGAGATTGGGTGGAGAAAGAAGAAGAGCAAACTCACCGGTCTTCGCTCAATAGGTCTGAAACGTTGAGAGTGGCTTTTGAAAATAAGGCCATGTTGCCCGTGTAATCCGCGGGGACGCATGGGTTCTGACGTTTGCGTAGATCGGTGGCAATGCCGAGGTTCGTCTCTTGCAAGTCGTGCTGCAGCAGTCGGTCTCCCCTGGCTCGTGTGACGTGCGTCCACACCAGCGCAGCGAGCACATTGCACATTGTTGGCGTGCTGTCCGGTGGGAAGTGAGGCCGCAACATGTCCTGGTATCTGCGTATGCGAGAGACTGGAATTACAAAAAGACGTTGAGCGCAGGTGGTGTCGGCGGGTAATGTCCTGCGATATGTGGGTGGCCCATCACAGTAGCAGTCTGCAGCAGCGCCACCTGTTTGCTGTGGGTTAATGTGCCAATCAACGGCTTGCCGTAGTCGCGATTGCCTGTCAGCAACGCTTATTGTATCTGTCATTGTCAGTTGTGATTGGGAAGTTTGGATCTAGGAAAAGTACCAAAGATTTTGCTATCACTTATCAAGTGTTGGCGCGGGAGATTGGATACGTGTGTTGAAAAGGTTTCCCAGAAAAGGTTGATGCCGGAAAAGTCGGATACGCTGTGGTGCATGTAGGTGGAAAGGACCAATCCGCCAGGAATGAAGAATGCTTGACATCGCATCGCGGGCGCGTCGCTCTTTCCAAAATCGACTTTGCCTTCGCCGTCTTTGGGAACACCTGGGTACTGTGCAAGATCTTCGGGGACAAACATGGAACCTTTGAAAGCACTTGGTGGCATGCCGTCTCGTTTGAGTTGTTCGTATGTGTAGGGAAAGTCACGCTCATGGTAAGGGATTTGCTTTGATCGGAATATGCAATTCAGCTCTTCGTCGGACACTTCAATGGGATATTCCAGAGCAAGTCTCCCCGTGGCAGTATCGGGCAGAGAGAGGAGACCAGCAAGGAAAGGAAATTTTTTGAGCGAGAGGCGAATACCATTCCCAAGCGCATGTATGGCAGCTTCGGCATTATTCTGGTCGGGAAACTGGCGTTACAATCAGCACCTACTACTACTACGACGGTCGTGTCTCCCTCCTCCTCGTCCTTCTTCTGGGCCAACATACGGGAAATATACACAGCGTTTGTATATACACGCGCACAATGTTCTGATCCAGACATGAGAGATGGAATGACTTTGTTCGACGGGCCAGATTGTCCGGCTTGGTAATCATATTGAGTAGGCGGGGGGCAGAGCTCGCGACAGTGCCCAGCAACCTGCTCCTGCTGATCAATAGTGGTAGGTCTAGGGACATGGCTGAGGCGTTTCCCGAAATTATTTATATATACCAAAGACGCGGAAGAGTCATAGACGCTCTGGAGTAGGTGAACAAACACACGACATATGAAGCACGCGAGGCCAATTTTACCCCTTCACCGCAAGGCCCCATGGAGCTGCGCCTGATGTGACGGGGGGCGGCATCGGTCCACGCTGCCACGGACCGAGTGAGCTATGGCCGCATGCGGAAACATCTGTGCGGCTACGCCATGCCCACTGCCCGCTTCCCCGCCAGCCTGCCCTATCGACGACTCGCTTCCATACCCTCGACCGCGCCAAACGTGTCTCGTGCCGCCTTCCCCGGCCGCTTTTGCAAGAATGCGCCCAAGGCACCGCCAAACCACCAAACATCGCGGAGCCGGATGACATGCAGCCGCCGCCCGGGCGTTCGCAGACGGTCCAAGCCCGCTGAGTATGGCCGCAGCCGGAGAGGGCAACGCCAAAGAGAGGGGGTGGGGGGTGTTCAAGTATATTGCTTTTTCTTCCTTCAGCTTCATCGTTCAGGACCAGGTGCAGGGCCTGGGATGGATGCGGCTCGAAAAAAAATATGATCATCGTTCCTTGCTGACGCCCTCGCATTTGCATCCCGGTCACGAAGCCCCAGGGCGCACATGGGTCCTACCCTTTTTTCTTTGCCTTGTCTTTGTCGCTTGCAGAGCAGCCGCCATCCCAGCGTCGCCTAATCCTGCTGTCGCGGCAGCGTCTTTTTTGGTCCTGCGTGGCGCATTGGAAATGGCGGCCTTGGTTGCTTTGCGCTGTATGTGTGCGGCCAAGGCAAACGGCGTGCTGCCGCCAGGGCAAAATGTTCGATCTTCGGTACCATGGCAGCCCAAAGCGCCGTAATACGTCCCTCTTTTTAGGTCGGTGTACGCCTCAAGCAACAGAAACCTGGAGCCCACCCTGCTAGGCGTACGGATGGTCGTGCGCGCACCACTCACGCACCCCTGGCGACACAAGGTGCAACGTATTGGCGCCTTGCCCTGTGTCAGAGGACCCCCATCGCGATCCTCCAAATAGCATCTTTTACAAAGCGGTGTGAGCTATCATTGTAAAAATTCCACAAGCTCAGCAACAATACGTCATCTGATCGGTAGGTCTTTGGGGGAGACACGTTGCGCGTGGTCCGTCCCAATGTGGGTCAAAGACCAGCATGTGATGCCGGCAAACATTTTTTCTGGTACAGGTACCAAACAATCCAAGAAACCCCCTGGTCTAAAAGGCGGCATATTAACAAGGCCAAAAGTAGGTGTGGCTATAGCCATTGTGGCTGACAAGAGGACCATCACTGACCCACGCCTAGTGCTATGACAGCAACCTGTAGGTAAGCGAAACGCCTTATGCACGATGCGCGAACGAACCACCAAAATAACTGAGCAATCGGCTGAATTCTAGGCGGGTGCGAGCCCGAGCCTATACGTAACGTCGCCAAAGTAACCGAATACGCCTGGTGATCCGTTCGGTTGGCGGGTGCGAGCGGTGGCACCACAGTCCGTCACACAGCCAAACGACGGTATGGAAAAACAGGGAAAAATAAGCCCGGAGATTGACTCAACAAGGCAATCCGCACAACCTATAGATGCAATGACTGTGGACACAGCTGAGACACTGAAGCGTGGGGCACGCACGATAGACTTTTTGTTGACCGGAAACTCATGACAGATGCTATACGGCTGTGCCGAGACGCGTCTTTGTTGAAAGTTTTTAACTTTCATCGGGCCCGTCTCCCAATCACATGTGAGAGGAGGATGGCCATGAACTGCTTGCTGCCTTTTGAATGTCAGCCATGGGCATCAAAGGAAGACGCAGCACCGCCACTCGAGTACTACTCGTCAGTACATACTTATGTATACATGCTAGATGCTAGGATGCATGACTTGGCAGGAAGGGTATTCTGTATAGTGATATCATGCCAGGCTGATTTGTTGGGAAGTCGGCATTCGACGGGTGGTGTGGTCGCCGTCCTGGCAGTGGTCTCGGGGTCTGCTTTGTGTAAGGATAGCTCGGCAGGGGCCCGGTCAAGATGAGGGACCCCAAAAGGGCATGGGTATGACCAGACTCGTCGTTGTGCGAGTCAAAGGCAGTGTCGCCTAGAAGACGTTTGACATGCACTAGTTACGGGTACTGAGCGCCCTTGCCGGGCTGCTAGCGCCCGAAGCGACTGACTGCGGGGATGGCCACGGGAGTCTTCCCCGCGATCTTGTGCCACGATCGACTAGTAAGACACCCTGCACCCAAATGCCATGACTCCCCACAAGTGCAAGCGACTCGACTTCCCCACGTCTCTTGGCTAGCGCTCGACACAGTAGCCCTGCCCTACTATCCTGGACACACGTGCCGGCGATGCACGCCGGGAAGCGCATTTAAGGTACTTGTCGAGTCTTGGTCTGAGTAAGACGGCAACGGCAGCAGCACTAACAAAACTACCATGGTGGACCGAACCAGTGTGGTGCCTAGCCATGTTGGCGACAACGTGCTTCCGAACACTGTACGAACTCACCACACTCCACGCATCTATCTAGGTCGACTGCAACTGGTTACTGATATCCGCATAGCCTCTCTTCGGTCGCCTTCTCCGATTTGCCAACCAAACTCCCGCGCATATAGCGATCGAAGATGCCCGTGTCGAGTTGCAGAAGACCCATATCCATCTGCTGTCAGATGTCTTGGCCTTGCGAAACACCCTTCTCAATACCCTCGATGACGCAACCCGCAAAGCGTTAGAGAAGAGAGAAGAGGTGTACATGGCCATCGTCGCGCCAGGCGGTTACGAATGCACCGTGGCAATGCTGGCGGTACTGGCGCTAGGGGCGGCCGCAGTGCCAATGACGCCAGCCGTGCCTGTAAGTGAGGCGGCATACTTCATCCAAAAGTCAAGATCAGCGCTTGTTCTTGCGAGTTCGGAGAATATAGTCAAATGCCGTCTTCTTGCTAGGCGCATCTGTTCTACGAGCAACCCGCAGTTTCGTGTTGTCGAAATAGGACCGTTCGTCTCATCACCCACTCTTGACGCTCAGGAAATAATCATTTCATCGGATCGAGCCTTGGAAGAGAATGCGCCGGCTGTGGTCATCTTCACAAGTGGCACCACGGGACCACCCAAGGGTGCAGTGATGCGGAGATCGTACGTCTTTGACTGTGCGTTGTCCATCGCTGACCACTATCGCTTGACTGAACACGACGTCATACTCCACCTCCTTCCAGTACATCATGCCACAGGGGTCGGCATCAACTTTTTCCGTTCCTTATATCTGGAAGTCGTATCGAGTTCCGTAGCGGAGGTTTCGACGAGGCCTGGACGTGGAAGCGCTGGAAGGAGGGGGCAGCCCACCCTTCAAGGCGACTTACATTCTTTTCGGCCGTTCCAACTATCTGGATGCGGCTTAGACGATTCTATCAAATCCACCTGCGTAAACTCCCTGCACATGAACTAGCTCCGTACGTTGCTGGTGCACAACAATTCCGCGCCTGTTTATATGGAACGTCGGCGTTACCTCAGCCGCTAAACGACTTTTGGACAGACCTCTTGCAGCAGAATATCCTGCAAAGATATGGAGCAACTGAATTTGGTGCAATCCTCAAGATGCGCCTTGGAGATAAAGACACGCCTAAAGGCTCTGTGGGTGAAATTGTAAGCGGTGTGGATGTGAAGCTGTCCGAGGGAAATGAAGGGGAGATACTCGTCAAGAGCCCGGTACGTCACTTGGAACTTGCTGGAAGATGACTCTAATAAAACATAGCATATGTTTATGAAATATCTACATGACCCTGAAGGCACAACCGCTGCGCACGATGAAGATGGGTACTTCCGAACCGGTGATCTTGCACGAAGGGAAGGAAAGTATTACTTCATCCTCGGTCGAGCATCCCTAGACATCATCAAGTCGGGAGGATACAAAATATCAGCTCTGGATGTCGAGAGAGAGCTGCTGGGCTTGCCATACGTCGCCGAAGCCATGGTTGTCGGCGTTGCAGATGAGGAGTTTGGGCAACGTGTGGCAGCCCTACTCTCATTACAAGAAGAAGATATGACAACGGATTTTCCAGGCAAGCGATTCAATGCAGGCAACTCATTAACTATTGATGAGCTACGGCGGGATCTCCATGGAAGACTGGCCGGGTACAAGCTGCCAACACTTTTGCGAATTGTAAATGATGAGCTGCCCAAAACTGTCACGGGAAAAGTTCAAAAGAAGACCCTTGGACCGCAGTTCTTCCCAAAAGCATGGTCCAGCTGCCCAGGCATACAGAAATGGGTACCAGATACCGGAAGAAAGCTAGCGAAGCTGTGACTAAACAAGGCCTCGTGGTGACAAACCGAACATCTTCATCACGGTAAATCAAGATTGCGCCAATGATGCAATCGCGAGAGTATAATGGCCTGATCCTCAGCAGCACAGCATTGACTGAATACTGGTGAGTGAGTTAAATCGATGTGCATTTTTAGGCTGAAGTTAGTGTAGTTATGATGTGTGCGCAAGCGATTCCTCGGTTCAGCAACTAGGGACTGCGTTGCCGCATATGGCCGTCAGCATGCTTGACACCCCGCCCCCATACATCTCTGTAAAACATTTATTGCCGGACACAGCCGCGCATCCCCGATGCATATGATTCCCGACAGCTGAAATTATACCTATAACTACTGCGCACGTTGTAAAGATTGGTCTTGGCTTTTTACTTCGCATTCGATGTAACTCTGACCTGCACATGAAGCGGCATTTGGGACAAACCTTCGTCCCAGGACCCCGACAACATATGACATGATCCAAAGTCTAGATTCGGCTATCAGATTAAGGAAACGTCTTGGTATACCTAGGGATGTGTGACTCGGCAACAAGCGGTATAGTCAGCTTATCTATGTCTCACCGGAAGATACCCAACGCAAGCGGTCCAGTCGTTTGATGTTGAATAATTCTGCTGAAATGGTGAGATTTTGAAATCCCATGTCTAGCCCCAAAAAAGAAGCATATCAAGATTTTACATTTGCCAGGAATCACTGGCCTTACCTACCTCTTATGTCATATGGCAGTGGCACAACTCCAAAAAGATGACCCAGGAATATCGGTGCTGCACAATTGCCGGACTGTCCCAAAGCGGTTGGCACACCAGATTCATATCCCTAGAAATTTGTAAGCGGTCCAGATGTCTGGTAACAAATGCCGGGGATTTTTGCGGAGCCAAGACGAGAACATCCCGAAACATTCTTGGTCGTGGCAGCGGGGTCCTTACTAAGCGGGTAGTCTGGACTTCTGAAGCTACGCGAGTAGCTTTGCCCTGGTTCGAAGTGAAGAAACATTTGGACTTCTTTACGTACAACAAATGGTAAATCTTGGTACTACCGCCAAAGATGCAAATATGATTTGTAGAAAGCGGGGTCACTGGGTGAGCGAATCTCGGGGGAAACAGCTAACACAACAAGTTTCGGTATCGAATGATGGACATATCCGAGAGAATAATATAAAACAGCATTACAGTCTCAAAGACATATGCCACCAAGGCATAGCTTTATGCTCAAGAGGGTCCAGGAATTGAGAGAGCGTCTGTTTACCCAATATGTATCCGTGTTTGCTGAACTATAGCAGAGGATGAGTTGCAAATAATTCTCAGAAAACTACTGTGTATAATCACTTTGCGTGGATATGCTTGACAAAGTGGGCTTACTGAATGAAAAAAGGAAAGACGTCGATGATAGAAAAGTTGACGTTTGCCCAAAACCTGTACCTCGGCAGAACTCGGCGATCGGGACCCATTCGGATCTAAATGCAGGCGGCGATTAATTCCGCTACGGAATATCGTCATCATTGTTACTATGGCACTAAGTGCGGAAAGTTCCCGGGATTCCAAAATGGTTTGCACTTCACACAATCCGTAGCGCCTTTTACCTACGCCCTTTTTTTAGGCCTTTTATAATCACGAATAATGATTTGAGATACGAAAAAGACGATACGCGTAGAGAATAGTTATCATTGTAACACTGTAGCAGTGTTATAAAGCCCTGAAGTTGCTCATTTTCTTGCGCGCTATCGGTTTTGGTAGAGTGGCGGCCTGCGTGGAGTCTCGGGAGTTTTGTCCACCAGGCTCATGGCAACGCCGGAAGGCGAATCTACGCAATATATCCCTCAAGCCTGATGATTGGCTCTCCATACGGCAAGACGGCCAGATTCAGGCTTGTATTCTTGCCATGCTCTATGGAGACGGCAGGGCAGATTACCCCACTCAATGCCTAGAAGATTTAAGAACTGGGTACCCCACTACAATGCCTCAAGAATCCTCGATCACAAAATCAGTCCGTTTAACCCTTTTCAAAATACCTCAATTTAAGAATCAAAATGTCTTGCGACAACTGCAAGAGCGGCTTCAAGTGGAACGGCCAAACCGTTGGCAAGGAAACTAAGCTCAACAACACTAATGCCTACGTCACTGGCGACTCTAAAGACGCCGCTATTCTTATCATAACTGACGTTTTCGGCTGGACGCTTCCGAATGTCCGCTTAATCGCGGACCACTACGCGCAAGAAGCCAATGCGACCGTCTACGTACCCGACCTGTAAGAAATATCTCAATCCATGCATGTGCGCCTCAATCTAACCATAGTTTGCGGCAGTTTTAACGGTGAAGTCGTAGACCCTGACGCGCTGTCCGACCCAGAAAAGCAAAAGAACTTCGACATCGGAGCCTTCCTCGGCCGCCACAACAAGGAGGTTCGCTGGCCCGAGATCAAAGGGCACGCTCAAACCCTCAAGTCGCAATACAAGAAGGTCGCTGCCATTGGCTTCTGCTACGGCGGCTGGGCTGCCTTCAAACTCGGTGCCGACCCCTCGCTCATCGATGCCATCTCCACTGCGCACCCGTCGATGCTCGAGAAGTCTGAGATTGAGAGTGTAAAGGTTCCTGTGCAGATTCTTAGCCCTGAAAACGACTTCGCATACACGCCTGAGTTGAAGCAGGCTACGTTTGATATTCTGCCCAAGACGGGCGTGCAGTGGGAGTACATTTATTTCCCGGGCTTGACGCATGGCTTTGCGGTGCGAGGAAACCCCGATGATGCTGCGCAGAAGGCGGGATTGGAGCGGGCGAAGAGGAGTGCGGTCAACTTTTTCAAGGAATTTTTGCACTAGAGAGGGAAGTGTGTGTATAGTTGTTGGTATAAGTAATTCATGTATGGAAATTACTTCAGCCTTACTCTTACTGTGTTGTTATGAGACACTTGGGGTGTTTTGATTAGGAACGATATGTTTTGCGCTGCTTGCAAGACATTGCCATGGCTTAGGTATAACCCGTACCTTTTAACTAGCGAACGTAAGTCACTCCCATTAGTAGTATTCCATAAGTACTTAGTATAGACATCGAGACACTTATTGCTAAACAAAATAAGAACCAAGTCAAATTCTCAAGAGATATCATAGAAACAAGTCCTATTTGCAAGCTACTGCTGCGTCGACAATATCCGCATCGACCCAAGCCAAAGGTAAATCTGGTATCATAATATATGTACAAAACGAAAATCTTCGTGTGTGCCTGTTACCAGCACAACCCCCCTCTCCCCTCTACTCAATCCCTGCTAACCAAACGAGCAAGCCTAGACCTCGTCTCCCACCCCCAAGCAGCAACACTGCGCTTCGCCATCGCAGCAACGCTCTTGGCATAATCACTAGTACCACGGGTAGGATCCGCATCCTTTGGCTTACAAGTCGTAGCAGCAAGCCTACCCTTGACAGGAAGAAAATGATACTTCTCCTTGGTAGTCGCAACCATACTCTCCGCCGCCTCCGTCGTCCACCCGTTGATAAAGTCGCCATGCGAGCAAAACGCATTGCCGCACGCGAGCTTGACGGGTGCAGTGCCAGACCAGCCGTTCGGCAGCACCTTACGCAGATCATAGCGGATCGAGAAGCGCAGCTGGGGCATCGACTTCATGCCCTTGGGGCACCAATTCGGGGTGCCGTTAGCACGGTCTTTGTAGCCCGTCTCGAGCGTCTCTGTGTTGACGCATTGTGGGAAGTACAGGAGCTGTTGCAAGTGTGTTGAGCAGGATTTACTGGGGAACCCGTTTGCATCTGCGGCAACGGGGTTGTCGCCTTCGCAGAACCACTCTGATTTTGCGTTGGGATCCATGCCGGCTTTGTCCTTTGCTTCTGCTTTGCCGGCGACCATTTGCACGTTTTGCGGGATGGCGATTTCGGCGGGCGTCTCGCCGAGGTTGTAGTAGGCGCTGAAGCGCGAGACGGGGACGGGGAGGTAGGATTTGCCATTGTCTGCGGTGTAGAGGACGGTTGGGACCCAGTAGACGCTTAGGTCGTCTGCGACCTCTGCGTTTGTGCAGCCTTTTTGGAGCTCGGCGCTGGTTTTGGTGGTGGCTGTTACGGCGTCGGAGCCGTAGAAGGAGTGCAGGTGGGATTTGTCGAAGGAGCCCGGGAAGACGATGGGGTCGATGTTTTTTTGCATAAAGGGTGAGGGGACGTTGACTTGGGTGTAGGCGCTTGCGTAGTGGGCAAGCAGGCTTGCGGTGAGGACGGTGTAAAGAGACATCCTGTGTCTGATGAATGAATGTATTGGCACAGCCTTTGGAAGAGGAAAAAAAGGGTTTGATTGGAAAACGAATGAAGCGTGATGAAGGGAAAACAAGCACATAAACTATCGCGCGGCCATCGTTGCTACTTATGCCTGAGGCTGCGACAAACACTTCGTCCCACACGGGAATATCCCTCCTTACTTTCCTGTTGAGTTTCCCAGGCCCCAGGCATCACAACCCGCCGTTGTTCTCTTTTCCTAACGCAGAGTGTTCGCCGTGAATGCCCAAGGCAAATGTGGACCTCAAGGAGCAGAGCATGAACGACGGGAGATGGCACCGGGGCGCTAAGTATGCACGCGATGGAGGCTATTGGCTGCATGTACCTGCCAAACACTAGCGCCCGCCTCGTTTCCGCCCTCGGTACCTGGTTTCGAAACACGAGCTAAGCCTCGCGCCCATCGTTTCGTCCGGAATCTTACCAGTCGTCAGATACTGGAAACTGTTGCGGCGTGGACGGCGGTTGAGCTAGTTGGCTTGCGGACGTAAGTACCGACAAGGACGTGCTTAATAGCGACAGACCAACTACCTAAACAGTGAGCCACTCTAATAAAGGGAAACTCCCATGGCGGTCATTCGAGCTACTTGCGGTTCAATAGTCAAGTTAGCACTGTCCAGGTCGGAGATTCGCGCCCTAACAGCCAGTTGCCTCTCGAAGTGCTTTCGGATGCCAAGGTATTGGAGGATTCGGATACCTCAGCCGCGAAATCACAATCACACAAAAACAATTGTTCAAAGGCGCATTGACCTCCAGGTCGTCAGATCCCGCGTATGTTTCATGCAGGAGTTTTTTTTTATCCACTAACCTATTTCGTAGCGCCATATAGATCGTGCTCGTCTAGAACTGACATTTGACCTATAGACGAGTGAATCTTGCTGTGGGGGCCTGCTGGGGAATTGCTCTACTTCAAGATCCTATTTAACGGTATGTTTCAGGGATCGTAAATACCTAATGTAGTCAAATAGCTAGCAATGCCGATTAATGATAGAGGTAACTAAACAGGACTGAGATCTCATTATATTGATTGTTGCCCGTGGTATCGGTTGTGAACTCAGACGGGAAGTTTCTTGAAAGTGCAAATAGGAAGACTGAAGTGGCATCCAGAAGACTCTTTCCCATCGTTTCTGGTGTGTATGAATGCTAGTGGTATATTCGGAAGAATTTTAGTAAGCTACGATTACTGCACCTTCCGGTGAGTCTTTATATTTTTTTACAAGTGCTCTTGGTTTTTTAACTTCTAAAGTACAATGCGTTGATCGACTGTCGTCATAACTTACTTGTCAGCTGCATCTAAAGGCTTGTTCTGGCCATATTCCAACGTCTTCTCTCTCTTCTTCGCATCCGACTCATTCGGGTCATGCTTCATATGGTCCTGGCTCTCAGTCATCTCCTCTGACGCTCCTACTCGATTGTTCTCTGGGTGACTGACTGGGTTTTATATTGATGTATGGTCGCCGTCATTCTTGTCCGTCTGTCCAATTGAGGCGCTGTGGTTGATGGATTGGTTCTCAGCGCTGCTCGCCTGTGGGTTCGAAATATTGGACGACTGGTCAGGTACGGCGCTGCTAGCATATGTGCGAGAAATAATTGGTGGCAAAGCTTAGATTGAATTGTTAAAAAGTCTTTTGGTAATAAAACACTCCAGATACATACCCTGACCTCGCTGTTGAAGGGCGCGACTCGCAACGGGCGCTGAGCGCGAAAAGCTTTTCAAGATACCTGACATTATGGTTTGATTTGTATGAGTTCTCTAGAAAATTTGATCTTTTTCTTCTGGATACTCGAAGTTCTTAAAGTATGGGGGTATGTCGGGCCCGAGCTTGATGTGTTGGTGATGTTCCAAGAACGTCATCATTAAAGCGCACAACCGAGCGAGAGACACTACGAATAATCTGGATTGCATATTTGACAGCAGCTTACCTGTTGACTGACACAATTCTTAATCCCTCTGATTCAAAAGCAGGGCGAACTATACCCTGTCCATGTCTTGAGTAGCCAGGACTCTTAGTGTGTCAACTTTAAATGTCAACCTGATCGCACATTTCCAACTCTTGCTTGGACACTCCACTTAGCTTTATTAGCCATCAACATACCCAGACTTTTCAAATTTCTTCATTTCTGGCGGCGTTTCTCACGAATGCGACACCACTTTGTGTATTAAAGCAGTTATCGAAATTCCAAGATTCAAGTAGCTACAGACGGAGACTAATGAAGCTCGCGCAGCACTGTGGACACCCTGGAATCCTCCTTCGGAACGGGAACGACATGGCGATTTCATATCGTGTCTTATGGCCTCATACCAAATAGTTGAGAATGGAAATAGTTTCGAAACTACTCATTACGACCCTGCTGGGGATCTCATTATCTGGTGAAACTTCCTAAATTACTTCCTTCAGCCACCACTCCGGAGATAAAAAAATCTGAATTACATATCCAGGGCAGCCTCCAGTATATCAAGTCACTCTTGAATGGAAGTACAACGCTTATGAAATTACTTTATTCGCTTCTACTTTATTCATTTACATGAAAGAAACGATGGGGAGGTAGATGCCAGCCCACTTCAAAGACACTATGAACGTGTGGCCCCCCACTCACAATTCGATATACGAACGTTCTTTAGCAACTATGAAAAGAGCAAGTCGTGCACTAACAATGGATTTGGGTGTATACATAACTCTCTCCAACCTCAATGGCTCTCTATCGAGAACTTGATCCACAGCTCATTATAAAATATTCCTCTCTATCGAGTCATTCCTCCATCTATTGAGATTGAGATTAAGCTCGTCATTTCTCTAAAGTTTACCATTCCAGTACGTCCAATACCTCTTTAACAGAAGCTACTGTCAGCTCTTGATTACATTCGGACCTAACATAACTCTATATCAATACCACGAACTCCGATCGTTCCTTCTACCATGCAATTCCTAACTCTGGACTTAGGGTCTATCTGAATGATAAACTCAAGAAGAAAGAGGTCGAGAAGGCAGTCCAGGTGACCCGCCAATCTCAAGTACGTTTCGGATTCATAGGGAAAGACAGCGAAAGCGAGCAGATGCGGGACAATTTTCTGCTACGCTTTCCGCCTGAGATCCGCAATCTCATCACCGAGTACGTACTAAGTTTGGGTGATGGCACTGCAGGCAATGTCCTCATTGCCTGTCCCCCAGGCCCACACAAACCCCTCTGTGAAGGTTTAAGTATACTTTCTTTATGCAAACAGCTCACCATCGAGGCGCGCTCCATGCTTGAAGCTCGCACTACAGCCTACATCCCCATCATGGCTGACATGAATTTCTGCAAATTGGTTTCCGACATGAATGAGAATGGTAACGCATCACTACCAGAGATACAGAGTACCGTCTTTGCTGGTCTTACGTCCTTCAGGCATGCGCATTTTTATCTTCACGTCAAATATCATTCCTCCCTCTTCCGCCGGTACTCGGAGCCAGACCTTAGTGAGGACATCGCTCACATATATGATGTATTGAAACAAGCGTTCAGGATCTGGCGAGCTGCATCTGAGCACAACTTTGCTCATCTCAAGGAGCAAGGGTTGAAGCGAAAGGCAATTTTGCACCTCGATCACCTTTTCTCTGACTGGCGGGACATAGTCAGGTTAAGCAATAACTCCCACATCCAGCATCTTTTCAAAATCATGACTTCTGATACGACCACTGATTGTAAGGTACACTACTATGTACTCATCAGAGGCGAACGCATGGATGACCACTCGGAGAACTGGCGCTCAAAACTTTTGGGGTGTAGGTTGAATTACAAGCGAATTGCCTTTCGGGCATTTCCTGGGATCAAGCTCATTCCAGAAGTGTACGGTGAGCTACATTAAATATTTAAAGATGCGGACTTCCTCACGGAACGCATCTTGCCAAGCAGCACGTTGTGGCCGTCTTGGCCTGAGGATGTACCTTGGAGGATGTGTCCCAGGGTGAGGTCGGACGAGCTTGAGCCAAGTCAGGATAGCGCTAGATAAGTAGTTATTGTACTTGTGAATCTGCTGAAGCAGCTCGGGAAAATAGTAGCACTAAATATTTACAGTAGTTAACCCATAAATAATGATATATACAAGTCCCTTCAATGAAAATATTTACAAATAATCAACATCCACCCAGTTCTCCTTCTTAAAATCGCTCCCAAACAAATCCGATGCCTTAACCGGCGCAGTAGCTTGTGAACTCCAGCTCACCCTCGCCGACGCATTCGCTCCAGGCCCGCAATTTTGATACTCTTGGAAAGTAACATTATCCGTACTCTGCACATCGTCCCACTGTGACCATCCCCGTGGCGTAACCACATCACCAAGGTAACTCTGCTGGAAAAGAACCCTGCTAAATGGTCTCCAGGGGCGTCCTAGATCTGTTGAACCCGGACCACTAGACCCAGTAACATTGACCTTGTTGAAGACGTAGAAACTCGTGTTTTCCTCGGAGTCGCGGCCGTTAGCGACGATGAAGCCGGTGCCGACGGTTTCGATGTCCAGTTTGTTGAAGAAGGCCACGGCGCGGAGTCCGAAGATGAAATCCACGGCGCCGTTTACGAATGATTTGGCGTAGATTTGGCGGCCTTCGTTAGCGTAAATGGTGTCTTGGTAGCCGGTGAATTTGCAGCCGTAGAAGCCTTGGTTTGTGTTTTGGGCGCTGAGTGCGAGGGCTTGGGAGCCGGCGCCGAAGGTGTTGGCGATGTTGAGGTTGTAGAGTTTTACGTTGGAGGTCCAGAGGCGGAGGGTCGATGTTGCGTCGTTATTGGCTAGACCAGGGGTTTTGCGCGAGAGGTTGTAGGTGAGGGTAACTTGGTTCTTCTTGTAGGTAGTGGAGTCATTTGTGTAGCCTTGGATAGTGAGGGGGCCTGCGAGCCGGCGTATGTAGACTTGCTCGGTATATGTACCGGGGAAGATAAAGATCCTTTGGGCGTCGGTGTTGTTGTGGAGTCCTGCTACGGCGGCACTAATGTTAAGGTAGCTGTTGGGATATGCACCTGATGCATCGACGACTAAGGCTCCTTGGTCTGGTTTCGTGCGCACTTGTTTATCGGCGGAAACGACTCCGAGAACGAAGACTAGGACGGCAGACAAGGAAATGTGCGACCTCATGATGTTGGATTAGTGATGCTTTGCAGACACGGCCGTATTCTCAAAGGCAGGCCCGACACATACTTATACTATTATATTACAGTCTGGCCTAGATTTAGAAACGAGACTAGGTTGGAATTTACAGTTCATCCGTTCTGACTACGCTTGCGAGCTAGGTCTCGGCCGGATTATTACAGTAAGAATTGCCTACGCATGAACTCGATGTTGAGTATGGTGGCGTGGCTAAATCAATGAGGCCGACGGATGATTGGTGGCACAAGGGGTTCCGCTCCGTCTTCGGGAAAATCTGGGGAAATCTCATTGTTAAATCGCCGAAGCAACCGTATCCGGAAACGCACGGACGGCAATCATGGGGCATGTGTCCATTCTTAGGTTGTTTACAACGGTACATGTCTATGGTCAGCTTGTTAGACTAAAGACGTCACTGTTGGCAGGCAACGCGTCTTCTTGTTTCAACGCTAGAAGATACTTTATCGTGTTTATAGGCTTGCGTATACGTTCACAGGCCTATTAAAATCTGACACTTCCTAGTCATGGATTTGAGCGAACCGTGTCATGTCGAGCAATTGCCTAATTTCTCCCGCTCTTGGCTTGCTCAATCTCCACAATCAATTTCTACTCCGTCTCTGTCCGAGGATCTAGGAGACCGGAGGCATTTACTTCATTGCCCAAATTCCCACATCATCATAGCTTTCATACGATCCGACCGATATTCTTCTCTGTAATCACTAACGGACGTCGAAACACAAGCTACCCCTGTAATCTAACTTGTATAATACGACTTATATAGGGAGACCGCAGCCTGACTCCAAGAGTCCAATTAGGCTGGGTTCGTAATACACTAACGGAGGGTTAGCCATCGCCTTCGTCTTCACCTTCACCTTCACCTTCATCATTTGCGCAACAACGGTTGCTTGGCTTTCCAAACAATGACGCACCACCTATAATCCCGTTTTCCATGAGCCTCTCACCCCTTATTGCGCAACCATTTGTCAGTGTCAAGTAAAACCTTAACTGCATCAAGTCTGTTAGGCAACACCGTCCGACAAGCAAGGTCGTCGTCTTTTTTCTATCCAACAATTTCTTTCCAGTCAACGCCACCAAAAATGCAGTCGCGCAATCTCCCAATAAACTCTGTTCTGTTCCATGACTACCATGAGCCTGCTTCAAACCCGGCTACAAGCTCCAACCGCCCTCAGAGCGCAACCCTGGTTAATCTGCAGGATGCGTCCGATTTAAGCATTACGGCGCTGCCCCGTCCACCTACCGTCACTATCACGACAACAAGGGATGGTACTTCGAGAGAATCATTGTGGAAACGACTGCGTGTGGCCATGAGTGGGTGGTTGTGTTTTGGGAAAGAGAGTGGAAAGAGACGGAAATGTGAGACGGAGGAGAGTGCGGAAGTCAAGTACCAGTGAACCTAGAAGTGTCGAAGCATGTGGGACAGGCAACGTTGTTGCTGCTAATAGACGGAGCAAACATGGTCGATGATATGTACAACAACGAGCATAATGGGCGGGTAATGCATTGGGAAATGGAGTTAATATCGGAAGCAGTGTAGTTTAGGATTGCAAGAATGTTCAGGAAGAAGGCGTAATGAGAAGACGAAAACTCTTTTCCGCTATATGAATAGCCGGCTATGATGATAGAAGAAGAAGATAGAATGAACTTGCATGACCACGTTTACAAAAGAATAGGTCTTCAAATATGATATGTCCCTGAAGTCCGGAGCTCTAAGTTCTAGTTAGAAGACGTAACAGTTGTAGTTGTAGACTCGATAGCCCAACTATTTGGCGCACGCCACCACTGGTCCTTGTTCTTCCCACTTCTTGAGCTTCCATTCGAGAAGAAGCCAGGTCTCTCGGGCTTCTCGATTTTGACCTCTACGTCCTTCATCTTCATGATTCCCGAAGACTCCACATCGAGAGTAGCGGAACCGTTGCTTTTGTAGCCGCTCTTGTACCTGCGGCGGTAGGCATCGCCATCGCTGACAATCTTGTCGAACTTGCCCTGCAGGCTGGGAAAGGTATGCATGATGAGTGCCTTGATGTTGGGCGCGCATGCGACAATAACAGCAAGGTGGTTTTCGATGACAGAGCAGATCATCATCAAAGCGAAGCGGAACGGGAAATCCGGGTTCTTGACTTGCTGGTCCATAAAGTAGACACGTGCGGCGCTTGCTCCTAGGACCAAGCCTCCGAGAGCAAAGAGGCAGTTGACGGCAATGCGGTGAGAGGGGCGTAGATGGACGTTCCAGGTAAAGATGACTGGCATGATGTAGAGGACGATGTCGTTCAAGAGCATGAAGATCGAGTTGTAGGAGCCGAACGCGTCCATGTTGATACAGAATCCTTCGATCTTGTCGTTCCAGAATTTCTGGACGGGAAGACATTGGAAGATACCAATGACGACGCATGAAAAACCAAACATGAAAGCCACGACGTGCATCACGTATATGAATATGCGATGCGAGTGTTCGAAAGTGAGCTCCGAGTAAAAGCAAAGCAATGAATGTTTCACAGCCCAGTTGCACATGAAGTAGAAGAACAACGATGCCATGGTCATCTTTTATGTATACTGTTAGCAGAAGATATCAAAAAACATAGCCTGTGGAGGCGAACCTTGAGAAAGGGAGTAATATTCTCAGGTGGAATTTCATCGAAGGTCAGGCCTCCACCAATATACGTGCTGGCCATCTGCACTATCGAGAGCATGATGGCACAAAGTGCTGCGTATGCGGCCAGAGCTTGTAATCGTCAGTAAAGCTCATCAAGATATGTCCACGGTTAACATACCATCGTGCCAGCTAAAGCTGCTCACCATCCGAAACTTTCTCCCAACACGACAACTGATAGCCAACAAAGTGAGCAAGATCAACGTTACATTGACGCCGATGATGGCGGGCTTCAGGTTGCCTGACATGGCTAGTGATGGAACAAAGTGTCAAGAAGTTGATGACCATGGATCGCAACCCCTGGCGCGTCGTTTGGTGTTTATATGCGCTTTTGTGGATCTCGCAAATCGCATAGCTTTTGGTGTGCTTGTCCGAGCATATCCACCAGGGCACGGGCTGCGGATAGAAGCGTGGCTGCTCCGTGTTGGCGTTGCTGTCACATACCGCACGGCACAGGAGTGTGAAGGGCCAGTTTAAAGGAACTAACGCAAACGAAGGCCTGGTGCAGTGTGGAGTGGCGCCTATAGTGTGATGGCGTAGGTCTCGAGGCGTGGAAAAGCAGTGAAATGGATGGTGTAGGTCGGTTGGCTGGTAACCGTTTTCTGGGGGTTAGCCTGTATGTGGTCCCCATGGGTGGCTAGCCTATTACGCTCAACGGTGTTGCTTTTCTGGCGAAGCGGACCCAGCCTCCACTGGCTTTGAGGTATCAAAACAAAGAGTTTCTATCCTCGAAAAAGGGTTTTGGACATTACTGGAGTGCAATAGTTGTTTGATATCGCCGCTATCAAGCTACGTGTAAGTATTATAGCGCCATAGCCTGCTGGAGAAATAGTGTGGTTGAATCTTGGATGCCATTCAGGTGGACTTGTGCAGGCTTGTACTTTGCTTTTTTGACGTCTTCTCCGCGCCATACTATTAGTTTATTTTTTCGCGATCCGAGAGGTCAGGCAGTCCCTTTTTTCGTGACAACGAACATTATCGATACTTTTGCCGTCATATGCGAAATCGCTGCCGCCACCTGCGCACAAGGTGCTCAATTAGGATTAAGGCCTCGTTCTCAGAAGATGTCCGGACTGTTTCAAGATCGAAGCGAATGTCTTGGAGAGCATTAAAATAGTCTGACGATCGAGTGTTGCTACCAGTGGCAAAACGGTAGAGGGCGCTGCGCTACTTGTAGAGTACGTTCTAGATACTCGAAGAGAGCGCCCGTGAGCTCAAGGGCAATCTTGCTAGCCTACAACATTGTCTGGGGCAGGGGGTATGATTGTTGGGAAGTGGAGTATTCTGGTTGGGGTACACTAGAATCGATGTCAGGACCTGATCTCAGGGACAAGGAGCATTGGAGATCAGTGTATTCAGGAATAGCCCGCAGCAATGTTTGCCGATATTGATAGGCATGGCATGCAAGCCCACTGAGCATGCCAATGCTACACCAAGGCTTCTGGGAGTGTGATCTTCTAAACAAGCAGATAATTCGCCAGTGTCGCGAAACGATTGGAGCTTGGATAGAAAAACCACAACTATGGCCAAGCTATTGTCGATCCGACGACAGACTTGGTTCCTACGTCATGTGCAGGCCAGAGTGGCAGTGGCAGGCTGTAATGAGATGGCTGCAGCGAGCTCAAAAGGGCTGTGGGGTACAGTTTCATAGACCGAGAACGAGACTCAAGCCCAGTGGGGTTAATTATCTAAAAAGAGCGGGTAGAATGTTCAGCTGAAGTGGAGGAGGCTTAGTGCGCGACAGAGGGCTGGATCCCGTTATAGGCAGAACCTGACCGAACTCTGCACCCAAGAATCTCTTGGCATGGTGCTTATAGTGGATGCTCTTGATTGTGAATAGGTAAGAACTTGAGATGTTGTGTCGCAGTAGGCATGCATGAAAGGGTATCGCAAGGCTATTCCGAGCATTACCTCGGACACCGAAAGAAGTCCGCGACTGTCTGACATAATCTTCCACTAAACTACATTTGGATGCGAGTAATCCTGCGCTTCCCATTCGTCATCGGGCATAGTTTTGCGTCCTCGCAATCAATGCGCATATAGTATCGCCACGCCCTTTGTAAATTGTGCCCAGAAACTTCGGGACCCTGCAGTCTACTTCCGCTCTGACCGTGCTTTACCGGTCTCTTTTTCTCTTTTGCGGACATTAGTTTATTGCAATTGTTCGTCTGCTACAATCTCTTTTTGTTGCGAACATCCGACACCTCGGAAGTCCGTAATAGTACACCCGCCACCTTTTTAGACCGCCCAAACTACAACCGCAGCAAGAGCCCCTCCCCACCTCGTACCAATTCCCTCGACATCTTATTCTCGCCGCCGTCATGTCTTTTTCTTCGCTCGTCTCAGACATTGCATACCGAAACTCGGAACGACCAGACCGACCGGATCTGCGCTCGCAGGTGTCAGAAGCACGCTCAACACGATCTTACGCTAGCACTGCTGCCACGAGCGTAAGCATATCTGGCGACATCAAGAGTCAGTTGCATGGCGGATATAGTCACCCTCTGTCGCGAGCATGGCAGTCAGAGCGCCAGCTGACCAAGGTATGCTGGGAGCGACTTTTTTTCCCTTCGAAAAAGCATTACAGGAATTAACGCACAGCGCAGTCGATGCTCATCTTTCCCCTCTTTATTTCCGATCAGCCTGACGAAGAGACGCTCATCCCCTCGCTTCCCAACATCCACCGCCGAGGCCTGAACAAGGTCGTACCATACCTTACGCCTCTTATCGCAAAGGGCCTCAAGTCGGTCATTCTGTTTGGCGTGCCGCTCGCGCCCGCTGCAAAGGACGCCCTCGGCACCAATGCGGATGACCCCAAGGGCCCTGTAATCAAGGCCATCCGCCTGCTTCGACGAGCATTCCCCGATTTGTTTATTGTTGCCGACGTCTGCTTGTGCGAATACACCTCACACGGCCACTGCGGTATTCTGCGCGACGACGGCAGTCTAAACAATGCCCTGTCCGTGGAGCGCATCGCCGATGTCGCTCTCTCATACGCGCAGGCCGGTGCGCACTGCGTTGCGCCCTCCGACATGAACGATGGTCGCATACGTGCAATCAAGCTGAGACTCATTGAGGCTGGAATAGCACACCAGGTCTCGCTCATGTCGTACGCCGCCAAGTTCTCAGGCTGCCTGTATGGCCCCTTCCGCGATGCTGCAGGCTCCGTCCCTTCATTCGGCGACCGAAGATGCTACCAACTGCCTCCTGGTGGCCGTGGTCTAGCGCGACGAGCCATTGTACGAGATATCGGCGAGGGTGCAGACATTATTATGGTCAAGCCTGCCAGCCAATACCTGGACATTATCAGTGACGCAAAGGAGATTGGCAAGGATATGCCAATCGCAGCATACCAGGTTTCTGGCGAGTACGCCATGATTCATGCAGCGGCAGCGGCAGGTGTCTTTGAATTGAGACAGATGGCCGAGGAGGCGACTCAGGGTATTCTACGAGCTGGTGCTTCGATAGTAGTCAGCTACTTTACGCCCGAATTCCTCGACTGGCTAGAGAATTAACAAAAAAAAGGAAGATTGACGATGGTTTTACTATGCATGATTTACGTTGCATAAAAGGCGATGGGAAGGCGTAAAAAGGCGTTTGATAATCTGTTTGCGAGGCATTCGTAATGAATTGAAGTTTTCACAACCACTCAAGCCATTTCGATTTTTAAATATTTATTTCCATATCTTCCATCTCACTATCTGGATATACCTGTCCCATCTCCCAGACAAATTCCATGGCCAAAAAAATCCACCTGTCCATCGTCCCCGACGATTTACCATGCAGGAAAAGAGAACTCCAATGCAAAAAAACTCCACGCTATGCTTTTTTCTCCCCAATGCCATATCCATACCATACCCGATGTAAAAGAAAAGGAATAGAAAAGAAATCACTTCAACTCAATAACCTTCTTCCCCTTCTTCCTCGCCTCCAACACCCCATCCCTCCACGCCGCAGCCTCTTCAACCGCGCCCTTCGGATCCGTCTTACGCATAAGCAAGTACCCCTGGATTTCCGCGGGCGAAAACGAATTCTCAGGTAGACTATCCGCGAATTTCTTCGCTAGGTCATCCAGCTCAGCTGAAGGCAAGGTGGCGAAGCGGGGAGGCAGGAAGGGCGTGGCGGGTTTGGCCTTATCTGCCTCCGCATTGCCATCCTTTCCATTACTAGGCTTTGTGCTGCGGGTTTGAGAGGGTTTAGAGATAGAGGTGGATGTAGGTGTTGTATCCGTGTCGTTACTATACATACGACGGAAAATATCCTGCATCTGCGAGTGAGTGGCGAGTGTGAATTTGATCTGGACGTCTACGCGTCCGGGGCGGATAAGTGCTGGGTCGAGTTTTTCGGGGCAGTTGGTGGTCATGATTAGGACGCGGCCTTCATTTGAGGCTGCGCCGTCGATGATGTTGAGGAGGCCAGCTAGAGAGATTTTGCTCTTGGTGGGTTGATCCTCGGTGATGTGGACTTTATGGGCGGATTTGGTCTCCGAGGTGGAGTCTATGGTAGTGTTGGCTTCGGAGGCGTCATCTTTGGAGACTAGAGTTGTTGTTTCGCTGTCGGTCTTGGTGATGGGTTTCTGGGTGCGGAGAGAGCGCGTGATTCGTCTACGGAGAGAAACCTTCTTTTCGGTCTCGGTGGTGTCCTCTTTTTTCTCATCGGTCTTGGCTCCCTCCTCGTTGTCCTTCTCTTTTCGTGGCTTGGACACCTTTTCAGTCTCGTCCTCGTCCTCGGAGTCGGAACCGAAACTCGAGATGGCGTTTCCAGATCCTTCGCGCCGGATACCTGCAGAGTCAATGTCTTCCAAGAGCACAATGCATCGGTTGGGAAGTAGACTGAAGAGTGAAGCAAGCTGAGACTCGCCGAGATCGGGTTCGCTCAGAGACGCGCAGTAGATGCTCAGTCCGAAGATGCCAGCCGCTGCGAAGCTCAAAGAGGTCTTTCCGGTTCCTGGCGGTCCGTGGAACAGGTACCCTCGACGATGCGGAATGCCCCTTGCTGCGTACCACCGCGCAGTAGCAGGATGAAGATATTCATTGATATCCGCAACAATCTTGCCCTTTTGCGCTTCATCCAGCGTGACTGTACTGATAGGCCGCGAAGGACGAGTCGACTGAATCTGCCAGTACCCTCCATGTCGCGACTCAGCACGATAGATTTCCGTCATGCTATTAGGTTTCTTGCTAGACCAGGTCTTGACATGTTCGATGAGATCCTTGATAGGCTGCGTGCTTCGGCCCATGCAGCGGATGATGAGACAGTACTCAATGCGCTGCGCAAACTTGTTCTCCTGCATGTCCTTTGTGAACTGAAAGTAAGAGCCATTGTACTTGAACTTGTCATCACCAAGGTTAGGCTCGTAGTAGATGGGGTTATTGCTAGCCCACTTGTCGTACTGGAAAATTCCTGACTCATCAAGGACATCCTCGTTGTCTGGCTCGTCATCCGACTCATCGTCAGAATCATCAGAACGGGCCCGAGGCTTCCTTGATGAGGCCTTGAGATCTCGGCTTAGCTCCGTCATGCGCTGTTCCGATATCCAGGTGATGAACTGGGCGTATAGATCGTCATCATCATCGATTCGAATAGCTGAAGTTCCGTAATTTCTAGATGAGAATGCTGTTTAGATATGAAGTCTTGAAGAGCATCGGGGCTGTGAAACTTACAGCAGATAGTAGTAGACTTGGTTGTAGAGATACAGTGCTCCTTGATAAACACCAAATAGCAGCAGGTAGAAAGACATGAGGTTCCCAACGTCGAATCCAAGCTTGCCCATTAGAATCTGAGCAAAAGCGCCAAGGCCAGGAATGCCAATTGCCGCTTCTGCAAAGCCCTGTGGCAGCACTCCCTTGAGGCTCTCCATGGCGATGTGGGTTGTCCGCTCGTAGTAGGGGCAGCAAAGTATCGCCACCGCTGTCGGCAAACCCTTCAAAGCTCTCTCCCCTCAAAGAAACGCCTGCTTCACTAGTGAGTTTTCAAAGAAAGTAGTGAAGTTGTTTGAAAGCGCAGGTTTCAGAATGGACATGTGAGCAAAGGGTGCAACAAAGGCAGAATATTAATACTGGCCGCCACCCCCAGGCAAATTTCCCCTAGGACATAACTTGCAAACGTGCATAGGTGCATTCACCCCGAAAGTCCTAGTCTTGCTACCCCGCAATCAACTGGGTGAAGACGAAAAAGGGCGGTTGCAGCCTAAGCTAACAAGTGGCTGTGCAGCATGCATGTCCCCTATGTCCGATGCGTTTTTGCTGATGGAACAGCATGACTTGACATCATTGCCGCCCTCGCATCTGACTGCGCTAGAGCAGCAGCTGCGCCGGGTAAAAGGTGAAAGGGCGTCAAGCCATGAATCGTGGTGATTTGCAAATGGGCCAAAGGGCACCCGGATGGCACTGACATGTGTCGATGCGTGCAAAAGGCTGCAGCTAGGCCGATGATTCCATGATCACCGGTGACGCCGTAATGAGTCTCGGCCCGGCCACACTGCCGTATGTACGTCCGTAAGGAAGGATTGGAACGAATGTATGTAGCTGAGAAAATACTTGTACAGCCTTACAAGGCAGCCACCAAAGGGGCAATGACGTGGTTGTTGTAGGCAGCAACTGTGGCGGAGCTGTGGCTTGGCGAGCCCAAGGCTAACAACGTTCAGCCCGTCCACATACTTATCCTATTCTTAATTAACATCCGCCCTCGTCTCCACTCTTACCCATGTCCTCCTTTTACCAGACACCAAAAAGACATGTGTAATACTTCAAGAACAACATTTAGCAGAGACGCATATCGCAAACACGGTTGCACCAAGAGATGAGATTTCTAAGAAGAAGAAAAGTTACCCAGCCATTTCATAAGCACAAAAACTCCGAAATGTATTTCCATTTATACAAAGAAAATAGAACAGACAAACGGACCAATCAACCCACTTCGAATCAAACTCAACACCATCGCTAAACAAAAAGAGAAGGAAAAAAACAATCCAAACTACATCGAATCGAGTTTAGAAATACAAAAAGGCCCCCCCGCTCCCACTTCTTTGCCTGTTCCACTCACCCAAATTTGCATTACAAGAACGTATATCATTGTTACCTGGCCGCGCCGCCGAATAACAATACAGAAAATGAAAAAAAAAGTGAAAAAAAGTGGTATCGTAAACAAAAAAAGGAATAAAAAAAGATATACAGAGCTGACATAGACCCATTTCAATTTGCGCCGGGTATATAAAGCGTTTCCGTCTTTGTTCATCCAGATTTGTTTCCCTGTAATAACTCCGAAACATGAGAGAGGAATGAGAAAACAAAATGTCGACGTGGGAACCATTAAATTTGTTGATTGGGGGTGGAAGCGAAGCGCAACTTGGCCTGGTTCCAGATCCTCCCGGGCCTTTGTGTTGATTGGAACAGACGCTCCTGGATCAGATTTCAGCCATGACTGTTGGGATTGTGTTCATCAAGCAGGGGATGATGTGGCATTCTCCTCTGGGGGTGACTGGTGTGGCACGTCTTCTGGAACGTATGCGATAGGAGCCCATATTCGCCAGTGAAGTAGGATAATGTGTGTGATGCGGTTAACGAGGTCTGTCAACTTGCCAGTCTCTGGCTGTAGGTGAGCGAGCGAAAATGCATCAGAAACGCCAGACCGTGACGTATTTGGTAGAGGAGGCAAAGAAGCGGAAATAGGAACAAGATTGGTGAAAAGATCTACCGGCGATGAGGCCCGGTGACGGTCGACGTTGGCGAGAATCTGTGGTAGGAGCAAAGTCTCGAGACGTGCAGCATGGTGAGCGGTTCGGCGAACGAACAGCATACGCAAGCTCAGGTTGGCGTCAGCCATGCGGTCAAAACCATACGCATCTGGTTGTCCAGCAAGACGAGACGCGTGTCGCAAAATCTCCAGCGAAAGAGCTTCCGAGTTCATCATCCACTGATGGGCCCCGTACCCAGCGGTTTCGCCCATGATGGCAGAGAGGGCAGTGCGGAGTTGTTGGCCAAGAGTGAGAGTGATAGGTCCCTGGTACCCGAATTGCTTTGCCATGGCAACGCACATTTCCATGCAGACTTCGAACATGACCAGATCATCAACCTCAGCTCTGAATACACGTAGTCGATCGTTATCGAGGAAAAAGGTTTCTGGAAGATTGCCTCGTCTGTCTCGGCCAAGCGACTTAGCCGTGACTGCGCGGGTAAAGACTTCAAGCTCGAAGCAGGGTCCAGCCCTTGGTCGTGGTGAACATTGCGATACAAACTCCTCAACAGCAGCGGTGAACCAGCTTTTTGCAGCATCGACGTTGATCCTGGCTCTGCCGCTCACGAGTCTTTCCAGATGGTAGTGCTTTTCGAAGTTGACTGTATCCTCGATAAGCAGCGTTCTTAGGTTTCGGATCTGGTGGTTGGCGACATCCTGCATTTCGGTTAGTCTCTACTAATATGATTTTGGGCTGTCAGACTCACAAGTTTCATAGCCTCAAGGATAGCAAAGAGCGTCTTCAGGCCGATAACAATCTGCTTTGAATCTTGTGTAACTGCGCCTTGTCTTGTGAGGGCCACCATCTCGTCAACCCACACATCACGCATTGGGGCACAATGCTCCTTGAGGAGGCGGGCAATCCATTCCGCTAGCCGTACAAAGTCACACACTCCACGCTCAATCTCTTGCATCAGCAGGGGAACATCAAGGTGCTCATCTACTCTTGAATGATCACTGTCGGGAACAAGGCTCTTGATGACATCCCGAATCGTCTGGAACAAGACTGGAATCCGCCGTTGCGCTCCACGAGCAAAGCGTTCCAGCTTGGCCTGGGGTATCGGCGGTGTTCCCTGGAACAAGCGCTTGTAAAGTTCCAGCTCAGCGATCAACGCTGTCCAGTACTTATCAGCGGTTTGTTCCTTCTTTTGCCCTTTTGCTCCATCCAGGTTAGGTCGGAAGCTCAGATCGCGGTCAAAGTTGACGTCATGCCGTAATTTGATGTTGGTAATGATACTTTGCATGTCTAGTTCGCTCAACGATTGCGTTGTGACGGGCGGCGTGAGTGTTGCATACAGAAAGTCCTGGGCTAACTCTTCAACAGATGGTTGCGTCTTGGGCTGCTCGCTTAGCATGACTTTGAGCATCTCTGCAAGCTCTTCGTGTACGATCAAATAACAACGTCGTGATGGTGATGGAGAGACTATCTCTTTTGCGGCAACATGCTCTCTAGCCTGTCTTGCACCCTGGTCTGCGATTTGTCTCTCTTCGACTGTCTGTCCTTCTGAGCCAGAGATGGAGCCGTGCCATGGCGATGGTGATACTTCGATGCCATCTACGTCCATTGCGCCAGACCGTGACGCATAGTGCTGCTCCGACGCAAAAGAAGGGTTGGTGCTGGGATTCGTCTTTGGCGTGTGGGAGCTCATTTCCTTGCGCCGGCGTACGCCACCGAAGTTCTTCTGCATTGATGACGGTCGAGTTCTCATGTGGTGACGTGTGCTGGGAGTACGATGACGCTGGTCGGCGGTGTCGTGACGAGCGCGTGAGTGGACAAAGCAGTGGTGATAAGTCCTGAGGGGAAGCGAACGCTCAAGGAAAGCGCACAAGGTTGCTGCAAGCGCTGACTGCCAGTCGTTAGCCCACCAAACTATCCAAGACAGCGCGGTTTGTAAGACACAGAATGGAAACGTGTTCGCGAGTTGTTTGACCAAGGCACAACAGGGGCCTGCTGGAACGAGCGAGATGACATTCCGAGTCAGACAAGCACGAAGACGCCGCGAAGGGCGGGACGATGCTCGGATGAAAGTCGTACCTTGTTGGCATATGCCCACTTGAGATACTAGGCCAATGGAGACTGTTGGTATACAAGTTTAGGGCTTGACAGGCGTTGACATAGTGAAGGGGGACAAGAAGGTCACCCGCAATGACAAAGAGCGACAGAACAACAAGGAAGAGAGTGGAAGCGTAGAGAGACGGCTTCGGACGGAAAGCACTTTGCAGGAAAAGCAAAGTGCAAGAGAGAGAGAGAGAGCGGAAAACAAGCAGAAAGCAGAGAGACAGACAGGAAGAAGGGGTGTTACTACTGATGATAGTGGTAACGATGTGTGGGCAGGCGTGGGAGGGCTGCCAGATGGTGATGATGATGTTGGTGGTGATGGTAATGGTAAATGATGATGGCGGCGGTATTGGTGACGACGGAGATGAATGACGCTGCGTACTTCAAACAGCAATGGTCTGGCTGGGGGGGGGAGGGGAGGGATGGACTCGGTTGCGCAAGCTGGAGGCTGAGATACGAGTCGGGTGCGTGCCCTTGCGTTCTTGTTTAAAGACTGGGCACAGACGGCGGGTGTGGTTATGCCCTGACCATATGTCGAATGTGCAAAGCAATACCGTCGAGGCGATCGCCATAGAACCGCCGACGGCTTAGGGCGTTCCGTGTCGAGGCCGGGGCGGGGACGACGAGGATGAGGGTGAAGCTGCAAGGCATGTCATCCCAACACGCTCACCGCTAGTCGCCAGTCGTGTGTCTCGAAGAGCTCGTCCGACGGTGGAGGCGGCGATGTCGAGAGGGAGGAAGATGCAGCAGATGTGCAGCCCAGCCAGCCCAGACGGCGTGCGGCACCCGCTGATTGGCCGTGCGCACCGGAGAGCGCATCACCACCGCCTCACTTTTGCTCGCAACCAAAACCAGGGCGAGCAGTCGCGCGGCTTGCATGCTAACCCAGGGAAAAGCCAGCCATGCTGAAGCCTACTCCCCGGTCGGTTGCCGATACAGTGTATGGACTGAAGGGGGCGCGGCCAAGAAGACCGAGACAATGCCCGTTCATGTCTACGTAACAGACAAAAAACACGCGGACAGAAAGAGAGAAAGAGAAAGATATAATACAGTAATCTTGCAGTCAGCTTCCGACAACAAGCGGTTAACGCCGTCATAATACTCGGACGAGATGCATTCCCTCTTTTAGCCTCACTCTAGCCCTCTCAGCCGCCCATTCCCCGACGCCGCTAAATCGCCCCGTTCATCTGGTGCCTGGCTACGATGTTTCCATGCTATTAATTACTCGGATGATCCCCTTCCTAGGCATCGCCTCGCCAAAGGAACAATCAAGATTTCGTCCCGCTTCTCTCTCGCTTTTCGCTGACGTTGGCCTTGTCATGGCTCTCGCGTCGTCCGGTGTATGAGGATCCAGGCATAACCCAAATAGGCAATCCCGACCATCGAAACCCATAAACCAACACCCCATACTAGGAACACTGGATCCGGACCCATTACTTACTGTCTAACTTTTCCTTTTGCCTCACCCAACATGAAGCAAACCCCCCCACTCGAATACATACTGAGTACATACACTCTCGCATGACGTGTCTCTCTAACCCCCTCCTTCCTGCAACCCCCTACTCAACCTGCAAAAGAAAACTGCACCGCACCGCACCGCAACCGCATGCATGCTTCCACCCCCCTCCCTCTAACCCTCCGGTCTAAATTCCCAACTTCCTCCTTACTACCCCTACCCCATCTACCCCATCTACTCCATCATCCCACCTGCACTCTTCGCCCTATCACCGCTCTCTGTCCCCCCTCCTCACACGCTCGCTCCTCTCCCCCCTCAACGCTTCACCTTGGCAGCCCACGCACCATGCACAGCGTCCCCGCGCCCACGCCGTCTGACTCATGCGACCGCCGACCGCACACGCTCTGACGGGGTGGTGCTGCGTGGCTTTTGCGCAGAGGCGGACGTACGGGTATACGGGGGTTGGGGGGCAGGCGCAGTGCAGGAAGATGGTGAAGAGGGCTGTGCACATCTTTTCCTATATCCTTCTCTCTCTCTCTCTCTTTAAGTAAATATTTCAAAAGCAAATGGAACGGGCAAGTAAGTCCGGGGAATATTCGACTGCTGGTGTAATTGCTGTATCATGGAGTGTTGTATGAGCATCCCAACTTATATGCTTCCATTCACTCCTTCAACAATACCTTACCCTTTCCTTCCCTATATCCCCGTCCAGTGAGTGCAATCAATCAAGAGCAATCAGACCGGCAACTCAACCCCCCATGCTGTTACTTTCACCCTTCCCCTCCCGTCCCCGTCCCCGTCCCTTCTTGAGCCGCTTGACGATTGCCATGAGCGAACAAAGGACAAAAAGGTTTTTCGGTTTGAGTCGCTTGTTCAGGGTCTCTCTATTGTGTGGTTCTGTTGGTCTGCACCCTTTTTGGGTTTTAGATCTCCAGCAGGGGTGTGTGTGTGTGATGGTGGTAGTTGTAGATTGGCGTGTGTGGAGTGCGGGCATGGACTCTCTGTTTGAATTACAACTTTATCGTGTTACTATCACGTGCTGACATGATTTTCTTCAACAACAGCTCATCGCGTTGGGGGCATGTAATGAGATGTAGTTCTTGTAAATAGAGCAGTGCTGGCTTGATTAGATAGTGTATGCACGAACATACACATTTAGCTGGCGCTTCGCGAATGACATTGGCTTCTCTGTTCGTATCTCCCACGACTCTCCATTTACCAAACACGATGCCTATTTCCAGTTTCGTCTTTGAACCCGAGTTCCAACATGATCAATCATCAAACGAAGCGAGACAAAAAAGAAATTAAGCCGAACAGACGCTTTGAACGTGAATCGTTTGTCTGCTTAGCAGCCAAGAGAGCACTAACAAGCTGTCCATCAATCTGTGGAAAAAGTCCAATCTGTTTGACGCGGCTAGACACTCATTCATTTGTTAGTATTATGCAACAAAAAATAAAGCGTGTTTGGTCGCGCGGGAACAGCATCATATTAGGATAAGTAGCAATAACGAGGAAATGAAAAAAAGGGAGGTAGGCGGCAATCATCTATTACAAGTAGCAGGTAAACGCTTCCTAAGCAGCAGTTTCCACGGATGGCTCGCTCTTCGTTTGCTTGCCGGTGCGTCCACGTGGGGTCTCATGTGAGCTCTTGGTCTCATGCTCGTCTGAACTGTCGTCGATAGGGCTTTGGGGCCGGCTGTCGTTCAAATTGCGACGACTACGCGCCATCTGCAGTCTGATGTTAGCATCTCACTCGTTTCTCACAGATAAAGAAATCAACACCTACCCATGACCGTACACCTCCGATCAGACCAAGGTTGTAACCAGCGGTGAACTCTGACGATTCCCTCGACGGGTTGTTCGCACGCGGAATATCCAGATGGCTGAGTCGCGAGAGTGCCGAGGGCGATCGAGCGGAGCCTGAGACATCCATGGCTTCGGCTTGCGAATGCTCTTTTGTAGGCGTTCTGGCCGGGCTTCCTGGCCGACTTGTTTGCCAGAATTGACGAAAGTCTCTGCTGAGTTCTATGCCGGTCGTGGTCCAGTTGGCCTTGATGCTGTCGCGCAGCTCCGCCATTGTACGCTTGACATCGAGCTCGTTCTTCTTCAACCACGATACGTTGAGTTCCTTGCGTGACGTTCCGCGCTTCAGTTGGCGGTCGATGTACTGGTCGTAATCCCGTACAATCCTATAGTATATTAGCAGGCTCCTGACTGGCGGTAGCAAGACTCTTACTTGGTAATGATACCCGTTGTGCTAAGACCCTCTGTTCTTTGGGTGACGAGGAACATGCCTCGCTCCTTGATGGGGCCGTAGATGTCATCGCCCTCATCCGCCCCGTATGGCAGATCGTCGTGAGCAACATAGTCAATGTTGTGCTTCAACAGGAACTCGGCCGTAACGATCCATGGGCAGTCTTCAATGACTTCATCAACCCACTTGCAATGACGCACGCTCTCGGCGCGCTCTCTTGCAGACAAAACCGTCAGACCTTTGCGCTTATGTGTCTCCTTGTTACCCGTGACACCGACCACCAGGTGGACATCTGGAAAGGCAGTCTTAGCCTGTTGAAGCGCACGCATGTGACCAATGTGGAACAGGTCAAAAACACCATCTGCGTATATCCTGACTGGGCGTCCCTGGGGCGGAGGGTTCGTCTTGTATCCGACGGGGTCGACTAGACCGGCTTTTGGAGGAGGCGGCATGCGCATAGATTCGGCCTCGCCTGCCTCGCCATGCTCGCTGTCCGGGGATGACGATGATGATGTGCGGCGGCTCTTCTTGCTGGCGCGCTCCTCGTCGTTCTCGCCATCGTGGGAGCAGTCTGCTACACGTACTCGTTTGGATGTGCCATTGGTGTCGGCCTGGCGCTCCTTCTTGGACGCGACGGCCTTCAGCACAGGGTCTACGGTGCCCTCGTCGGATGCATCGCGGGAAGAGGGCTGGACGGGGTCCATGGCGTCTTGTTTGACGGAGTCTACGGCCGTGGTTCGCTTTCGTTTTGGTGGCATAGGCGGTGGCAGATGGGTGCAGGCGGTGAACCAAGCAACGAGAGGGGGAGGGCGACTGCGGGCGCAACGTCTATCTTCTTACAGAGCACGCGCTCTTGGCGAAAATCCGTTGGGATGGAAGCGACCGCAGGTGTGGGGTGGAGGAGACCGAGGAGCTATGTGATGGACAACGCGCGGTCCTGATACGCGGAAGACGTGGTTCGGATTCCGAAAGCTGGAGCTCCAGTGACCGCTACCAAGGGGCCGCTTAACGGGTGAAGGAGGAAGGTGTCGAGAAGGCGACGCGGTTGGGCTCACCAGGTGTAGGCAGAGCACAGAAACAACACAGACAGGCAAAGTGGCCAGAAGAGTGTGCACAATCGCGACACAGTGGGCAAATAAGTGTCGTCAGATACGCGTAGATTACACCTCGCATCTTCCCATAAATTTCGCACCGCTTCCCTGATCCTAATCACGATCGCCCTCTTGGCATGACGAAAGTTCACCCGTCGCCCCCTGCGCCACAGTACCACATACCAGCAATCGCCAAAGACCGCCCACGTGTGGCATTTCCCATTCTGATTCCTGCATTCTGTAAGATTGGCATTCGTCCCGTCCCCTTACTACTACAACATGGCTGCTCCAGCGGAGCCCGCAACGCGCCAGACTTGACAAGCACGCGATGACGACTTGCAATCGATCGAAGCCATCAACCCAAGCCCACTGCCGTCTGGAGCCGCCCATGACCTTAATTTGCGGCGCGTAGACTGCAAGTCTGCATGTACTACTCGCTACGAGGCCCGTAAGTTTAAGTAAAGAGAGTAAAAAAAGAGCACATGAGGTCATACGATGTGGTGAGACGAGACAACAGGGCTTGATTGCTTGCGGTAATGGGCCTGGGCCTCATGTTCCTGCCCTAGCCGATTCGTCCAGCGTCCAGACCCGAACCTCCCCGTCATCGCCAGTACTCAACACCACCTCGTCATCTTCAGACCGCTTGCCCTTGTCTGCTCTCCGCGCCCAGGCGACGTGGTTGATCTCAAAAACGTCGTGCGCTGAAAACAGTTCTGCAACAACTGTCCATTCCGTCAGTGACTGTGCTTGCGCCGCATCAACCTCCATCTGATCGCCATTAGCGGTATTCGAGGCATCCTGTCTCCAGCGCTCTTTATACACGATAATCTTGCCGTCGCTACCAGCACTGACAATCATGCCTGTCCTGCGGCTCCATGAAACTGAGTAGATGGCGCGTTCGTGAACTTGCGGAAGTATGGCTTCCTGATACCAATCTTCATCAATCGCCGCCGAACGGATGATGCTTGGTATACCCGTGTTGCTGCTCGAATTATCATCCCTCTCCTTTGCCTTCCGCCTCCATACTCTCACCGTGCGGTCATCGGAGCATGTCGCCAGCCGTGGCCCTGAGCGCTCAAGATCCTCAATATACTGTGTCTTCTCTTCGGATAGCCCTTCTCTCTGTGCTCTCCAATCCTTCTTGCTCATTCCACTTCCCTCAAACTCGGCCCACCATACCGTCTGACTGTGTCCATCTATCATGGAAACCTGCACCCAATCATCTGCGTCTTCCCTGTAAAGCCTGACTGTGTCATCGTAACTTGCACTGGCCAGAAGATCCTCTTCTGAATGCCATGCCACGCACTTGACGTCTCCATCATGCTCTTGCAGCACGGCTACTGTCTCAAAGTTGTCATCTTCCAGTTCTTCCCATATCCACACGCTCTTATCGCGCGAACAAGTGGCTAGGTACTGCCCGGAAGGGCTCCACGAGAGACACTTAATCTCAGATTCGTGACCGTCGAGAATGCAACTGAATTGATAGTCTTCTGCTTCATCGTCGCCATCATCGTCTTCGGTGTTGCCAATGCGCCGGTTCGTGAAGTCGTTTTCCAATGTACCGCCCTGCTCTTCGCGTCGCCAAATGCCTGCGCTCGAGTCGAAGCTACCTGTGGCCAATACGCTCTGGCCCTGTGTGCCTGGCTTCCATGATACTGTCCGTACGCTGCGCTTGTGACCTCCGGTTATCGAGTGGAGTAGTGTAAAAGATGTAAGACTATACACGCGAACGCTTCGGTCTGAGCAGGCGGTCGCAACAATGGGAAGAGTTGGGTGTGGTGCGGACTGCCATGTCCGCGAGTTTGAGGGTGGTGTGAGGGTTGCGAGTTGTGAGAGTTTGTGTGTTTGCGTGTTTGCTGGCGGAGACATGGTGAAGGGGCTTGCGCACGAGTCGCAGCTTTCGATAGTCGTCAGAGGCCAGCAATTGTGAGCTTGGGGGGACGAGAAAGAAGCTCAATACAGGCAGAACTCTGTTAAGCTTGTGTCTGCTGTTCTCGCTGAGCTATGCGACCGAGTCAATGTTTTCGATGCTTCGAAAGTGGGGGGCACAGAAAGTTCGGATGAGCGTCATAGGTACGCCAAGCATCCCACCATCTCCGTTGCGTTATCGGACATTCGCATTCGTTTACATTCATCACCAAATCATGTGATCGTATGATTTCTCCGAAGTTCATTTGCCTGCTTATGTCGAATCCGTGAATAATCATATTATCTATTCTCGAGTCACCTTGATCTATCAGACATCTGCTCATAGAGCACGCCACTTCCCAAACTGGTGGATCCTACCCTTTGTCGCTACATACCATAATGAATATATCAAATATCTACAGAAAAAGAAATATCATGAATCTATCTCTCAAAGAGAAACCTCGTAATACAGATAAAATCTATGCAAAGGAGTGTTTAGTTCTAGGCTCCACACTGGTGGGTAGCCGGCTCATGAGTGAACCACGGAATGCTGTCGTGATCATCATCAACAGATCAGCCAGTGTTTGGTTCTCCTGGTCCGCCATATTGCTCTTCGCTTTCTTCATACTGTGCATCTCCACCTTGAAATTGGATTTGCTTTTAGGCGACTTGATATCCTCCATGGAAGTCATGACCACTCTGCCCCACATACTATGCCCTGAAGCCGCTGTGAGAGTCCTAGTATGCAGTCTGTGGTTGACGAGGTTATCCACAGAGTTCGCTTCTTCATTCCAGCTTCTCTCGCTGCTTAGTGATTTCTCTTTGCGAAGGCTCCACGGCCATTTGGAACTGAGGCTAGAAGATGAAGTCTCGGCATCTGATTGCGCCCGTTGGAGACAGCCAAACTCGTCGTAGTTTCTTTGCACAAGCACAGCATGGTCTGCGCATCCTGTTTGCGATCTGAGGTATGTCTTGAAAAAGGAAAACGGTATCGCTTTGAGGCTGAAGCTCTGCAGCGACTGGACGTAAATTTCCTTGATACCACAGAAAGCAAACACTTTCGCTTGGCTAAAATCTGTTTGTCCATTAACCATATCGAGCTGTTGTGCCGAGAATATGGCGAAATGCAAAGCCTCTTCAGGACATTCCCGGAGGAGAGCTTCGATCTGACTGCCGAATTTGCGCATAAACGCAGACACTTTAGTATTTGTTTCTGAGGAGGCTTTGATCCGCGCCAGGCACCGGTCCAAAGTGAGCCCGTGGAATGTTGAGAGAACTTTCAATTGATGACTGTCGAGTTGATCGTCATCAAGTTTAACCATTGGCAGCCGGCCTGCATTCGCCCGCGGCACCACGACATCCATGCTTTTCATGCCGGGTCTTGGTTGTACCAAGAAAGAGGCGAGGTAGGTGCCCCTCTTCGGAACAGAGTACTGTCTCTCACTAAAAGCGTGTAGGCGGATAATAAGATCCTCGAGGTCGCCACAGGGGATCTGCAAGCTGCGTGCTATGTTATGACTGACCTGCTCGATTTCCGCGAAGCTGTAGCCTAGTTGTTGTAACCGATGTGCTTCTGATGCGTCGATTTTCCTCGAGAGTATGAGCATCTGCCCCTTTCCAAACACGACTGGCTCGACTCTCCCCGACTCGAGATCGTTGACTGTCATATTCACATCTGGAGTAGTCTTGGTTGTATGTGTGCCTGTCCACGTCCCGCGATTGTTGGTCATTGTGCCAGTAGTCAAAACATCCTCATACAGACATCCCAACTTCTCGAGACCTATATCGAGAGCTGTAGCCATCTCATCAGCCGTAACGCAGAACAATTTGCGGAACGTGGCTGACGAGGTCGCATCATCGCTCTCATGTAATGAGTTGCGTCTTTTGTTCCCGGAAGAAGTCGCTTCGAGATATCCAACCAATTGCAGGTTTTCACGCATTGACGGAATGAGGTCGGAGATACCAGTCCAGTTTCGTGTGACCCTAAAGATCCATTGGAAAACGGGATGTGACGGGTCAAGTTCGTCGTCGAAGGCTCCTTGATTGAAATGCTGTATGATGGTCTGACACGGCATCAACCCAGTCTTGTTGACCAGCAGTTTCCCTGAGGGATCAAAGGTGGCAATAGCTAGGACGGCTTGCTGAGCCCTGCTCTTTTCCTCTTTCCGTTGGCGTTGTTTGATGAAGCCGAGTATGACACATGCAATGCATGAAATTGTTAACTGATCCATGTTAGCAGCAGAATTGATATTTGCAGCATGTGACTTACAAGACAATAAGCGACAATGAGGTTTACGTTCTGGTCCGCTTCCTCGCCATCGTGATAGGACTGGATCTGATACCAAGTACCTGTTGCTGCAGTCCAGTGCATCCTAGACCATGTCAGAAAAATTATCATACCATACGTCTTCAGTATCACTCACCCGCAAATGCCCACAGCCAGAGTAATAGACACAAATATGCGCCTCCAGATATTGTTCATCCAGAGTTTTCCCCAGTAGAAAAAGAGGCCAAACCCAACCGAACATATGACCACAGCAATAGCTGCAGAACCAACCACATTCGCCCAGTTCGCCGACATACTACAAATCTCAATACCGATGTTTCCCAGAAAATGCATCATGGTAGCAGCACCACCTGTACACAGCCCGCATACAGCAAGCGATCCGTATCGAACAATAGCTCGCCGGCCCAGCTCGTGAAACCTGATCGCGACCGAAAGACCTATAAAGATAGGTATAATGGGTAGTATAGCTGATAACACCGCATATGTCTCATCGTAGTATAGCTGAATCTCTAACTCGCCGTCACCAAGGATAATCGCACGGTTCCCGACAAAATGCATGCACCAGACTGCGACTAGCCCGAATGTTACTGAACAAATAGCAATATCGGCCCTGTAATATGTGAGACACTGGGATATGACATCTGTTTTGAATACGTACCAGGGACGCCATCCTATTCCAGAGGCTCGTCGGTGCAGTAGCTCTACGGTAGTAAAGGTCCCAGTCAGGCTGACAAGAAACGAGGCGAATACAAGATACGGGAGGAAGGATATAGGAGGTGTGGTTCCGACGAGGTATTTATCCTGGACCTCTGGTCTCAACATGATAGATGCGACGGGATTGTGGTGGTTTTATGAAGATGGAAATGCACCTGTGCATAGATGTCTTGCCGGTAGATCTGGATATCGTTAGAGTATGGTTCTCCAGGACATTACATCGATTGAAAAAAACTACCCACGCACCTGAGCCAAAGCGAAGTCGCAACGCTGTTGCTAGACGCTTTCCACAAAACGTGTCTTCGACCAAATTCGTCTATCGAAAACGTCAATCTTCCCTATAGCAGCCGGCCGCATCAATACAAAACAAATGAACAACTTTGAATGTACCAAGTATATCAAACAAATTCTCTGGCGTTTTATTAAATCAGAAACCTAGCTTCCCCTCTCTCATTAACGGACAACCCCGTTACACCATCTCTCGCCAGATGAATCTTGGGACAGACCATAAGGCTCCACAGTAATTACTCATTGAGGGAGTCGGCGCTAAGTTGGGTTACGAACGCCACAACTTATGCGCTAAGTGGTGGTGACAGCTGTGGGGCGATGAAACATGGTCCTAGGGCTGAGGGCTCGATCGATGGATAAAATTTCTTCGCATTTTGATACTCCGGCTTTTGGTCAAGTGTTGTTGTTTGGTGTGGTTTGATCTACTAATGCGCTGCAACTTGACATACCTTATTGCGAGAGCGTTGTGTCTGTGGCTTGTTTATTAGTAAGGATGTGACCTCCATAAAGTAATGGAATGTACGAGACCGTAAACTCTGTATATGATTCACACCTGGTAAGTGCGCCGTGAAGGCTTTTCGTTTCTGTCAAAGTACTTAAACGGCAAGCGTTGTCCCGCTGCCTAATGATGGCTAACAAGCTTTCCCAAGCAAAACACGATGCTACCAAATGCGAGAGTCGGCAGTTGACATGAGCCAATGTGGCGCCTGTTAGTGTGATGACACTTGGCGAAGTTGTGTGTAAACATCTGTGGAGTGGAGTTCAGGATTCTCCATTGGCGGGGATTGATTAAACCATGCATGATAACTTAATTTGGTCGGTGTCGTTGAGCCACAGTATTTTGGGTGCTTATGAAAGTTTCGTGTGTCCGAGTACCTCGAGCTTTAAGTGATGCCGTTGTAAAGCATTCATAGGTACGTAAGATTTCGACGATCACGTGTTGATCGTCCCGGTGGATTCTGACCATGGATTGAGAAGTCGGACATCTGAGCTAGGACTCGAATAAGGTTCGGAAATCTGAAATAATCTGATAATTTTATCGGACAGTCACCACTAATTAGCAGGCCATTTTACTAAGCTCTCTTCCACCGCCAAGAAATCATATGATATCGAGTGTTCCATCCGCAAGGTTGCAGCCAGGAGTGGAAACTTTGGTGCACAGTTCCTTGACAGCTGTCTCCCGGAGACAAGCCCTAAACCATGTCAGTGTAGGCCTGAAACTAAAGCTATCCATAGGTTAGTATCATTAGTGAAGACGTATGTGGGGGCGGGTGAAAGAATAAACTTTAGGCCAACGCCCTATTCTATATATATGCCGTCAGGGCCCGATGTACCTTTCTTAACTGAGGCCTGGGGCGCTCATGATTCAGGCTCCGTTCTCAGCCAAGAGAAAGCTTGTCGCCCGCCAAGGAATGAACTCCCAAGACTCGCTAAGGATCGAGCGGCAAAACATCAGTGACATGGGCGGGCTCTGAGAGTCCTGCATTTGTTAGTAATATATCTACGTTATACCACAACTCCGATTCGGATTGAGGCCAAGAGGGATGGGATCCGAGTCGGTTGTGCCTGACCGGATACAGTATTCAACGTAGTGACGCATAACCTCGTCCTTGTTTGCAGCGTTTTGCATAGAAACAGGCGCATTGAATTTATAATCATAATCGTATGATATAAGAAGTCTGAGGTGAAACAACTTCTAGTGCATGTCAAACAGATTCCACCAAGCTGGTAAACCTAATCATGTCAATCGTGACACTAGTGCAGTGCGCTAAGGCCAAGTATCGGTAACTTCCACCCAACCAGAAGTTGCGTTTGGCTGCTGGGTCTTTTCTTTTCATGCCCACGCAAAGACCCTGCATCAACCACCACAGATGATGCATAAACAGTTCTTGAAAGCTTCACCAGGCGGACGTGGCATGGAAATCCGGGCCAATGCATCCGAGAATAAGTTGTGAGTTCGTAAACATGATCATTCAGATCTGCCGTTGCAACCGGAGTATAGACCTGAGGACGCTTAGTAGGATAGTGGATCAAACAACAGCTCTTCTTCCAGCTGGGTAATACCATGATTTGGGATGAGTTTGGTGAAGATTTGTTGTTGGGTTTGGACTTGGTAATTGTCACCAGTCATTGTTCGCGGTGTGGAAGGCAGTAAAAACCCATCATCAGTACTTTCCCTCGAGTTATTGAGAGCCATGTCTTCATCGTGTACTGCATATACGTCTTCTTTCCATTCGACGTCTTTCCCCACTAACATATCATCCGAGTCCGAGTAGACCTCGTCTGAAGGGGAGCCAATACAAGGTAATGTCGGCGGTGTAGGGTCGCGAAGTAGACTTTTTTGTGAATGCACCCATAAATTACTTGCGACGTGACGCGTGATACGAGCAGTGTTAGACTCAATGGCGTATCCTGTCTCATAGGCTTTATCTCGCCCACCCGCACAAGTAGGGTTGCTGATGATCTCCATCTTGGACTTCAGCGAGATAGACATTGTTCTTGCAAAGCATGTTTGAGCAAGTGATTGAGCAATTGTGGGCATTAATTGGGCTCTCTGAGACAAAGCCTATTCGAGTATCAGCAGTACACTGAACGATGTGAAGCGCTCCATACATCCATGTATCCGCTTCTCCATAACGCAGGGGCTACATCAGCCAATCCCAGACGGAATGTATTTGCTTTTGCTTTTAAACCATTTGGATATTTGGAGATTATACCACGTATGGAGAGACGTAGTGCGCTATCGACCATGGTTCGCACGTCAGCTTGAAATTGCATCGAGGAAAGACTCTGCGGTGAGTGGAAACATAGATCTACCCGCGTATCTCTTTCTCCACTGTCAGCGTGTCGGCCGGGAGATTCCAGAGGCGTCAGTGACATGCTAGTGACAGATCGTTTTCTTTTCCTGCTAGCATCAAACGGAACCGATTTTGGTACATCATGACTCGATGCGTTTCCAGTCGAGTCTGTATCAAAAAGCATCATAGTCTTATCTTCGGCTTTAATGCGCTCATCCGAAGAGGAATTCGACCGCGGCACTACAAGCTTCCGGCGCGGACCTGTCTCTAGAATGTCCAGGCAGAGGCGAACCGACTGAAGTGGCACGGAGAGAACACCTTCTGGTGGCCCAATATCTGTAGCTGGGACATCTGAAAACAGCCTGTGATGCTTTTGTCCTACCTCCTTTCTAGCGACAGTAGCGTGGCTGACATTGAGTCGAATCGTTCCCGAGTTTGTTATGGAATTGTTGGGAAGTCTCGGTCTTAACATTAATTGCTGCCATACCTTAATCTAGTTAGAAGGAAGGGGTGAACTGTTGTGAGTATGGCTTACTGGAGCCTGGAGAATAGCATTCGTGAGGGTCCGGAGCTCCTCGTGGAGCAGCGCCTCGTTGTTCATCGTCAATTCCAAATCTACATGCATGTCATATCCACGATCAACCCATAGTAGTCCAGATGCAAGGGCTTCAAGACACTGAACTGATGTGAGCTGTGCAAGGTAAGGTGAGTCCTGTTTTGGTGAGATTGTGATCAATGTTGTGAGCCAAAGCTCGTGATGTGCAGTGGGTGCATGCAGTACTGCGCGCCCCAGCTCGATGGATCGCGACATTATATTCCCAGATAACTCTCATTGGTATCAGGGAAGAGGAGTGAGGCGGCATTGAGGTGGAGCTTGTAAGGAAAATGAAGGATGGCAGCTGTGCGGTATCGCCTTCCGCGCCAAGACTCGGGACCGCTGTGTCACTTCATGCCAGTCGGTACGTCACCCCCTGCGCCTTCTCCGCTCCGCAGTTCCACAACAAATCCCAACATGAAGGTTCTCACCAGGAACGCGCTCCAGCGCGTCAGTCAGATTCGAGGATGCGGTAGCACCATCTCATCCTCACCTGCTACCCTGTCAGCATCTTGCAGGTCTTTTCACTGTAGCCCGACACCACGCACCGATGGCGTCTTCCGAGAGCTTACTGCTATGAGGGTGCGCACTCCCTGGATAGAGGCTCTACGACAACAACAAGCAGAGGCCAATCACCCCTCGGAGCCTTCGAAAAAGGCTGAATTGCCCAAAGATCGCAAATTGACGCCGAAGCGCATGAGTGAAAGCTACCATTCAGTTATACTTCCTCTCGCTCAGGATCCATGGATACTCGACACATATCTCAATGCATCCGGCCACATCCGTCTTGGGACCATTTTCATGGATCTTGATGCACTTTCGGGTATCATCGCGTAAGCGTACAATGGCCGTGCAGAATACTCGCTTTTGTCTAAACACGCCCACAGATACAAGCATACAGGAGATGACGTTACCACTGTTACTGCAAGCTGTGACCGCATCACCATCCATTCTCCACTAACAGAGATATGCGATCTGGAGCTCTCTGGTCGCGTTACATATGCGACGGGCAGGAGCAGCTTGGAAATCACTATGCAGGTTGCAAAGGCACCCAAAAAGGGTGAAAAGACAAGAGATGAGGACGTCCTTATCAATTGCACCTTCACAATGGTTTCTCTCGATCCCGTCACGAAGAAGTAGGACCCATGACATTTGTGATCTTAGATGGTGACTAACAGCACTACTAGACCAGTCAACGTCAACCCGTTAAAGATTGAGACATCTGAAGAACAACGCATCTACGCTCTGGGTGAACGCAATTCAAGAGTGCGAAAGGAGCGTCGGGAAACTTCTCTTCTTAAGCATACGCCAAATGATCTCGAGAGCGATCTAATCCATGCCTTCTGGCAAAAGCAACTGCAGTACCACGGTATGTTACGTTCTTAATAAGAGCAATATGAGTCTGTAAGCTAATTGGTAAAGACCCATATGATGAACTTCGTAAACCCGACAATGTAATTCATATGGATGCAACCCGGCTGCAGACGGCGACCATCATGCAGCCTCAATACCGCAATCGGCACCACTTTATGATATTTGGTGGTTTCCTCCTTAAGCAAACTTTCGAGCTCGCCTTCACTACCGCTGCAGCCTTTGCCCATGCCCGCCCCACCTTCGTGTCGCTCGATCCATCCACCTTCCAAAACCCCGTGCCTGTAGGCAGCATACTATACCTCACAGCAACGGTAGTGTATACAGATCCACCGCTGATTGGCGCACCAGGGGAGGAATTTGACGAGAACTCGGAATACACACGAGTGCAAATCCGCGTGGACTCGAAGGTGAGGGATGTGGAGCATGGCCACTCGAAGCCGACTGGCCAATTCAATTATACGTTCACAGTGCCAAAGAACATTAGGGTCATGCCAAGGACATATCAGGAATTCATGATGTACATCGATGCGAGAAGGCGAGCAGCGCAGGTTAGGCAGACCCTAGAGGAAGGGAACATCGTCAGCCCGAAGACGGCAGAGGACAGTCTCACGGAGTAAGACGCAGAATGGATGTGTAGGATGTGATAATGCTACCATATTGAATATTGACTGCACAAAAACCGCTGTTGAATTTGATCAAAATCAAGTCGAAATGCAAGCTCTAAATAGCCAATGAATACACCGCGCTATCCGTAGTTCCAACGCCATTCAATAAACCAATCTGGCGAATGCAGCCTCACAGCTCCTGGATGCGCCTACTATGCGCCAACAACGCTCGAGCTGAAGAAAGAAAGAAAAAGAGGTATCGCGCATTCAGACACAGGTTGTCGGACAAACAATAACAAAAAAGATAGGGAAACAATCATGTCGGACCAATATCGCGAGGGGGCTCAACAGGGACCAAAAAAAGGGCGGTGAGGCAGATGCCATTGGAGCTAGCCCATAGCCCCCAGCACCATCGTGTTGCAACATGTGCACTCGGCTGCATCTTTTCATCTGCACCCGCTCGTTAGCCTTGCTCCACAAATAACCCATCTCATCCCACAAGCGCCTCCCCCCCATTCCCCGACGCAGGGTGCTTCCAAGGGTCTCCCCCACTTGCCATGTGTCCGTCCCGTTGTCGTTGCTACTTTCCGCCCCCGTTCACCAAACAACGTTTCCACCACTCCTCCTCTTCTGCTTGCAGCACCCGTGGAAAAGCCCAACAATAAGAAAGTGAGATAAAACGTACCGGTTCACATCTAGGGATTCTCTAGATGTTGTCTTGGATGGAAAGTAGTTTATAGCTCATCGAGCTCGAATTCGAGTGCTACATCTTCGGAGCAGTCGGTGCAGTAGTAGTTTGAGAAGCCGCCGCATTCGATTTTCATCTTGGAGCACATGTCAATAGACCAGGCGTCGTAGGAGTAGCCGGAGAGGAGGCGGGAAGAGCAGACTTCGATGCTGTTGGCCCTGTTTTTGGGGTGGTTAGTTTTTAATTCTCTCCGTGTGTGTTCCTCTTTGAGATGCCTCTGAAGAGAGGGTGGTGGAGATTTACCAGATGTAGTAGTCGTGGTTGCAGTAGTACCACGAGTATGTGTAAGAGCACATGATTTCTGATGGGTCTTGGAGATGTCGGGAAAATGGAGTTTCAAATATGACCTTTGGTATGGCCCTTTAGATATTTACAATGGAAGGTCTATATGTCTGGTTAGCTGACCGCTTTTTTTATTGTTTTCTCGTAAATTTATAGCTGCTTTCACATATGGCAGTTGTGGTCCATCCATGTCTTTCCGCGGAAACCGACGGTCGATGTTCTAGACTCTTTTTTTTTCTGGCACGGTGGTCGTGGCGGTGCAGATATGGCATGTTGTGGAGTAGCGGTGATGGAAAGTTACACACCTCGAGTCTTTCAGTATCGTGTCCCCAAGCTTGCCACGCACAAAACGATTCAACAGAGCGATGTCGGAGAAATAAGACTTGGACGCGTGTACAGGTGTCGAGTATGAAGCTTTCCCTTTTATGAATATCAAAGGTAGGAAATGGTCTATGAAGCTCTCTTCAAGCAACACACGGCGGAATATAGATGCAATCAGTACGCTGAGCACCCCAGTAACCTCGCGCGAGCCGGGGCGGCATCTTTATAATCACTCATCTGCATCTCGCCGTCTTACATACAACTAGTCTGACTCCGTGGTCTGACTCCTTTGACCTTCGTAGCCCGGGGAGCTTGGACCCCTGGAAATGGAATGCAAATGGGGCCCTACAGGCCTGCTCGCTCCGTATCACCCCCGGATTAGCGATAAGGAAAAAGGCACGAATGCAAAGCTCGTCCAACCGGACCCAACCAGATGAACGCTTTTATCCTGGAAGAGGAAACTCTATCGGGGAGGCGCGGCTGATGCGGTTCGGCTATGCGAGGACAGGTATCAAGAGGCGGTGGAGAGAAAGGACCCTCGTGCCTCTCCTTGACACGTTCATACATACTTATGCGCCATTCTAAACTGCCAACAGTCCCCCTGTATGCTTTTTTGCCAGACGCCACATCACGAAGCCTTAGTATCCGAGGCACTCTCTCTTCGGCTTCCTTTGTTCCCCAACAAGATCCCCGTTGGAACTTCTGGCTAAACAACGGTCATTCGGCGACGAGGACAGCCCAGGTACCCCAGACTTTGTTCGCCTCACCCCTTCGCCTTTCGCGCACCGGTGACCGGTTGGACCCTGAGAGTGCAGAACACGCTAGCCCATGGCTTATGCAGGGTTTCCCTCCAGCCCCAACCTCGAAGTGTCGTGCGCGCTGATTGGCCGCCGGCTACATGCCGGAACGCAACGAGATGGATAGCCGGGCTCTTGGCCAGAACAGACGGTCTGGAATTGGATGAACCATGGCGAAATCAGAACTAGAGCGTGGCATGTGGCTGGCCGATTGTGCCGATAGTACTGATAAGAGAGTTTGGTCCAGCGGACTGTGTTCTACACCCTTTGTTAGATTTGTTGTTGCTAATCGGGGCGCAACATGTAGTGTAGAGAACACAAAAACAAGGGCTCACACCAAGGGCGAACCAACAAAAAAGCTTCATATGCTAATGGCCTTCTCGAAGGAAAAAAAAGGGGGGGGCGTCAACACTAAGCTATCGAACACACCAAAAAAAGTCCGAGGCGAGGCTACTTACAGCGACAGCGCGAAGGACAATTTAGTCCCCGAACTCCTTTTGCGCGGCTACTACTGTGTACGTACTTTTTGTCCTTTTCTTGCCTCGGAACTTGACAGCCGCCAAAACTCCGCAACCGGCGCCGGCGCGCGCCCTGCGGCAAACACTCACACACCCCAAGAAAACTTCCGCCAGCCACACAACGTCCCACCTTCTGCCGTTCTCGACGAATCTCTTTTCGTTCCGAAGACTGTCGGGCTCCGCGCATTGCGATACCGAAGAGAATCAATGGGTTTCAGTGATAATTACCCAGTTGGGGAATGCAAGGGTCCAGTTGTGGTGGCGCGCTGCTGGGGTGTCCTCCGAAAACTTACGGGGTCGGAAACGGGCGGAATGAGGCGTTCGGGGTGTGTGGATGGCAGATGTTGCATGAACGCGTGAGGGTACCATGGGGATAATTAGGAGGTGTAGTTATCGTGGTAAGTCTGACAAATGACGGGCATGGCGTAAGTAGGGCTGTGTGAGTGGTTTGACGGTACATGCTGGATTGGTATACTATGAGGCTGCTTCTGGATTGGTGCTAGTGTATGATTCAGAGTTCTGTGTCAAACATGTGCTATTCTTCTTGCATGATACTTCTCTCATCTAGCTGCCTAGGTGAAATAGAATTTACCGTCTTTTCGGGTTGCGCAAGGTAGGGCAGAGCTTAACGCATGCGTTTTGAGTATAAATACATAGAATTTCCCGATCAATACTAGTAGTACGCTTTCTGATAATGGAAATGCCATTTGACAGGGTATGGAGAAAAGTCCTTGCCAACCTTTCCTGCCGTCTAGTTGGATTTGTTCTTCGGGAGCGGAGTAACAAACTTGTCCTCGTACATTTCATTCGACACCGTACCTTTCTCCTGCATCTCTTGTACCAATTGCGGGGCAGACTTCGAGTACTGCTGTACTCTCCACTTGGAGGGGCTCGAGGCCCGTAGCCACACGAGACAGCCATTGATTTCAGTGTTATGCTTCTCCGCAGCCGCTTGCTCAGCACCTTCTTTCGTCTTGAAGTCGATCCAACCGAGCAGGCGTGGGTTTTCCTTTTTGTCACCAAAGAAAACTGACATATCGCTGAGGCTCTCAATGCCATATTCGCCAAAGTTTTCCTCAATAATCTCCATTGCATTTTGTCTGGCTTCGCTGATTTTGGCATTAGGCGACCAGCCCGGTGTTTTGACTGAAAGAATCATCCGGCGTCCTTCGGCCAAGGGGCGGAGAGCCTCTTGCGCAGCATCGCCTTCGTCGTTGAAGTAGCGAGATCCATAGGGCGAGTTCTTTGAGGTCTTCAGATGACCCCAGTGAAAATCTTCTTTCAGAGGCTGGACTACGATGCTTTTGTTCTGTAATTTTGCCTGATTAAGCTTTTTGATCGCTCTCTGGACTTCTTCAGAGCTTCCCAGCTCCACAAAGCACATGGTGTCATTTTGGAATGTGAAGCGATCTACTCGCATTTGCAACTTCTTTCTATGCTCGTGTTAGCTGAGATGTGCAATTACAAATTTTATATGCAATTTGGAAAGTCTATTAAGAACATACATATTGAAACCATTTCCCCGCAAAAACTTTTCAATGTCGCCTCTTGATAGCCGCTTTGAAATTTTTAGCAAAACAATCGAATTTGCCGTGTTGCCCGCTGAAATGGTACGGTTATCTGTGAGAGCAATCTCTGGGCCTCTTGAAGGTGTTTGAACAATTTCTTCCCATGCTGATATACTGGAAGTAAAGGTTCTCCTTGGCAACGATGAAGTGATTGATGGGATTGCTGAGGGAGCGGCGCGTATGCACGAAGCGCCCGCGCGACAGAGAAGGTGACTCCGTGAGAGCACTCTTGAGACGGCCATTGTGATATGTGAATGTAAAAAATCTAGAGTAATGCGATTGGCTAGAGAACCCCAAGATTGTTGTGCTTGGGTGCAGGATGTGCGTTAACATTCGCCGAAAAAGTTCCATGCCTTGTCGAAGCGCCAAGACCTCCTATCGATAACGCACTGCAAGGCTATACTATCTCTTGTGCATCTTGAATCACTCGCTTAAGCGAGATCTTTTATCGGTTCGAAAATGGGGTATGCACATTTGAACTTAGCTCAATCACAGAGTCATAACGTATCGAAGTGAGCTATACTTCATGCTGTGAACGATTCGTGAATATCTGCTTGATCGGTATCTTCGTCACGTAACATGACTTTCTCTATTATACCGTGTACTATACGTAGACGAACTTTTGCGTTTTCTTGGTCGTTGTATGTACGGTCTTTGTAGACCATGAGTCATCTAGATTTCGGGCTGACAATATTAACAGCACAATTAGAATTATTGGTACATACGACCATAGGAAACTTGGACCACTGAAACCCGTCAGATCTTCTTTAGTTAAACAGCTTACCGGCGGGTTAGTAGTTAGGTGGGTGACCACTAGCGAATCTCCGCTGTCGTATGTTTTTGGAGTTTTATATTTTTTGCAGACGTGTGGCGTGTTTGGCCTTTGGGGTCTCCATGTAGGGACAAAAACATTCTTTGAACCAACAGCTCATGGGTGGTAAGGAACCTAACTGTCGCGGTACATGATGAACTGGCGTCTGGTTTGAAGTGTATACAATTTATATTGAAAGTATTGCGATGCAAAGTTTTATCTCAATCTACGATCGTGCGCGAAATTGCAGCATTGGCCCATCCTTTTTACTGGCGAATACATCCATGATCTGATATTCAGTCTCCCTATTTCTACCCTCCTCCAGCTCCTTGCTTCCTGCACCCAAAGTCATACCGGGAGCTAATCTCAGATCGTACAAATACAAAACTCTTGCAATCGTCACAGTCAGTTCGACATACGCCAGACCCTTACCAATGCATCCACGGGGACCAATGCTGAATGGGTTGTATGCTGACTGAGCTGCTTGGAGACTGCTATGATGCGGGTTCACTGCAGGGTCTGGAAGCCAGCGCTCAGGAATGTAATCGAATGGCTGAGGAAAGTACTCAGGGTTGTGGTGGATCGCGTAGATGGGAACACCAACGTCCACTCCGGCAGGAATGTGGCGGCCATCGATATCTAGACCTCCAGTGAGAACCTCTCGGGGAAGAGCACCAGCCACCGGGGGCGTCATACGCATCGTTTCATCGATACATGCGCGCAAGAAAGAGCAGCCGCTGAGTTTGGGCCCGGTAACGATTTCCTCGACGTCGGCAAAGGTTTCGCGGATTTCCTTGCACACCTTTTGCATAGCCGAAGGGTTGTTTGCAAGATAGAACATTGTACCAGCCATGGCTGTTGAAGTAGTATCCGAGCCAGCGATGATGAGCAAATTCGACTCGCCCCACAGCTCGTCCATGCTGAAGCCGTTGCCAGTCTCTGGATCTTTGGCGTTTAGCAGATAGTAGAAAAAGTCCTTGCGATCAACATCTAGGCCCAGCTTGGTGCGCTCCATGGCTTGTCCCTTGCTGTACTGCATATACTGTGCGCGTTGGCCAGCGATCTTGCGGAAGAACAGCTTGTCCAAGTGCCAGTTGTGGATGGTAAGATGCGTACCACAGATCAAATGGCGATGTGCTGCGTTTCCAACCAACTCGGTTGCAAAACGATTGGCAGGGCTTTCCAACATGCCGAAGGCCTTTCCGAATACTAGATCGCCCATGATGTCGAAGACAAGCCACTCGCACCAGTGCGCAGCGTTCCAGACGTCATTCCAGCCACCGTCTTTCTCGTCACCCATGGTTTTTCCGGAAGACCAATTGTTGCTTTTGCGCGCGAGCATTTCACAGCCAACACGGACATTGGCAAGGATGTACTTTTCCAGACTCTTGATTGCGGAATCGCTGAATGCATGGCTCATGACTCTCCTCTTGCGGGCATGCTGCATCTTGTCAATAGCGCTGTGCACGCTGACGGCCTTTGGTGTGCTAGGGAAGGCTTCGTAGAACGATGCCTTCTTAACATTGGAACGGAAACCATAGATGGTCTTCAAACCAGTTGCCGTGTTGACTGAGAGCAAGTTGGGTCCTAGGCGCACATATGTACCGTATTTCTCGTGAGCACGATGGAAAGCGAGATGCCGTGAGCCTTTGTAGGCGTAATAGGCAAGGTAAATGTCGGTAATCTTTGCAAGGAACGGGCCCGGGTAAGAAGCCAGAGGATGAAGGGTGAGTCGATAGACTATGACACCGAAAATCTGTGTGTCTGATTAGTTGTGTGCGTGGATTGATTGTCAAGCGGCTTACGTAGAGTGCCAGCGCTCCAAAGATGGAGCCTAGGAGGAAAAGAACAGCCATGATGGCGGTTCAGGTAAATTTTCTTGTAGCAGGTCTGAGGTCAGGCAAGAAATTTTATTGATGCACACTCGGTTTCATTGCCGCGAGAAGATATTCTCGAGAAGAGTGATCAGAGACGCTCTCGAATCTCTCGTACAACTGCTCCATTCTGCACGAGGGAACAGCAACCTAAGTACTTCAGCGGGCTTCCACCACCATCCGCACCTCCCCCGGATACCCTCTGCATCTGCAATGACAAAGAATTTCAGCCCGGTGAAGTGGTCATCTGCCCTTTTACTGGAGCTTAGTCGAAGCAGGATCCATGCGGGAACACTGGGTATATGTTACGGCGCACTGCGGCTACCGTCGGATATTCGAGCAATGCATCGGGATCCAACCAGGAGCAGCGGATATCGAAGCAGGCGCTGACGCTAACGCGGATAATGATGTAGCTTAGTAGTTCGACCCGCTTTTTGCAGACAGGAAGGGCGCGGATATTGGGTGCGTAGGCGTGGGAGGGAGAGGAAGGCTGGCGGGAGACTCCATGGCAATTATTGCGCATCCATGCATGTCAGCACTGTCACTATCTCAAAAGTAAACATCGCGTCATGTATCGTGATCAAGTTCCGGCCGGGGAACTGCGATCACTCTGTGCCCGCGAATCACCCGTAGATAATGTTTTGTTGAGCAAAGTTGATCCGCAGATCCGCAGAGGTGGTATTTAGAAGATGGCACAGTGATATAGCAACAGGTGAGTCGAGTACACGAGTTTTGTAGCTTCTAGTGTCTCAGCTAATAAATATTGGACTGGCCTGGAAAACTTAGAAGCGAGTTCCAGCAGGGTGGGTGGCAGGCAGAGCAAAATGCAGTTCATTGTGCGTGCTCCAGTGAGGTCTTCATGAACTCGGGTTGGCGAGCTTTAGGTAGACCGGGATGCGATGTATATTATTCAATTATAATTATTTTTTCAAAAATGTGTGGAAGCTTTAAGCAAACTATCGAAACGTGCCTGAAGATGAGCTTCGAATGTCCGATTGTTCAATCGACGTACATTTGTTTGCCAGTCTTGACTACGCACACACATGCTCAGGTTGGTTGTGCCCTCTTGATCACAGCCCGCAGAAAAGTTGGGACGCAGATTAGAAGTTTAGATGTTCATCATGAGTAACAAGGAGGATTGAAAATGTAACTTCTGTTTCCTGCTGTGACATCACATGTAATGTAGCAATGCATTCTCACAGCAATTAGATGATGCGCAATTTCAGGGTGAATTGACGAATGAGAAGGCGGCAATTCCCAAGCGGGAATCGCCGTCTTGGCAGATGTCGAGGCTCGCGAACATCAACCTTGATGATAGCATCGTTGAACGCGCGACAGCACCACGCACGCACTTCGATTCGACTCCGCTCCTCCGTTCTGCCCAGGCAATTGATCGCCCAAGATGGCTAAGAACTTGAAGACCACGGTCTTCTCGGTACGGCTCACCCAGTCCCATAGCAGCATGCCCTCGCCCGAACGCCCCTCCACCTTCTATTATCACTGCAATTGAAGGCATCACGCTGATGATGCCCATGTAGAAATATACTGTTCAGCCTACCGGGATATATGCAGCTATCAACAGGCTCTTCGCGATCGACCCCAAGCGTTCCACGGGTATCCCAATGAACCCGCAGTTCCGTAACCCACCTCCCGGCGCAAACGATCCCATGGCCTACGACGATCCCGTAACTGTTCCTGCTGCCGATATCGCCGAGAACCCGTACTGGAAGCGCGATGTGCGACGACGTTACCCTAGGCTCTCGACCGTCACCCAGGCCGATGCGGTTGCATTGCTCGAAGTTGGAAGCGCAGCAGCGCCCAAGCAGGAATTGATTGGCGAGGCGGGCTCCAAGTCTCTGATTGCTGCCCAAGAACAGGGTGCGAAAGGACTCGCTGTTGCATTTGAGAAGAACAGTGGGCTTGCAAAGGATGTACTAGGTCCTGGTGGCATGCCTCCGCTTCCCAGCGGCCTGCACAACACCGGCGTTTCGGGACACAAGCGATATGATTTGGAGCAGGACCAGTCATACGGTGATGGGTACGCCACGAGACAAGCCTACTTCCAGGTTATTATGCTAACAAGATATAGGTACCCGTGCCGGACATTTGCTTAGGTTGAATCGAGCTTCTGGTAATGACACCCAAGATAGATACATTGTACACATGAAGGCCTTTCTTCCTCCATTTATTTCATATTTCCATCATCTCTTCAAGTTCCACGTAGGAAGTGCTCTTCACCTGTGCAGGTCCCTGGTTGTCCTGTGCTTTTCTCGTGAATGCCCCAAATCCATTTCTCATGATGTTCGCGCTGTCACGGTCACCTCTCACCTTTCACTTCTCACCACCCAAGGAAGGCACCACCAGGGTCTCTTATCTTGGCATCGCGATTTGCGACTTCCAACCTCTCCGTCACGCGCGAATTGCGTGCACCTTACTCTCACCTTCTGCACTACTGCTTCTCCAATAAAGACAATCGCAAAGATGGGCTCTACATCTGAGAAAGGGCCAATGGGACTTGGTTCCGCTCCTCTTAACTTCATTTACTCCTGTTCGCTCTGCAGCGCTACCTTTGCCGATGTATACGAAGGCCACAATGAGTCCGTTCGCGGTCTATCGGATGGCATCAATCCTAAAGATCGCCTCGTGACGCGGCTCTTCCTCGCAAACTGTTGCCATGTCTTTTGCAGTAACCATCTTGAAGGTGGCGGTAAGTGGCCGCAATGCCATGTAAGGCGACTGCTAATTATTACACAGGACCGCATTTTCATAGCGACAAAGAGCGTCCAAAAGCGCCGTGCCCTGTGTGCATCAAAGAGAAAGGCGATAGTGAGCCTCAGTTTCTGTACTCGATTCGTGGCTTCAACAAGAACGAATACGACCCTATGATCCCATCGTCCTGGTTTACTGCACCGCCAATTCGACTTGATGGCAACGGCAAGGAGATGGATGCTTTGCGTGTATGTCACTATCCTGTGCACGTACGAAAATAAACAGCTGATATCATGTAGTTCCAGTATATCGCGCTCATAAGGTACTGTCAAAACACTTATGCGACCCGCAAGCCTCTCGAACAAACCCTCAAGAAATCAAAAAAGAACCTTGCCGATATGCGCAATCTTGTGGCTGAAGAGCATGTGAAGATGACCGGTTTGCGAAAAGAGGTAGAAAAACTGAAAGCGCAAAAGGATCAATTCGAGGCTACGCAGGCAGAGGTGCAGCGGCTACAAGGTATCGAACAGGAGTTTGAGCAACTCCGCAGCCTCAATGTCAATGCACGAGATCTCAAGACATTCATTATGAACAAGTCAGCAATTCGGCACTACCTGAAGCTCGTTCCGATGTTGATGGAGTAAGTAAACCATGTTTGGATCACATATGTGCTAAGATTCCTAGGCAGAATGAGAAGATGCAAAAGCGACTCGCCCAGCTGGGATTTGCAATGCATATGCAGCCTGTACCAAACTTCAAAGGAGTAGACCCCAGCGTATTCGATAGTGACGAGACTCTTGCTCGTGATGATCACAGAGACTTCAATGAAGTGTTGCGAAAGGCCACTTCGAGTCATACTGTTGGTGGATACGCCCACGCATCAGACAAAGTAGGAACGATGCCCTCGAGCTCCCACCTACGGCGGCCCGGTAAGCGGCAACGTCTTGACTCTCCCCTTTCCAAAGATATGCAGGTCGATTTTTCTCCAGGTCGACAACCGATGCCGCCCCCAGAAAAGCCGCTGTCGAGGATGCAGTCTATGCGCAAGATATTCCCCGCTCTACGGAAGAAGTTCGCTAGTGACCGGTCCTCTCTTTTGGCAGACGAAAACCTGGGGGTTGTTAGGGGTGTTCAGATGTACAAGGATGCAAATTGGCAGGGTGCCAACACTACGCGACAGGAGGCTCGTAATGAAATCCATAGCGAACCACCGTACATGTCAGGTGCCCTTCCCATGGAGCAACAATCTCAACACTTGGGCTCCAGGAGTCCACAACCAAACGCCAAGATTGGCTTGTATGAACACCAGTCCGATTTCACATTCCGAGCATCGTCGCCTCCCAAGGCGGAGTCCTACAATAAAAGATACCATCCGGTCCAACTACCTATTGAGCCGTCATATGTTCGCCTAATGGATGGCCTTTCGTGCGGAGATGAAGTCGAGCTGGGTTTGAAAGACCCACGTGATAATGCTGGCTTGGACCATCAAGGCGACGGCAGCAACAGGCAAGTAAGGCATGTGTATGAGAATCAGCCAGTCCTGCAAACTACATATCGACAAAAGCTTTGGAGTCCAGGAAATTTGTCTCTGCACTCGTCTCCGTACGGATCGTCTGCTTCTGTTGAAACTTACCAGCGACCTCCACAATCCAGACCGACTAACGTCTCTACAAACAGACTGTACAACGGGCCAAATCTTGGACGTGCCCAGCCGTCATCCAAAAAGTACCATCATCCAGGAAATTCAATCGAGAGCGTAGTAAGTCCACATTTCAGAGATAGTCATAACCAGGCCCAAATCTATTCGCCATCCGGACTCGCTGAACCAGAGGGTAGTTCAAATCATTCCGCCGTCTATCGGTCTCAAAAATCAACGATGGCAAAGCCTCAGGCTACTTGGCTTGAGCCACGCGGCCTGAATGGGCTCTCTTTCTTCGATTCCCCCGTCAGCCCTAGGAAGGAGAGTGGGGGGTTGACGCGAAGCTACAATCGAACAGATTTAGAGCCAAATCTTCCCTCACATTATCGTCAGACTCGCCATATAGACTCTAACAGATCCACCACAAGGCCGGAGACTGGGTGGCCGCAATACTCGAACTATGGCGCATACGTCTCTTCAGAAAATCAACCATCCTATGTCAGGCAACCGACTGGATTTATTCGCACAGTACCAGCTCCATCCTTTCAAAAGAGTCTCACACACGATCGAATTGGGAAGGTACTATCATCCATGCCTTCAGTCATCTCGGGTAGTACTTCTGGTCGTTCACAGCTTCAATGGAAGAATTTACAACGCGCTGGTGTCAGAAGTAGCCAAAACGTGTTTGGCAGCTTTTCTAGAAACAGACTCGGTCTTTTGTCTAAAAATATACCTTCCGTATCTAGTCGGCGCAATATTGTGCGTTGACGGCCCTTGAGCAGGCATGGGGCCTGGACAATCACTACCCAAGGTGCCCGCTGAGTGGAATGCGAATGGGAAGCGTTCGAACGGTTTCGATCGGGCTCTGCTTCTGCTTTGTGTACTTGAAGGAGAGGCAGGATTACCATTCTGTCGGTTCAGGATCGCCGCTCACTGTTCGTCCCTGTGCTCTATCAACACTTTACATACTCACTAGTTGATCTTTGACTATTGCCATGACCCAACATTATGAAAGACTATCCATTTTTCATCCAACAAATGTCGCCCTGCCGCACGAAATATCAGCACCTTCACAAACCTCTTCTTGCGAAAGTAAATATTATTGATTTCGCTAATGGCGCTGACAATACCACAACTAACCAATTTTCAATGGAGATGTCGGCCCCAGAACAACGGGTACAGATGAGGTACTTGACAGCTTTTGCTTACATTTTGAGCTGTGAGCGTGAATCGGTGGTGTTGCCCATTTCATCAATTCGCCGAGAGGAAATATGATATCACTGTCTAATACAAGTCTCATCTTTTCGTCAGCACGACGCTGTCGCACGAACTGAACTCAGGACGGGTGTCAAGCAATTTAAACTTTCCGTTATAAAGCTTAGTCGTTGGGCGCGGCTTCTCCTCGCAATGTTGGGGTTTTAGGCGGGATTCCCATGTTCACAAGCCGACGGCAAATGAGCCGCTAGAGCAGAAACAGCAAGGCTTCAGGACGGTTAATTTACAAACAATCTGGCACGCAAGTTTCGGCAAACTAGGAACCAGTGATATGTGCTCTGTGGCTTTGGGCATCGTCACGGAACAATCGAGACCAACGTTTCATGACCAGTCCTGAAATTGCCGCCCACATATCGACGGCCATTGTAATTGGCGCGTTGATTCGATCCTGGATTCTCCATTGTTTCTGCCGCTTCCACAAATAAAAATGCTCATTTCTTCGCACGAGGCACGAGGCGTGACCCACATCCCCAGTCGATCAAAGCTTCTTCACTACGCTTTCGGGAAACCCCAATTTGTATCCCGGCCTAGAGAACCGAGTCTGCTATTCCATACGCGTGAGTTTCATATTATGACCGAGCGAAATGATTTCCCATGAGGGGACGGTATGCAGCATCCCGGTCAGTAGTCGGCCAAGTGGTTATTTCCATGTCATATAGCTCTTTGGCTCTTGGTATAAAGAAGTCTCGGTTGCCCCATTTTGCTTGGAAGGCAACCACCACAAGCTTTTACCAAGACAGCTTGTTTCATTCCTTACAATGCTTTTCAAAAATCTTTTCGTTGCAGTCGCCCTGGTTGGCACCGCTTTGGCATGCCCTCACCCTAAAGCTGCTGCACATCCTAAAGCTGCTGCTCAACCTCAACCTGCCGATCATGCTCAAGCTGGTAGTGCAGCAGTGGCGGCATCTTCAGCAAATACCCAAGCTACGCAAAGCCAGTCAAATGGCAAACTGAAGTGGTTCGGCATCAACGAGTCTGGACCCGAATTTGGCGAGGCTCACATCCCCGGTCTATATAACAAGGACTACATCTGGGTCGACACCAAACAAGTCGACCAGTTCCTCGCGCAAGGCATGAACATGTTCCGTATCAACTTCCTGATGGAGCGTCTAACGCCCAACTCGCTCACAGCCGACTTTGATTCCAACTACCTAGGCAACCTTACCGCAGCCGTGAAGTACATCACCTCCAAGGGCGCGTACGCCATGGTTCAACCCCACAACTACGGTCGTTTCAACGGTCAGGTCATCAGCGACACAGCGGCTTTCAAGACGTGGTGGACCAATGTTGCTAAGCAGTACAAGGATAACTCTCTCGTCGTATTCGACATCAATAATGAGTTTCATGATATGTCAAACGATCTTGTCTTTAGTCTCAACCAGGCTGGGATTGATGGTATCCGTGCTGCTGGCGCGACGACACAGTACATTACTCCCGAGGGCAACAGTTGGACCGGCGCCTGGACCTGGGTTTCCTCGGGCAACGCTGCATCGCTAATCAAGCTTAAGGACCCAAAGAACAAGCTCGTCTTCCAGATGCACCAGTACCTTGACAGTGATGGCTCTGGCACAAACGCTAACTGCGTCAGCTCCACCATCTTCCAGGAGCGTCTTGTGGCGGCAACACAGTGGCTGAAGGACAACAAGCTCCAGGGCGTCATTGGAGAGTTTGGTGCCGGAAGCAATGCCCAGTGTCTTACTGCTGTTCAGGGTGGTCTCGACTACATGGCTAAGAACTCTGATGTGTGGCTTGGTGCCATCTGGTGGGCGGCTGGCCCATGGTGGGGCGACTACATCTACAGCATGGAGCCGACGACTGGCGCTGCTTGGTCGTACATTCTGCCCAAGATCAAGAGCTACTTTGGCCAGTAAACATGCCAAGCTGGAGACTTTACTTGTAACAGACACGACTCTTGGTGCTCAGGATGAAGGGTGCCTTTTTCTTTTTTTTGAACTGTATATACTCAGTTGGACTCTTTTTGATCCCTTTTCTTCTTCTTTCTATATAGAAAACACAATTTGAAAATTTGTGGACATTCCAAAAGTTTGTCAATTTGCATGTTTTGTCATTTGGCCAACAGAACCTTAAGCACCACCCTCCCTCTTAGCGTACTCGTCCTTCATTCTCTCCTCATACTCCCTTCCTTTAGTACGTGCGTCTTCCTCTTCAGTCACATCCTGGATACGTCTCGCATCCGTGCCGCGTGAGCTGTCAAGCTGCCTGCCGTTCGCATCGGTGTGGAAGTGCTCGACGCGTGGAGCTTCGCCCGGTGCTTGGTGTGTACGCTGCGTACGGGTGCCACTGGGGTCTGAGTATGTTTGCTCGGATTTTGAAACGGTCTGGCCGTTGATGGTTGTGGAGCTGCTGGAGCTGGAGAAGGATTGGAAAGTTGATGAGGACATTGTGGGTAGTTTTTGGAAAAGTCGATTTTTTAGTATATCAAACTCGAGGTTATTTATGAAAGGGACTTTGACTTCGAAAGAATGGTGATGAGTTGCTTGCTTTATGTTGCGAGATGCGTGCTGTGATCTCATAGTGTGACGTCATAGGGTCTAGCGGCGGTGCGGGCCCAGCAAATCGCAGAGAGCAGGTTGGATTAGATAGATGTACAATGGCATCAAGGTCAGAGTTTAACGTTGGAGCCGAATGATTTAGGGTTGAATAGTCATAATTTGCTGTCGTTTGGCTCTCAATAGAAGCTTGATACTGGACATCGACTTGCTACAGTATAATGTCATTTGCAGTCAACACAGGCGTCGTAACAACCTCTTTCAGTATGTCGAGCTTTTCTACTGTCCTGTTATCCAAGAGGAGGTAGCTTCTGGCGATAAGTGGTGGTCAATGCTTTATCCGGTCTATTGAATCTACTGCGTTTAACGGGGCATTTTCATAAAACGTAGTGATTTGCTGCAGGTCTTGAATACACTCAAATTCTATTAGTTTAGTAAAGTAGCGTATTCTACTCGACAAGACTTTATAAGGCTCATAGTTTTTCATCTCATTGTTGACATCAAAGCAGCAAATTAAGGCAACTATCGACTGGGGAAGTGCATTGCTTTTAGAAGCAGAGTATAACGAGTCCGTCGTACGTAGCCTCAGCCACGTAAAGGTTGGCCTAACATATGTAGACATCAGCTATACCATCACTCTACCACTAACATTAATACCGATCAGCTAAAGTCAAGGCTAGATGCTATGAAATACCATTAGAGATTTGAGTTGCAGGAGCTAATCTTAGATGTGTAGCGCGTTGCATAATCGGTAATACAAAGAAATGTAAATGTCCATTATCGTGCGTATTTTGGAGTTCTGTCACGCATGTATCACATGTCACATAGTTATCACATGTCACATAGTTATCACATGTTACATGTCACGTGATTAGTATACGGTATGTGTCCGACGTCCAAATCGGTAGGCATCCTGCTTGGATATCATGAACATGCCATCTATGTCGTAATTGGATGGCCATAATACTTGAGCCATGTAACCTTTTAATAGCAATATTAAGTCGCGGCAGTGATCCTGTCAGGCTAGCGAGGCTCGCCCCACATGTGCGCCTCGCGACCGCGTCCCGCCCCTGACAGGCGAAGCCGAGGACCCGGTGGATAATGGATGGGTGGACACCACACCTTCCGTCATTCACCACCACCCGCCCGCCATGCGCTTGCTTGGTGTGCCTCTTTTTGCTACCTTCTTGCAGTTGGTTCGTGGCAGCGATATTCCGAATGCGCTTGATTGCCATGACCCGGAGGAGACGGGCAACGTGAAGGAGTGTGCGCAGCCCATCGCCGACGTCACGGCAGTAGTTCCTGGATCGTCATATATTGCGAAGATCAAATGCATTGACTGCCCTTTTGCCCTCCCGGAACAGGAGAAGGTCGAAAAGGCCGACTACCTACTGGTATGTTGTTGGTACTGTTGCTGGACATGGCGTACACGTACTGACGTTTCAGTTGTTAAATGTCACACTCACTCATGACAATCGTACCGTTTTGCTCAACAACCGTCCGCTTTACCCTTTACCAACCATACCTACACCCTCGCGCTTCGACACCGCCCTGTACACTACCAACCTTTCCAACATAGAGCTATCCCGCGGCCTGGCAAGCTCAAGCCCTTATTGCACCACTCCGGCTCGTGACTTCGACTCCGCTGAATGGTGCTTAAAGACTCCGCTTTGGCCGCAAACACGCCTGGAATTCGATTATCTATATATTGCCGAATCAAACCAGCACCAAAGCGATGACGAGCAAGACGATGCCGAATACTGGAATATTTCACTAGATGCTATTGGAAGGTCAAGGTATCCCGATGGTCCACTCTGGAAGTATGATGATCCCAAGCAAAAGATGCTCTGGATGCTGGTCAAGGGAATGCCGCTGAAAACAAGAAAGATCAATGGTGGCGGAGGGAACAAGGCTGCTGATCCATTCAATGGCCAGTCAGACTCCGAAGACAAGAGATACGAATACCAAATAGTCGACATGCGACTCGTAGCTCGAGCGTATACCTTTCCAGAGAACAAACCCTTGTCGCTATGGGGCAGAATCGGCCACTTCCTTGGAAACGATGTCTGGCAAGTAGAGGGAAGCCGCTTCTTATATCGCAAAGAAGAATGGGGTCGCTATGGAAAGACAGGCACACTGCGTGATATGTTTGGTGAACTTGTGCACTGGCAGTTCTGGGACTTGTTCTGGATCATCTTCTTCAGCGTTGTTGCTGGCCTTCTTGCGCTATTTGGGTTCTACAAACTTTTCAGGTGGATTAGGGCGCAACGCGAACTTATGAAGTGGGACGGCATGGAGGACGTATGGGAGAACATGAGAAGAGAAAGGATAGCCGAAGAGGAGGGTGCTCTATTGCATGGAGAAGCCAGGTACACAGACGATCCAGAAGAAGGCGGCAGTTCATCACGACCACCAGCATACGAGGAGGCGATGAAGCCCTTGCCGAGCAAACCCCTCCCTGAGAAGCCATTACCTGAAGTTCCTCTCATCGAGACATGAGGGTGGTAACGTTACAGTGAAATCTTTCTTCATTTACATTGGCATATACCCATTTGGCATTTGACATGTCAACTTTTGTTCATTTCTATTCTATCACTAGTCACTATATCCTGTTTTTATCCATGCAAGTTGCGATGCGCATTCTTAGAGATAGCTATAGATATCCTCCAATCGGTCCTACCCACGCTGCACGATATTACCCGACATAATCTGCTTTCTCCACCTTTCGCCCCACAACTGCATGACAAATACGCAACGACAGATGAGTACAAAATGTCCAAATATTTGCGAGATTCTTCTTAAGTATCTTTCAAGAAACACGTCTTTCTCTTGATACTGTTTGGTATAGAATCACAAAACAATTATGGTCAAAATCGCGGTAGCTGGAGGCACAGGAAGTATGCTGTCTCTCCCCATGTCCAAAATACCCCACTTGCATATCCCAATCTTTACATCATCGTGAAATGAATTACATTGTAATAACGTCTCTCACCACCAGACGTCGCAACCTGCATGCTCAAAGAAACTATCGCCTCCAACCAACACGACATCACAATCTTCACGCGCTCTGCCCCCTCAAAGCCACATCCCTCCCCTAGAGTCTCCTACCTCCAGGTCGACTACACCTCCCGCGATGCCCTAACAAACGCCCTCCGTGGAGTACACACCGTACTCTCCTTCTTCGTCGTGCACCTGGATGTCGACAACATCGGACAGAAGAACCTCATCCACGCCAGTATCGCAGCAGGCGTATCCCGTTTCGCCCCCTCAGAATGGAGCATTGCCAGCAACAGCGGCATACCCAGCTACGTAGTAAAAGACCAAGTCCGCAGCTACATAGAAGACCTAGATGCCAAAGGCGAGCTAAACGGCATGCAATATTGTCTCTTCCAACCAAGCATCTTCATGGATTACTTTGCGCATCCGTACCCGCTCGAGCCTGATCTCATCACCTGGCCTTTCTTCGTCGATTTCGAGAACAGGCGCGCGATGCTGCTGGATGAGGGAGATCAGCCGATTGTGCTGACGGCCATGCAGGACAACGCTGCGATTCTTGCAAAAGCACTTGCGGATACGGAGAGGCCTTGGCCCAAGGTTGGTGGCATAAGGGGGTGCCAGACTACTATTAACGAGATCATTGCGCTGGGAAAGAAGTTGCGGGGCGGCGAGTGGTCGATTGAGCGGGTGTCTGGTGCTGATATAAAGGAGGGAGAGCTCAAGACGAGTTGGATTCCGCAATTTTCGCATCCAACGGTGCCGGCAGATCAGCAGGATGTCTTTTCCAAGGCGTTCGTGATTATGTTTTTTCAGGCGATTCTAAACGGGTCGTGGAATGTGAGTGCGGAATGGAACGAGAGGTTTCCAGATCACAAGTTTATGGGTTTGGAGGAATATCTTGCCAAGGCCTGGGAGGGTAAGCCGTAGTTGTGTTTACTTGGTGTCAAAAGTTATGCACTGATCCCATGATTTTAACTACCATGGGTGAGTGGCTAACTATATTTTACTCTATATACCCCTGAAGGCACGTGCCTTGAGTTTCAACACTTGGAAGGGATATAGGAATGAATATGTCGCTGCTGGAATGATTCTGTTTTCCATTGCTTTGCTACTTAGTATCACTGTCTTTCAGGACAATTCTCGAGCCCAGACATGCACAATAGCAATCCACAGGTAAATGGAGATAAAATTGAGTGAGATGTAATGGGAATTAATTTATCGAGTCGATTGATAGTTCGTCTAGCTTATTCCTACCTTGATATGTTTTACATATTAGCTCGTGGTTCCTCTGCCAACACCTGTTTGAGCATATCGTAGATGCATGTACATCGTGGAAGTGTGAGTGAAAGTGTCATCATCTGGCTAGAGTGCTGAGCCGAAGCCGTCATAGGTACCATTGTGAGCCGTCAAATAGTAGACTACTCTGGGAAAACTCTGTAGGGCTAATGTCACCTCTGGCAATTTACCAAAACACACATGTGCACTAGCACACACGCTCAGATGCATAAAGTCTATCTGCCGGTTGCGGGAATTTTTCTGGGAGTAGAAAGGTAATAATAAAGTTTTCTGAATACGAAGTGCGGCGACGAGATGCAAACATCCCTATAAACGTAAAAAGAAAGAACTGGGCGGCAGTTACCTAAATGATCTTACTTTTTCCGCATGTAAACCAGAACTCACTGGAAGGACAATCTCTCAAGGCCTGCTCGATGTAGAATTTCTCATATCTTGAGAATAACAGCGTTGCTATGATAATGTAATATACCAAAATGGCGGAAGACTCCGGCTGAGCGACATGCCCCGATGGTCCGATTAATTATGCTCAATCAAGATAAGCGGGTGACGTAAAGTGTAAACATATACAGACCATCAAGGCCTTATTTCCGCCTTACTCTACTCAAGCCTTTTCATGGTGCTAGCAATTTCCAGCCCGATCGTACGAACATACATGACCAATAGTTCAAATACCAGCCCTGGGATGTTATTGGGCTTGTTGTTCCCGCGTTATATCGTCCGTCCAGCCACCGAGTCGAATGTCATCTGATCGACAATCCGGCTATAACTGTCAAGCCTAAAGCTGATGTCTACCGGATACGAGAGGTGATCTTTTGTATACACTTCTGCCAGCATATCACCTCTGCGCTGATCTGTCATCAATACTCTGAGCCTACCAGTATATCGCGAGGCTCGTGAGAACGGCATATGTCCTCGGTCGCTGTAAGAGGACTGATCCGGGTGGCTGGGTCCGAAAAGCCGTACTAGTTGATTCTTCTACGCTATACCCCATATCGATCGAACACTAGGGAATTTGCGGCTGATTTGCACGTCTGACAGGAAGCTCTAACCTGATGTATGCAAGGCTTAAGCTCCACTGAGACGGTGGTACCTTTACAATCGTCTCTAATCCACTTGGGGGATGTGACGCACAGATTCAGCATCGCATGATCAACAAGCGTGTCTTCCCCGCAACTTTCTCTGCCTTTTACGACAGCAAATTCGAAATCTCAAAACTATCACGGAAAGAACCCAAAAGTCTAGGCGTCGGAACGGTTCTGTCAAAATTGCTACTCTTGATATGATCCTGCTTTCTGGTTGTGGTTATTTGGTATCTGATACCTAGATTGGTGTAGTCATCATCCCTCCACCGCTTCTTCTGATTGTAGCCAACGAGCTTGGACTACGAATGTCTGACTTTGTACGATGCCACGCCGCCCTTCCGCCCCACATAATACTTTAAGCAACTACCAAGCGCGGGGTATTCTGCATGAAATGCTTGTTCTGTCATCGCGCATATATTTTTGGGCATACGGAACACTCGGCAACGGTGAATTACCGTATTTGGAAACCTAATGGTCTCCTACTCACTGACAGAGTTAGTGCCAATAGCTCACCCGTAAGAAGTGACAGCAACTCCGACAGTGCCGCCGGATCTTACTTCTGACCACCACGTACCCCAATACTAGCCCTATGACATGGGTGTATACGATGGCCTGCTTACTATCAGGACATAGCGGTGTCTGAGTAAATGGTTGCTTCAGAATTTAGTCTTGATGGTTAGTATCATGCATAGTCTAGGGTCTTGCTGCTAAAAGTCACCTACTCAAAATAATCCTGAATAGCAACTTTGAGAATCTGGGACCATTTTCCAGGTCCCAAAGTGTATGAACCCGGCCGTTGATCATCAAGAAACACGGCTCCCCGGAAACCTTCTTACTGTCAGCAGCCAATCACTGTGGTTTGCGTTACTTGAGGCCGCAATATTTCCGCCTACATCCATCAGCCACGTTATCGAAACCAGCTGCTCGGGCTTCTTGGATCCTTGCCACCTCGGACACGAGATCCACCAAATGCTTGTGGAGTGTACACATTCTGACATCACGATTGTCGATTTCCCAATGTAATGGATCGTCAATGCTTGCTCCGACTCTAGCAGGGTTTCTAGACCCGTATTACTGGAGAAACCGGGAGTACTCTGTAAGTTCTATTATGCTTTCATCTGAGAAGTCAAAACGTATAAAGCCCTCCCAGTTTCCACGCCCTGATGGGCATTTTGGACATTTATAATATAATCTCTATAACAACTTCGTCCCATCTTACAACATGAGACACGCCTTTGTTCCTCTGGCGCTTGGCCTTGGTGCCAACGCCCTCGTCGCTCGCTCAAATACCCAGTGCTACACACTCAAAGCATCTGGCGGCGCCCAAGGTATCCTCGGCCAACTTAGCGATGGCCAGAACCGCATTGGCGACAACTTGCCCACCGGTTGCTACTGCCTATGCGATGGTGGCTTTACTGATTCCAACGGGAGAGGGTGCATCTTGACACCTCCCACAACCCAATTCCAATGTGACGTCGGTGCCTCACCCACATCCGGCTTCGCAGTAGGATCCGACGGCAGCGTGGCTTACAACGGCTCCGCCACCTTCTACGCCTGCCCCGTCAATGACAACGGCGTCTACAACGTCTACTCGCAGCCCGTCGCCGGCCAAACAAAATGCGTCAAGATCTCCCTCGCCGCAGCAGGCTCTTGCGGCACCAGCAGTGCACCTCCTCCATCCACACCCTCACCCGCCCCTTCCCCCCAACCTGCATCCACACCGCAACCCTCCCACCCCTCTGCCCCCCCAGGCCTATGCCCCTTAGATCTCAACGGCGCATACCAATACCCCCATCTCATCGTCCCCATCAACGCCGACCACGCCGACCAAGCCTACGGCACACAGTACAACGCTAAAGTCAACTCCCGCACTTGCACCATCTTCAACTTCGACATCCCCCCTTCCTACGCCGGCAAACAATGCTCCACCATGTTCCTCTTCCCCAAAAAAGCCAACCTTGAAACTTCAGACTACACCATCTCCGGCTCGGGACACGTCACTGTCTCCCGTCTATCTGGCCCGGCGAGTCAGGGTACCACGTGGAATAATCAACCCAAGCAAGGAGGGTCGAGCATGTGGTTCGATCTTGTGCCTGGAAGTTCTTGGTATGTCGAGACGCAGAATTGTGCCGCGGGCCAGACGATTGCGTACGAAATGTGTGCGCAGGGCGATTTTGCTGTGGAGTATTTTCAGGATTACAATCCCAGTCCTATTGGTATGTATGTGCGCCAATGTTAGATAATAATTTCTTTTTCCCTAATATGGGGGGAACGGGGAAGGGAACGGTGAGGTGTAATGGGTGAGAGGATAAAATGATTATGATGATGGATGAGTATGACACTCCTTTAGACTAGCGATTACAGTAGTAATGATATTGCACATATATTTTTCTTACTTTCGTGCTTGTGTTTTACATATTGTACATGTTAGACTAGACCGGGTACGTTGCAGCACCTGATGCGAACTCTTGGTCATCCACATCCTTATCCAGCATTGCTCACCCTGAATCTGGCTCACTTCCTGACAGCGACAAGTCGAATTTACTATCAAACACCCCAGCCACACGTGAAGGTCGATTCTCCACAATCCACGCCTCGATATCGTTCAACGCCTTGATCGGGTCACCACGGCAGCCCTGAAGAAAATTTTGGACTTGTGCTGGAGAAACTATTCATATATATCAGTTTCTCATCTCATCCAAAATATTCACATAATCCCCACAACTTACAAACATTCGACGGCACCTTCCCCGCAAACTCATCCGCCCACATTGCAATCTGCGTAGCAGTAAAGCCCGAGTTATATGCCATTGCAGATCGCCCTATCAAACGCTTAAAGATGCTCTTTCCGGCGCTTTGAGTCATGTTGCCGAAATAGACTTTTTTGTCTATGCGACCGGGACGGGTGAGGGCAGCATCGAGGGCGTCGGGGTCGTTTGATGTCATGATGAGTAGTCGACCTTCCTGCGAAGCGTTGCCGTCAATGGCGTTCAAGAGACCGCTTAGAGTGACTAGGTTGCGAGAGGATGAAGTTGACGTGGGAAGTTTTTGAGGTAGTAGTTCTTCAAAGGTGTCTGTTTCGAGGAAGTCGTTCGGGATGTAGCGATGCATTCGCTCTTCGCGTGCTGCTCTCCGTGAAGCTGTGTTTTCGCGGCCGATACCGGCGGAATCTATGTCCTCAATGACCACAATGCATTTGCGTGGAAGGCCCAAGAAGAGGCGATGGAGGGCGTCGTCGCTAATGGTACCGTTCGATAGGCTAATGTGGTAAATGTCGCATCTCAGATGTCCTGCGAGTGCAGCGCTGAAAGAGCTCTTGCCAGTGCCGGGGGGTCCGTGAAAGAGATATCCGCGTCTGTAAGGAATGCCACAGTCGGCGAAGAAGGCGCGCCTAAGATTCTGTAAGTATTAAATTTGGATCCGGTCCGCATGATCAAAACGTGGGTTTAGATACGGGTGGGTGGCGTGGCGTAATCCAAACTTACGACTCATCACTGTAGTAGTACTCAGCATCTCTGACGATATCGGATTTGACGTCTTCGTCCATGTCGATGGTGTCAAGCTTGCGGACGGCCTTGGATACGGATTGCCTACGAAAAGTGAATAATGGTAGTCTGGGTATGATTGGTGTGTCGAACGTACCAGCCGCTCCCGTAAGGATCGTTGCGGCTAACGCCTGCAAAGTAAACCGTAGTGGTGCCAGTAAGGTGCTTCAGCTTGAAGTCATGGCACATTTCCACAAAGTTTTGTAGTGGCCTGAGACTCCATCCTAGAGTTGTGAGAGTAATGGCATTTTGAAATTGGCTGCTATCGTATATTGCATTGCCAGATGTTAATGCATTATTCCGAAAGCTCTGAAAACCCCGACGGGAGAAGAAAAATGGACGAAAGCCGACCCAGAAGAGTCGGGTACCAACTGGTGAAAGGCAAAAGATACTGTCATCCTTCCTGTGCGTTGCCGCTCCTGGAGGAGAAGGCATCATTACAGGGGGAAATGCTTGATGAGAATCCTGTATGCTACCAGTGATGAGCATAGCGCTTCGTGAATGACTTTTTGTGATAACTTCTGAGCCTATCCAAGCGAGTATCTCTTTTGCCACAGGATCAGCTTCTGGGATAGTGACTTGTACAGTACACATCCACATACAAAAGTCCTTTAGATACGTATAAGCTGGGTATAAGACTTGGTATAGACCAGCTAGAGCAAGTATTTTCTCCACTTCACCCATACCACTAGGTTTAAGGCGGTACAGCAGGCGCTGGATGAGCTCCAATATCGGGAATTGGCCAGTTGTGGCGCGCTTGAGATGATAGGGAACATATCCAGGAGTATCTAGTGGTTCAGGCCATATCTGATCATGTGATCTGAATGCAACAGAGGAATGGACGTTCCGCTGATGAGAAGGCGAAGATATCCGGGGCTCCATCTTGGCCCGGCCGTAAGCGAAATTTTCATGAAAGCTTTCTTGTCGGAGAGTATGATGAGCGCTGAATAGATGTGCACCCCAGGGTATATTTAAAGCGGATATGAACTACCGGGAAGGTGAGTGTACGTATATGGCAGGCAGCGAATGTTGATAGCGATAGACAGCAGTTCACGATATCCCAGTAATGTATGACAATGGGCGCAGCGAAAACTGAAGAAGGACGCAACCAAACGATTGAGAACTCCTGGCCAAAATTATTGTCTGCCAACGGCGCGGTTGGCAATTGATTGGACGGCTCCGACGCGATAGCTGGAGGCAAAGAGCGCAAAGCGTCTGAACTGCAATATTCTCCGTGGCCCGATAGGGAAAGAGCATAGACCACGCTAGAGTTTGCCCTAAACCCAATTGGGCTCTGGTGGGCTGTTTACTCAGGTACGTCATAAACCAAAAACACCAAGCGAACTGCTACGCCATTATGCGGTGTTGAGTCTGACTTTTCCTCTGCACTCCCAGCTTTCAAAAAGATCCTAAACCTCGGAATTCACTTGACAACCTAAGCAACCCGAAAAATCAATCAAGAGCATTCACCATGCCTGCCAAAGCCAGCACTCATGATCTCCATGTCGCGAAGCTCTTTTCCATCAAGGACTACGTGTGCGTGGTCACTGGAGGGGGTTCTGGAATTGGATTGATGGCTGCTCAGGCACTGGCTGCAAATGGTGCAAAGGTACGTCGCCGTGATAACATACGTAGGTAAGCATATCTGACAATGGAGTCAAGGTGTACATTACTGGTCGTCGCCAAGAAGGTAAGAGAAAGCTCGTTCAGGATGTCGCGATATGAGGCCTCTCAGCTGACTCAATGAACAGCGCTTGAAACGGCAGCCAAGTCACACAACCCCGATGAAGGTGGTCAGATAATACCCCTCTCGCCTTGTGATGTGACGAAGAAGGACGACCTAGAGCGGATGTACCAGGAGCTGGCATCCAAGGAAAAGTACATCAACTTACTAGTGGCATCTGCTGGAGTTTCTGGCGAAAAGGCGATCCCAGACGCGGAGAAGGCGACGGACATGAAGAAGAAGCTGTTTGACAATGAGACTTTCGAAGGCTGGGCCGACACGTACACGACGGACGTGACTGCCGTGTACTTCTCTACCGTTGTTTTGCTACCACTTTTGCAGGCTGGGACCGAAATTCACGGACACCTATCTGCATCGGTGATTGTGATTAGTTCAATGTCGGGCATCATCAAGGACGCGCAGGGCCATTTCAGCTACAACGCGGCCAAGGGCGGTACGGTGCACTTGAGCAAGCTCATGTCGGCCGAGTTCCAGAAGCTTCGGATTCGGGTGAACAGCATTGCACCAGGTTACTTCCCGTCTGAGATGACTGCAAAGGAGAGCGACGAGCAGCAGAAGAGTGACTTGCCGGACGAGAAGATCCAGGAGAAGGGCCACGTTCCACACGGACGGGCCGGGAGCGATGCAGAAATGGCGCAGGCGGTCATCTTCTTTACCAAGAACTCATATGTCAACGGGCAGATTCTGGCGGTTGATGGTGGCGTGCTCAACGTTGTTAGCTCTTGAAGCAGGGGCCAGGATACAAGGACAAGGGGCTGGGGTGACTCGGAGCCACCAGTGTGAAGCGTTGGATGGCAGGTGCATATGCGCGTGTACTAGTCGACTAGCTGGAGCATTACGTGATGTGGATTAGCGTAGGGCAGAAGCATGGGAGAGAGACAATCGAGCACAGAGGGTGACAGTCCATGTTTGGGTCGTGTGTGTGTTTGGCGGGACGAAGTTTCCTGTTTGGTGCAGATTGGCATTGGCAGACGGGTGGCCAAAGCAAAAGCCATGGTTCCCCACATTCCCCGCGATAAGGCCAAGGTTGACGGCGATATGATAACACATGGCTGACGAGAGCGAAGTACTTATGGTTGGACGCGACAATGACGGGCAATGTACTGAGTGGGTGGGACACCATGAGAGGCAGCTGGTGTGTACCTGCGCCTGTATGCACACGTGTACTGTGCAAGTAAGTGTAAGTATGTACGTAGGTACATGAACGGTGAGCAGAAGCACGTGAATACGCGTGGACAAGGTTGCGAGCCCTGCCCTGCAGACGGCCAAAAGTAAAAGTGCAGTACGGGAAACGAGCAAAAGAAAACAAGACAGACGTCGTGAATGCGCGGGTTGGGCATGTACTAATTGGGCAGAGACGAGCAAAGCAGGTAATCTGGAATTAAGTGGACGGCGGGCGAGTAGCACAAGCGAAGTGGGCGCATGTGCTGGGGGCGGGCATGCAGACGAGTGGGTAGCGGTCAGGTCTGGGTAGGCGGGCACAGCACAGCACAGCACACGGCGTCAATGGAGCGGTGGAAGGAAGACATTCCACCCTTCCCTCGCCCTTGTCTGCCCGACGCCAATCTCAACCTCAACCTCATCCTCGCCCTCGCCCTCGCCCTCGCCCTCGCCCTCCACCCATGACGCCGCCCTCGCACTGCGCGCGTGCCTAGCGACTTTTGACAGAGCCGGCCGACCCAGCGCAGCCACGACAGCCGTCTCTGGCAGGCGGCAGCGGCCCTTGGGATTCGCTGGCCAGGCTTGGAGCGTGTTTCGCGGCCAGGATCCCCAACTGATAATTGCTCTTTCACGACCAGGGCGTGCGACGGACCCCGCCAACAAACCACGCCGAGCGGCGCATGGACGAACAACACCCGTAGCCGTAGTAGCAGCAGTAGTAGACATCATCGGGACCTGAATGCAAACGCCCGCCGACGGCTCCTCCTGTTCCTGACGCCATTACAGTTACTGCGGTTGTCGTTGTCGTTGTTGTTGCTGCTGTGCTTCCTCTGCTGCTGCGCCCGCCGTTCTTGCTGCAGCTGTTCGAGGATATGCACACCGTAGCGAGCCACGCACCGCCGTCCTACCTTGACCTCGACCACGACTCTTGCCAGTCCCGTGACAAGCCGCCCACGGACTTGACGCGGACATAAGAAAAGGCCGTCACCAGCTGCTGGCACTGGGACCACGGCCGCCCAAAGCCATTATGGTCTCACATCCTCAAAGGCCTTCGCATGCGCCCTCCAACTCGCGCTCCTCACATCCCTCGTCCACCACGCCCGGAGGCCACTCCAAGAAGCCCTTGTCATCCTCCTCGTCCAATCACAATGGCCATCCTCGCGACCGCGACCGCGACCAGCGCCCAAGCAGAGAAGGCACCGCCCAAAAAGCCGCCCAAGATGTCGCCGGCCTCAAGGATTACCAGCTGGGCGACTGCTTGGGCAAGGGCGCCTTTGGCAGCGTCTACCGCGCCCTCAATTGGGGTACTGGCGAGACGGTCGCCATCAAGCAGGTTCGCCTCGAAAACCTGGGTGCCGCAGATCTCAAGAACATGGAGATGGAAATTGACCTGCTCAAGAACCTCAACCACCCCAACATTGTCAAGTACCATGGCTTCGTGAGGAGCTCAGAGAGCCTGTATATTATTCTAGAGTGAGAATTGCCCAAGTTGTTGACTTTGCGCTGTGCCAAGTGCTAATATGTCCAGGTATTGCGAGAATGGATCGTTGCACAGCATCTGCAAAAACTTTGGAAAATTCCCCGAAAACCTCGTCGCGCTCTACATGTCCCAGGTCCTGCACGGACTCCTCTACCTACACGAGCAGGGTGTCATACACCGAGACATCAAGGGCGCCAATATTCTAACAACAAAAGAGGGCTTAGTCAAACTGGCCGATTTTGGTGTAGCAACAAAGCAGTCGGGTCTAGACCAGTCGAGCGTTGTGGGCACGCCCTACTGGATGGCCCCAGAAGTCATTGAACTTTCTGGCGCCACCACTTCGTCAGACATATGGAGCCTGGGATGTACCGTTATCGAGCTGATAGAGGGAAAGCCGCCGTACCACAAACTACAGCCCATGCAGGCCCTATTCAGAATCGTCAATGATGAGCACCCGCCGATCCCTGGCAGCGCGTCTCCAGTCAGTAAACCCTTTGCAGTCCCTGCTACCCTGAAACGTCCGCGTGCTAACCCTTGCAGCTTCTGCGTGAATTCCTCATGGAGTGCTTCCAGAAGAACCCCACACTCCGTATCTCTGCCAAACGTCTTCTCAAGCACCCGTGGATCCTCAGCGCCAAGCGCACTGTCCCTGCGGTACCCACAAAACCTACCGAATACCAAGAAGCAGTCAAGTCTGTGCAAGAGTGGAATGAAGCCCTGAAGTCGCCCAATTCTCTGCGTAGGACTTCCCGCCTTTCTGGTGTACATAGGTCCTCTCCTTCAGCAGCAAACGGTCCTGGCGCAGTGTCCCGTAGAGCAGCGGTCAATGTTAACCTCAACATATCAAAGCACAGACCTACCGCAGAATCATTCCGCTCTCCCGAGTTAGATCACGACGATAATTGGGACAAGGACTTTGCTGAAAGCATATCCCCCCGTGCTCTGCAGATGCCGCACCTCAAGCCCCAGGATAACTTTGGTGGTCTCTTCTCGGGCGACAGGCTGAAAGCCTTTGCCAGTTTCGAGTCGGTAACCGAAACGGCGGATCTTGGAGACGGAGAAGCTACGCTCAAGAGCCCAAAGAGCATGCAACAGTACCAGAGTCTTCCAAAAGCGCCGGGCCAGAGAGTAAGCGAAAGAGCGAACAGAGCAAGCGCCAAATCTAGCAGCACTGGCCGATCTTCAAGATCAGCATCGAGTGCCACCGATTCAGAGTTTGAGGATAGGCACGAGGTACAGCCAAGAACGGCATTCCTTCGGGCAACACCACGGTCTACGCAGCCTCTAAGGCCGAGGACTGCAGCCCCAGCACGGCCCAGCCAGCTTTTCCGTGAAGATACTATTGAGGATTATTCAGATCTTATGCCAGCTGACGAGAACGCCTTTGCACGTAAATTGGCATCAATGCAGTATGCTCAGCCGCCCGCTGTGCAGCCCAAGCAAGCAGCCGCTGCCAACAACTTGCCGTCTGATAATTTCTCTCCCCGGCTCTTCCATCCAAGCGACTTGAGGGCAGGTCCAAAGTCAACACGAGACTTGAAGTCAAGTGGAAACATTCACCAACGATCATCGAGTTCGACGTCAAATCGCAAGTTGCACCGGACACAGTCTGAAATTGAAATTCAGAAATATGCCGAGGACGAAGGAGATGACTTCTCAGACGTCTTTGGTGACATCAAAGGTCGTCTTGCTAACCCTACCCGAGCCGAAAGCGACAGTGGAAGTGAACACAGCAGTCTTGCCATGATTACATCGAAGATGGCAAGTTCGTTCACCATTGCCGACGAAGATGATCTTGACCCATTTGCCAACCTGGACGAAGGTCTTGACAACATCAACCTGGAGAACAATGTTGCTCGTGACCGGGATGACCGACTGACGAAGATGACTGAAGGCCTCGTCGGCTGCTTGAAGATCAGCCAGCCAGATGATGAACTTCTTGAGATTGCAGACCAATTATTGCAAGTACTGCATGAATCACCGGACAAACGATCAATCATCCTGCGAAGCCATGGTATGCTGCCCATCTTGGAAATTCTTGGGACCCGGCCACATAACGAAGTAGTCCTGCCGCTTCTGAAGATCATCAACCTCATTATCCTGGAAGATGCTGAGTCGCAAGAGAGTTTATCTTTCCTCGGAGGAATCCCAACAATCTGCCACTTTGCCTCTAAGAAGTTCCCAAGTGACATCCGGAAAGAGGCTGCGGCGTTTGTGCGACAAATGTACCAGACAAGCACCCTGACACTGCAAATGTTCATTGGATGTGGAGGTATTAATGTGCTCGTCGAATTTCTAGAAGAGGACATCGACGCTGAACGCGACCTGGTGCTCATTGGTGTCAATGGTGTTTATGGTGTGTTTGAACTGCAGGGGCCAACGCCAAAGAACGACTTTTGCCGTATATTCTCAAGATCGAGCGTGCTGTATCCGCTCAGCTTAGTCTTGAACCGTATGGTTGAGGAAGATGGCGAGGTTGCACGACTCATTGTGGGCAGAATTGTTCAGATCTTCCTTATCTTTTCACAGGCAGAAAGCCATGTCAAGGATCTTGTGGCGGATCGGATGATTCTAAAGCGTAAGTCATTCTCATTGGCAACACTCTATAACACGACTAACAATCGCAGGTGTTCTCAAAGACCTTCGCAAAATGGCTCCACCACACCAAATCACTATGCTTAAATTCATCAAGAATCTGAGCTCCCTTTCTTCTACCCACGAAGCCCTCCAAAATTCCAATGCCATCGACATCCTTATCGATCTTCTAAAGGCTACTCGACAAAAGGACGCATTGAGCCGTAGCCAGAGTCGATCTACATTCGACCCCAAACGGCTACCGCCTTTCCACCGCGAAATCTCGAATCAAATCCTCAACACTATGTACAACTTGTGTCGACATAATAAGAGCAGACAAGAGGAGGCTGCCTTGTCTGACATCATTCCCTTACTCAAAGATGTCGTGCGTGAAGGCGGACCTCTCAAGGAGTTTGCCTTGCCTGTGCTACTGGAGATGGTCAACTCTGGCAAGGTAGCACGTAAGATGCTGTGGGATGCAAAGGGCCTTGCGTTTTACGTATCACTGTTGGGCGACCGCAATTGGGCTGTGACTGCCCTGGATGCCATCTTCGTTTGGTGCGTATATCTCATCGTATACCAGCTGCATACAGTAGGCTAACAATCATGCAGGCTTCAGGAAGAGACAGCTCGCGTCGAGCAATACCTCCTTTCTCCTCAATCGAACTTTACGGCTGCCGTCATCTCTGCATACACCTCTGCCGATCTGCCGCACTCCACGTTTGAGAACATGCTTGAGCCTTTACAGAAGGTAGTCCGTTTATCACCACCTATCGCTGCTTCGCTTGCTGTACCAGAGATCTTCAGTCGGACTGAACAGAAGCTTGGGCACAAGGATGCTGTAACGCGTCTCAACTTTCTTCGTATTCTTCGCACAATTTGCGATGCAAAGGATGAAGGATGCTGGCTCGTGCGTGCTTTTGGCTGCTATGAGCGAATCACCTGGCTCATGGAACACGATGCTGCTGTGCTAGTGAGGCAAATGGCTGAAGAGCTTGTCCGGGCTTGCGACGAGGTTGAACTCTCGGGTATCAACAAAGGCTCCAACGGCAAACGGAGTCTCAGTCGCGCATCTACTAATAACTTAAACCTACGGCGTCCTACTTCTTCAGCTGGTCGACGCGACGGCTCCGGCTCAAGTACAGGTTCTACTATGATTGGTAGCGGTATGGGACTGACACCACCTACACCAAACTCCCTCAAGAACACATTCATGTTGCCGCCTATGAATGGCACGCCTACATCCCTAGGCAGTGGGCGCGACCGCATCACACGCTCTCAGTCCTCGAACGGAATGTGGGATCTCGCCGAAGACCCCACCACTGTCCTTCCTCCATCTTCTGGTCGTTCTAAACCGCCAGCTCTAGCACGCAGCTCCACTTCCTTTGCTGCTATTCCGGGCACACCTGCTGCAGCCCGCACACCATCTCGCCCACCGTCTCGTGACGCTGCGTCTTCGCTCGCTCGTATAGAGGCCAACAACTCCAACAGTAAATCCAACTCTCGTCTCCCTAAAGCCCGCCAAGGGCGCCTCAGTGAAGCAGTAAATAGGAGACGACAAAGTACCGTTGGTGAAAATGACGCTCCTATGAACGGAACGCCAACTCCGACACCAACAAACGCTGCACCGCCTCTTCCGCGACTTCAAATAGTAAGACGTAGGAGAGAGACTAGTGGCGGGGAATTGAGTACCCCGGTGCGTAAAGCGACTGCGGATTAGAAGGCTGTTGTAGCTGGTGTCGACTTCCCAGCGGGCGATTGCGGATATCTGACGCAAGTCAGAAGACGGAGGGGATGGACGGGTGTTTAGAGACACAGCATGGCTAGTGTTTTAATCTGGTCACACTCGCGAGACTAGGTGTTTGGTTTCTCTCCTTGTCTATCTTTTTCTTTTTCCTTTTGTTCTAACATGCATACTGGCGCTAGGTGTTATCCAGACGCTGGCTCGGGCAAACAAAATGGGAGTTCCTTGCAAAGCGGGGCGGCATTGTCATTTGGATTTCAGGCGGCTGGGCAAAGCATTGATATAGACATCTTGCAAGCCTTGTTTCTTTTCCTATGTTTTGCATAGCCTAGGCGTTTTGCTGTCATTGGCTGTTTTCTCTGCAAAAGACAGAGAGGCGAGATGAGAATGTCTTCTTTCTTTTCTTCTCTTAACTCGGCATCAGACATTGATGAGTTGCAATGGTCATGTTACTGATATTGTATGCTATGGTGCGGTAGTAGTTATCGCGTATACCGACATGCGAATGGGTGAAGACTGGAATAGGGAATACACGCATAGGAGCCGAACGGTGAAGAAATATGAAAAAAGCATTCAAACATGACTGGCATTAGATTGACATACTACATACAGATTCCTTCCTTCGCGTAAAACAACGTAGGATACGTCCCCAACCTCTCATAAATCATGACACATGAGCTTGAAGCACTTACAGCTTCATCTCGATGAGGATATTAAGATTACAAAATAACCAGCCCAGCAACAGCCGCAAACACCACAGCTCCAGCTCCAGCAATCTTTGCAGCACCACCCGTAAACTGAGGTAGTACCGGACCAGTGCTCGTAGCATTCGGTAGTCTAGACGAAGCAACCGTAGGAAGCTCCACACTCGGCGAGGCTGTCATCCTCGTCGAACTTACTCTCGCAGTTGACGGCGACGGTGATGGCGACGAAGACGATACCAAGACCGCCGACGTCTCTTCCTCTGTCTCTGTCTCCACCGCACTCTCCGACACCTCAGTCGGCGTAGGCGAAGGCACCCCCGTCGGCTCTGCAACCGGCGTCGTCGTCTCCGCGGAATCCGGGATCAGCGGGACATCGAGCCCGAGTTGCTTTGCACACTCCTCTGCATTAAGGTTCTCCGGGCAGCAGTAAGTTTGGCCGCGGTTATCGTGGGTGCAGTAGTCGCCTGCGCCGCATGCATCTATTCATTATTTCATTAGCCACACTCTCCCTCATTATCAAAACACTTTTCAAAAAAGTCGAAAGAGATAGGTAAAAAAAAAAGGAGGGGGAGGGGGGGGCAACGTACTCCCAGTCCCATCTGTACAACAATGACTCCCATCTGTTGTCGAGTGACAACTTGTAACCGACCCGTTAGATGGACACTCGACGTACTCGGCACCGCAGGCTTCAGCGCATGTATCGCCGGGCTTGTCGCACACGCCGCTGGTGGGATAGTAGCCCTGGCGCTTTGCAATGGCCGACCCGCGCTTCAGCATTGCGGCGAAGGAGGGCGGGTGGTGTGCGTGTGCTCGCGGGGAGAGGGCGAGGGAAGTGGAGGTGAGGAGGGTGAGTGTGAGGAGTGCGTGTGGGATATGCATTTTGAATTATGTATGGTGTATAGGTGGGGGGGGGGGGGGGGGGTATTTGAGCGAAGAAGAAGTGTGTGTGTGTTGACTTGGAGGAATAAGGGAAATGGGGAAGTTGAGGGTTAGCTTTATATATCCATATATTCACCCAGTCTGTTATGGGCGCCTGCTTTTTTGGTCCTTTTTCAGCCATGGTATAGTAGTAGGCTATGTAGGCTAATGGTCCTGGGGCTAAGACGGTAACTTCCATCTTCTAGGCTCCGCCCCAAGTGTCCCCCCCCTCAGCCGCTCTTCTTCACCTACTTTCTATCCTCGGATTTGGCTTGGCTTTGCCAACATGGTATCTAGACCGGTTTTTTTTCCCTTTGTTCTCCACACCCTCTACGAGCGGGATTGGTCACGTTTACATCACTGAGGGCTGCGGATATGCATATATCGCTAGTGTTTTTTAACTAAGCCCATCGTACTTTTTTGCTTGATGCGAGTATGTGGTAGGCAATGAGGAGGGGGAAACAAACAAGGCAGACTTTCTGCGGTGTGCGCTTCGCGTATATCGCTTTCTGGGCCTGTTTTGCGGGGAGCTGGAAGTCAATGGGCCAATTAGGGGAAAGTGTGGCTGAACGATTGACGATAGGGCCCTTGTTTGGGTAGGTTGGGTGGATTTGAGTTTTTTTTCTTGTTGTTCCTGCATGTGTGGAGAAGGAGGGAGGTGCTATTTTTTTTAGAGCTGAGGTGCGGCTGGAGGTTGAGGGGATGTCGTAGGGTGAGGCTGATTGGTGCGTGAATTGCGAGAGAGATCTAAAGTAGAGATTTGTAGTTTGGTGATAGTTAGTTGTAAGGTATGATTGAAGGTAATGGTTTTTAACCGTTCAAGATTATGGGCAGAGAAAGTGCCATGCCGTATTTCTATTTTTTCTTTACCGTGGTAACATTGCTTTGACATCCGTATCTCTTCGACAGTATGGTCGATCCCGAGTAATGAGACCATAACTAGCGGTGTTTTGGCCCCCACAGCCACATTTCACCATCCCATCTCCGCTAGCCTGTATATACACTAGCGCGCTTGACTCCAGCGGTCAAGCTGAAAGCGTCACATGGCTGCCGTTTCCCCTGCGCCTCCACTTATTGCCTGACGATTCGTCGCCTACAATGCGTCCGACATTATTCAAGACGTCCCAAACTGTGCTTCTCGTCTAATCGGTTATGCCTCTGCCAAAGTGCCTCAGGCGCCCGGTAGTGCGTCCAGCCGCGTCCGCGAGCCAATCGCAACGGAAAAAGTGTCGCATGTGCAACCATCTCGACCCAAGAGGCCACGCCAACTCCGTCTACGAAACTGAGGCTGTGAAAGAGCCTCGCACGAGTTTAAGCCTTGTGCTTGATGCGTTGAGCCTTGCAAAGGTCAGGGAAAGTGGGTGTAGATATTGCTATGTTGTCGTCCTTGTACTAGATGCTTTCTTCAGTGGATGGAGAGGTGCGAGGGTTAAAGTACATGTTGATATTAAAGAGAAGGCTACGATTAAGATTACGCTTGGTGGGGAGCGCTGGAAGGATGAAATTGCGGAGATTTACGCTGCACCAGGTAGGCTACACTTTTCCATGGCGGATATCGCGCTTTTGCATGGCACGCTTGATTCCTTCTTGAGCACTCTGCATTAGCAAGTATTTGATTATCTACTACACTACTTGATACTATCTAACGACTTGCAGCGACACGTCCTCCATGGCCCACTCTAGGCTTTGCCCATCACATACCGGTCAACTCAGGATCTGATGACACGTTCAACTTCATTCGACGTTGTGTAACAGGTTGCATCGGAAATCCAAAACACACAGTATGCAAATTCCCTTGTCCTTCGGCCTTCTCGCCTCCTAAGCGTCTCCTCGACGTCGGCAGGAGTTCTTCGCCAATCAGACTCATCGACACACAATGCAAGAACTTTCAGTATGCTGCTCTGTCGCATTGCTGGGGGTCTTCCCAGCCGCTCGTTTCAACGAAAGAAACCTGGCCTAAAATGGCGGTCAACATCTCCTTTGATACCTTCCCGCCGCTATTCCAAGACGCCATTATCATCACCCGTCAGCTTGGCTTGCGCTACTTGTGGATTGACAGCCTTTGCATCATCCAGGATTCAATTAGAGACTGGGAGACCGAGTCAGCGAAGATGGGGAGCATCTATCAAAACAGTTACATCACTATTGCTGCGACACAGTCTGCCAACAGCAGTGTAAGATGCTTGGTCGAAAGGCGGAAGCCCGTAAAAATACCATATAACAATACCACTGGGAAACAATTTGCACTCAGAGCAAGGAAAATACTAGATCATCACCCGAGCCATGCCCCTGGTGGAGGTCCTGCAAAGCCAGTCGGTCCACTCACATCGCGTGCTTGGGCGCTCCAGGAGCACGTTCTCAGTACAAGGATACTACACTACACCGCCACAGAACTGCTGTTCGAATGCAAAACTTCGTATCGGTGCGAGTGTATGCCGGAGCGTAGGGCGTATCCCACCACGCCCTCGCTGATCCCCAAAGCTGTTGCCAGCAAGAAAGTAGATGCCGTGTGGCAGGCATGGCAACGCGTCATCGAGCACTACACTGCACGTCATCTCACCGTTGCGGCAGACAAATTCCCAGCAATCTCTGGTATCGCGAGTAAAATCAGAAAAGCAACACATTCTGAATATCTCGCCGGACTATGGAAACACAACTTGGCTTCTGACATGCTATGGCATGCCAATCGGTCAAATACTGCTTGTCCAGACAACTTTGCGCCAGAGAATTGGCGCGCTCCCTCATTCTCCTGGGCGAGCTTGGATGTACCTGTGAATTATACGCTGCTAGATGAAGAGGAGCGCGAAACATTCAAATCCATGGTCACTATTGTCGATTGCAAGGTTACACCTACTGGGCTCAACCCGCTGGGTGCCATTTCTAGCGGCTCTCTTACTCTGCGGGGCCCCACCATCTCTTGCATGTTGTCTGCGGAAAATAATCATGGGGCGTGGGAGTACACTCTCGTCATCAAGGGAACGAGTACCATTCGCATGACACATGACTGCTTACTCTCTGGAGCCAAGTTTGAGGATAGCAATGGAGAAAAGCAACGGACGGTTCGTCGAGCGCTGGCTATTGATGCCGTGTGTCGGTTTGAGGCGACAGTCATGTGCTTGGGTGTTGCTCGGTACGACAACGTTGTTGCGGGTCTTGTGCTCGGGATGTCGGCTCAGCATTCTCCAGCGTGGGAGCGACTCGGCACTTTTGCAGCAGGCACGGAAGCGATTGAGCGGTGCGAAGAGATGGAGTTGGTGCTTGTGTAAGGTCGATCAATGCTAGGGGGTCGAATTTCTATTTCCGGTGTTTTGATCAACAGCTCTCTCTGACATCATGTGTTTTAGCGTTCCGGACTTGAGGATTCGACTACAGCAGAATGATCAGCATATCAATGAAGATTTGGCTTCAAGTGTATTTGCTGGCAGGTAGAATTTGGCGGGATCGAGGAAATCGTGGGGTGTGCACAGTGTTGATGGATCTACAAATCTCGATGTCGGAGATGGGAGGCGCGCCCTCCTTTATATCGTATGACGCGCATATGTTAGAAGCATGGTTGCTATATTGCTGTCTAGTAAACCCTACATACAAGCTTCGACCAAATATCGAAGTAGGACAAGCGAAATACGTATATCGGAATTGCGCATCGTGACGTTGAAACAGATGAGAGTGAACTTGAAATTGCCTACCCTGAGTCGGTGACATGATCCAATTCAACACGTCATTACCATCGTATTCGTCAATTCGAGACACACCCGGGGTACTAAACATTAACAGCCATTGATTAAGCAGATCAAGCCAGTTCTTGGATGCGTCGGATTTAACCGCACGTCAATGAGGTTGTTCGCTAATCGTTCAAACGTGTGCGTAAGTTTAGTGAGAGGATATATCGTTTGAAGTGCCCGCTATGGAATCCCCTCCACGTTTGCATGAAGCGAATACGGTATGAGTACTAAGATTCAATACCTTAGTAGTGGCTGCTTACCATCCAGCCTCGTGGTCCACCTAAGCCCCTCCGTCCTTGATATTCCTGAACATGACGCTGAATTTTGCACGCTGACGCGGCTCAACAGCAAACTCCGTGGGATGTCTGCATACACTGAGACTGGAAGCCCTAAGCATATTGATTTTTGGTCTGGTTAGTCTTTGTTCAGGCAGGCAGCCTTTCCTCTTTTGCCCTGGCAGTCACCAATGTCAACGTCAACCTCGCCTTGCAAGTGTCCGCAATGTGAGCACTGCCTCGCAAGACTAAGCCGAGATACGTTGCCTCGAACGACGATGCGCACGCCAAAACAAGGCTGATGCCTGGTCGCGCAGCCCGTCAAGCAAGGTTGGGTCCAACGTCTTAGCATGATGGGGTCGTGGCTGATTGTACTAACTATAATGGCTTTCTTGTCGCTCAAAGAAACTTGTCGTCTCTAGTACGTAGTAAGTAAGCGAACCCTCTTGCAATCGGCATTTCATACGTTAGCTCGCATCTGCAGGCTGTGTCCCCCACCCCCCTTTCTCCCAATTATTGTTCTCGACCCCATGAGTCCATCTAGAATGTACCATTTGTAAATCTTTCGATCCCCTTGATACTTGGTTCATCTGCGAATTATTGAATCGTGTGCCAAGAGCAATAGTAATTACGGGCCTAGGTCCTGGCACTCTCCCGTCTTTGGGCTGACTCGCAGACGAATAACAAGCTCAACGACAACGATTAGTTGGATGATGCCATTTTTCAATAGAGTTAGACCTTAACTATGCAAATACTTTTTGTCTGTATAGAGTTCTATGAAGTAATGATGCTTTCATCTGACATATGCAGGGTGGAGGCAAAATGCGCGTCGAAGAGGTGAATTCACAACCACAGGAGTCGTCAGGTTCTGCGATGAGCAAATAGAAATTGAGGAAATGTTAGGAAGCCTGTAGGCGATGTTTCAGTACTGCACGATATTATCGATTATCTCAAAAGACGAGCAAACAGTAAGTTCTCCTTGGTGTGTTGTCGTCGTTGTTCTAGATGATGTTGCACGTGCTATCCTCCTATTCAGGTACAAGTGCGCCGATCCTCGACTAGCGTGCCTTTGGGCGAAACACTTCGAAACGCCCGCATCTACGCTTGTTGTGCCACGGTCCGCGCCTTAGACACTCCATTCACGCAAATAGGACGAAAAACGGGCCCATCTGCCCCACAGCTCATTGCATCATGCTAGTACCCAAGATGATTTACTTTTGGCGCTGTTTTGCTGGGCGGTTGGCCTGAGACCCAGTGTAGACGCCTCGTTTCACAGGCCGAGTGTTTATATAGAAGAATAGCCTTCAACGAGCGATGGTGCTTTACCGCCCGCACAAAAGAATTCTGGCAGGTTTGTTCGGTTTCTAACATCGTTCAGTTTTTTTGTCTTTTTTTGACCTGTGTTCGCTGGTCGTTCGTTCGTTTCGTCACTCGTTTGAAAATACAATCTATTCTAGCACAATGCTACACTCGCTTTTCCTTCTTTCTCTGCTTTCGAGCACGGCCTTTGCCGAGCTTTCGAAAAGCAACTTAAAGACTTATGTTGGAAGCCTAGAGCTTTCGACTCCTTTCTCGCCAATCAAGGACGACTACCGCACTGGACTACCACACCACCACCGCACACCTTTTGCGGTCTCACCGGATGGAAAGTCAGCATATCTCGCATACCTTGGGGCGTCAGGAAAGGGAGTTCACGTACAGAAGGTCGACCCTGTTACCTTCAAGGCTGTCGGAGATGCTGTGACGGTGAGTTGCGCAAAGGAAGCTGGCGGTCTCATTGCTCATAATGACGGATTCGCCCTTCTTACCAACGAACCCATGGATGCCGGAACACAAAAAGCTCCCCCAAAAAGAGATTCTGTAGCCGTACTATACCGCTGGACCCGTGGCAAGCGGGCTTTTAAGACATTCCTTGGTGGCCCAGACAATGTCGGTGAGGCAGGCGCAACGTGTTCACCATATCTGAATGGTGATCTTGCTTATTCCGAGGACACTGGCATATATGGAGCCTATTTTGTTGTTGCCAGTTACGATGGTCCTGCACAGGGTCACTTTGGCGATTCGATGCAATACATCAGCGATAACGGCACCATTCAGAAAATCGAGGGCGCCACTAAAAACTGGGGATGTTCCTTCAACACTGGCATTGCACTCGAGGCTTCTGCCTCCGCACCTTTTGCTAGTGTTTGCGCTGACGACCAGGGTGGAATCTGGCTTAACACAGGTGGTACTGGCATGGAAAAGACTGGTGTGAAGGTCTCGAACGAGTACGCTAGGAACGGTGCCGCAAACGAGCCCATGGGAGGCATCTCTGGTTCCTACAGCAGTCTTACACGATTCATTAACAAGGACTCTTACATCTTCACCTGGGTATCGCGTGGCTCCAAGGATTTGACCGAGAACAAGCAACTGGGTGAAGGATACACGACCTCCTCGTACCGAACCAAGAACCGTAACGTCGCCATCGCTACCTTTTCCGACAAGAAGACCATGGTCGGCAAGCAAGCCACTAACCAGCCCGGACCTGATGGCGACTCGCATGTCAACTGGATCACAACTGGTTCTTCTGATTGCCAGAATGCCCGCGTAGCCGCTTTTGATGGTTCCAACGCGCTCGTCACATGGGAGGAGATTGCTGAGCCAACTTGCAACTTCCCAGCTATGGGCTGCGAGGGTGAATTCTCGGGCACTTACTTCCAGCTCGTCAAGGATGGTAAGAAGGTTGGCGAGCCGGTCAAGTCTATGGATGTGTATGTTGCTGGAGACATGGTCACCATGGGTGATGGCCGTATTTGCTGGCCTTATGTTGATATGAGCTGGTCGCTCAATGGTCCTGTTGCCGACCGAAAGACGACCAATGCTATCAGCTTCGCATGCATGTCATCTTGCCAAAGCAAAGCTTCTGCACCATCCGATTCAGATGCACCACTCAAGCCCTCTTCGCCATCGAAGCCTGTCTCGTCGCCTGAGCCTGCTGAGCCATACAAGCCTACTGAGCCATACCAGCCTGCTGAGCCATCTAAGCCATCTTCACCTTCCTCACCGCCCGTGTCCAACGCTCCCTCAGCCGCGCCCCCCGCGTCCTCAACACAACCTCGGCACAACGCCCCACCAGTCCCCACGCTCTCCTTCTCCCTCTTCAACCCGGACTCCACCCCATCCCCAACCCCCAAACCAACTCCATCCCCAACCCCATTCAACGACAACAAACCCCGCCCCTACGAATCCGTCTACGTCCCCGGCTCCCTCTCCTTTGACCCCATCATGGCCCCGGCCTTCACTCATGTCCTCCCGGGTCTACCCGGCGAATTCACAAATGGGCCTGTGTACTCAACTACCAAGACGCCTGCTGCGCCTACGGGATCCCCAGTGCCATGTTCTATTCCTGGTGCTGGCGGGTCGTATGGGGATTCGTACGGTAGATCATATGGTCGTGCAGGTGTGTATGGAGTTAAAGGAGGTTCATATGGCGATGCGGGCGCCGATTCGCCGTGTACGTTGCGGACGGTTGTTAGGCCTTCTGCTAGCAGTGCGGCCTCGTATTAAAAACAAAATAAACAGGGCCTGGAAATTGAGTAGTATGCCAGGAACCTTTTTGTTTAGGTGTTTAATCGTAATCAGGGGGGCTTCTTTGGACACTCTCTTTCTCTTTCTGTTTTGTATGGGTCTTTTATACACGATGTTTTTTCCTTTCTCTCTTTCCTTTTCTAACACTTTTTCTTTTCTTTTTTTGGAATGGGAGATGCGCTTTAGTTGAATACCCGTTGAGTGGGGACGCTGGTTTTTTTGATATGCTAAAGATAATTTGAAACGCGATGAAAGACTTTTAACGATTTTGTGTTTCTATGGGATATGTGCAATGATATGTTTGTGCTTTCTTTTGCTTGAAAATTGTATCTAAGCGATTGAGTAGGTCAAGTCTCCATGTCCATTTAAGACAGTAAATCAAGGTATCCGTGACAACTGTTATTCGAGGCTATGCTCCTCGTAGTCTTCACTAGCTTACTGAAAGCAATCATAGTGAACAGGATAATCAATACTGTGAAACGTATACCATCAATAGTAGCTAGGAATAACACAAGGGGTATTACACAAGCGCTAGCGAAATGAATGCCAACAAAATCAAACCAAACTCCTCGCTTTCTCACATATAATGACGGATAAACACTGCCAATCCGACATCCAGCCAGTACCAAACTTCCCAACCTCAGGTTGCACGCATTCAAACATGATCGTGCCTGCCCAACTTCTTGCCCATCTTACCGAGCGTCTTCGCCTCAGCCTTTTTGATCTTAGCTAGTCGCGCCCTGTATAACTCGTCAGTCCTCCACTCTCTCAAAGATATCAAGTAATACAAAAGAAAAGAATAAAAAAAGACTTACTCCTCAGTAGCCTCCCTTTCCAACCTAGTAACATGCTCGCGCGCCTCCCTAACCGCACTCCTCGCAACCGCCAACGCCCTATCCGCCTCTCGCTCTGCCGCCTCGGCATTCGCTAGACTCTGCTTTGCATTGACGATGCTGGGGTCCCCGTTAGATGACCGACTGAAGAAGCCAGAGGAAATGGTGTTGTTTGTTGATGTGCCGGAGCGCGAGGCTGAGCTGCTGTGGCGGTGGTGGTGCGTGGTTGTAGTAGCTGCGTGGGGAGAGGAGGAGCGACGACGAGAGAAGAGCCCTGATTTTTGGGTTGGAACTGGGGCGGGAGGAGGCGAAGGCTCGCGGCGGGATCCGAAGAGTGGCATATTTGGTAATGTTATTTCCTTGGAGTTATCACTAGACTTCTTGTACAGTGACTTGAAGTAGGCTGGATAAGGATAGATGCCTTTGTTGTTTGAGGTTGTGAGGTACGAGATAAGAGAGGTGGGAGAAACCGAGTTTGGATATCTGGAATTGACTTGTTATATACAATTCGCGCTTTCCATCCCGTCATGTCGTCGTTGCTTCCCATGTATGACACCAATCTGTCATCCCGTTGTGCAGAAAAGCAGGGTTCAGACTGGTGACATCGACGTCACAGCCCGCCCCAAAGAAGTTGTGATCAGCACACATGCAGCGACCGCCACTATCGTCATCGCGCTGTGTGCCGCGCTCATTGCAAAACAACAGAAAAGGGGCAAGATGGTTTGATGCAATATGAAAATGGTAGTTGAGCAGTTTGCTAGCGTTGGTGTTGAGTGCAAAGGTGGGTCAGAAACAGGGACAAGTGCCGGATACGACGGCGAAAAACCCTTGATACCCCAGGCTTGAGAGTGGGCTAAAGAGCTTGATTGAACTTCACGAACAAGGTTTTGGAGGCATGTTGGTGCCGATATAGCCGTTATTGAAAAGGCAAGCTTGTTTGTTACACAGGCGAGGGCTATGAAAACGGCCCGATGGAAATCCTGTGGGTCAGACAGGCACAGCGCAAGACTGGCAATGCGAGATGGAAACATGATACTTTGATAATGTTGTTATTCTTCTATAATGAACAGTGGAAAACTGCCAGATTCATGCGCTCGCGCGCCCATGTATACCATTTTTGTACTCAAGACGCCGCCCAATGCAACCGCTCCATGTTACGACAGAAGACCAGATTACCCACATTGAGCATGGTCACTTTGACCGACCACGAGTTTGCTCGTAGTCTTGAGGATGCTAATGACCATTACGGTGCATCCGAATGCCACTACAGCACCGGCTACGTATGTCATTGTGCTTTTTTGCGATAGTTTGATGTAGCAGAGAGGTGGGAGAATGAATGCGAGTGCGCAAGCAGATGTTGCGCCAAACAACTCAAAAACAACGCCAATGTCGCAGGTGAGAAGGGAAAACGTGAGAGCAGAAACGACAAGCGCACTCGTAAAGATTATGTGGCGGTTGGGGTTGTAGTGTTCATCGGGGAACCAGTAATTGTTCATGACTTCTCGGCAAACAAAGGCTTCCAACGGAAGTGTGGTAAGCATGTTGAGGCCGAAGAATAGACGTGCAATGTTGACCATGAGATTATCGTTTGGGAAATTGTTGAGCACATTGCCAAGCGTCTTGTCGCCAAAGGTCAGGTAACCCGACAGTGCCATGACGAGACATGCGACAAGGGATATGCTGGTGCTATAGTGTGTGACGCGGGAGAAACGATCGATGGTGGGCTTGCGCAGGGAGCCGTATATGAGGAGGCTGTTGTGGTGGCAGACAAAAGCAAAAGCTATGACGCCTATAGATTCAAATATGCCCGAACGGATAATGAGGGAGCCGCGTAGTTGGCCTCTAGCCTCGGTGGGAACGCGGAAGGATTGTGTAACAACAGTCACGATGATCACGGTCATGCTGATCAAGGCGAAGCCACTGGCTTTGGCAAGCTGTAAACGAATTAGTTTGTATATTCTCTCGCTCGGGAATAAAGCTACCTTTGAAATGTCACGGTAAAGCGACAGGGGAAACGATATGCCGAGAATGAGTATAATCATGACAGCTCTTCTGTTGGTGAGTAACCATAGGAAGGACATGTCTTCTAAAGAAGGGAACAGTGAATCCAAAACCTTCGGTATTGTGTCACCGATAATAACACAGAAGGCTACCATGCCGCCAAAGGCGCTGTATGCTGTCAATACATGTGTTTCTAGATGTTACAGAGCCGACGTACAAGAGCCATTGCGCGAGGGATATAGCCACGAGCCCGGATTTCCCAAAGCAGTGTTGTACCGTCGCCTGGAAAGAATCTGTCCCGCTGAGCTTCGAGTTTATGACAATGAGCCGAATCGTCCAGTCTACGATGATGGTGAGGCCGATGAGCAGAGCGGTCCCTGTCAAGAGGCCAGCATTGCGGATAGCGTACGGTTGGCCAATGATACCAGCCCCTCTACTCCATATTAGCAAGTGTTCCTTCATCCATTGCTCTCAGTGTAGGCCTCACATTATACTATTGGCCATGTTCATGAATGCGCTTCGCATTCCGCTGCGTGGCCGTGCGCTCTCCAGGTGGTCTTCTGGGTTGAAGTTTTGCTCAGCCACTGTGACACTCGGCGCCTCGATGCCAGTGAGCAGAGGCAGCCGCTGTGTCCTCTCCTGCCCCTCTCCGTCATTCATATAATCATCTCCGTCCAGTTCTACCCAGTCGGCGCTGCCGTTTGCATATCCATTTATACTCCTCCTCGGCTCTTCGAAACGGACTCGGTTCGGGGTTCTCGGAGCGCCATCTGGGCGATGTTGTGCAAAGGACGACTGCCGCTTGATGCCGCCATTTGGACGTGACCCTGGGGGCGCTGGGGAGGTGGATGTAGCTCGCGACGACGAGGGCGATGGCGATAAATGTCGCGGACTTGGTTTGATTTCGGGCTCTAATTCAGAGTCGCTGTCTGAAGGATGCTCATGTAGGAGCTTTTGGCTTTCGCTCATCGTGGCATTGTCAAAACTCGAGAGATTCGTACCTTTGGCCAGCGTGGAACCGTCATCCCCGAGTTATTACATCGGTCCCAAGAACACGAGACCCCTGTAAATTTGCTAGTCTGGATTAGGAATGGTGCATCCCTTCTCCGAACATCCGCCTGGACGAGCTGCATCGGTCTTTCGTCCACAACCGTTACAGGATAGCCCATGCATCAATGTGGGCATCCAGTCTCGAATTAATGTGCTATGCGACCTCTACTCTAATAGACTCTAACTCGATGTCGTCTGTTCCGTGTTCGAGGATACTTAGATTCAAGCCCCTAATCGTGGTTGAGAGAATGGCGTCGCCCAAGTTGCATTTCTGCCTGTAGTGGGAAGTTTAGGCGATCCACATGGGAGACTTCATGTGTCTGAGACATGTGCATAGCTCTTCAAATCTCATATTGTGGGAATCTTGGGTCGAAGTCGACAAAGATCATTTCCACTCATCTCTTTCATCAAAGCTCCGAGTAGAAACCACCCACTTTGGAACGTCCGAGACGTATCTTGGGGACATAAGTAAAATGAACTTGAGGGTCTTTCAAGGAACGTGTAAAAACTTGATACTATTAAATGAATAGATATTTGCCACTTAGCACTCTGTTTATCTGTCATCAAACTCGTCAAAGGCGTAAGTCTGGCCTATTGTTCATATCCATCACTTACCTGAAAAGGAAACACTCGTAACATAACACACAGTGTACCAAGAGGTTTCTCGTTTCCTAGAACGCACGAGTCTAAGAGTAAGAATTCAATGTGGCACTGGAACCTCCTGTCGTACAGTGCTGGCCAGCATTATGACCATTTACAACGCACACAGATGCTCCACAATGCTCTCAAGAGCAACCTTCTTATATCCCCCAATTTTTACCTACACAATCTGAAAACATGACCCCAAAACCAAATTACTAACCCTAACCCCAACTCTGAACCGCGTACAAAAGAAGATGCCTTACCTATCCAAACTCAAGCTCTTCAAACAGCCCAAAACTCACAAAACTGCCCCCAACCCCACCCCTACTAGTCGTCCAGATACCCAGGTTAAGAATGCTCTCACCCAGATTAGGCACCCTCCTGCCCAGGACAAGCATTCTCCCACTCAGGTAAAGCATGCTCCCATCCCAGCAATCCATCCATCTATCTATACACCCACTTCCATACCTAAGAAGCCTGAAACGTCAGAGCCAGACTCAGAGGAAGAAGACGTGATGAATATGATCAAGCCTGACCCGGAAGAAGTAGATGAGCACTGGGATGAGATGGAGGATCTTACAGAAGACCGTGAGTGGACTGACGAGCAGCTGATGGATGAGGCACGCCCAGGACGTCGTCACGCTGCTTAGATGCCCATTCTGATTCCGACAGTCATGGGATTTAATGTCATCAACATGTAGTAGGAAGTACACTGTAAGACGAGGAAAGCTCATGTAATGTCTGTGCCTACGTGCCGGGACGCACGGTGTAACGGGTCACTTTTTCTTTCGGGTGCCCGGATTGTACCAACCATGCCTATAAATGGACAGGTCTAGCGTGCATCTATTTTTCAGCTCTTGCTCTTCTAGTGCATCAGCCTCTGACACTGAGAGGCGTGTTGTTGACCACGCTGTCGCCCGTTCTATTAGTGCCGTCTATCGACTCTCCTCTAATACCCCCTTGTTTATTCGCGGTAGTATAAACTTCTATACAGCTCAGTGGGCTAGAAGCAAAGCTAAGATGGCAAAGATCAAGACTGCACACTCAAAGAGTCGACCTAACGTGAGGAGTGTGAATCCCGGCAGTTTCTCCGCGCGGACAGCACCGAACACCAACTTTGTGATTTTATGGTACCCTTCAAAACAATTAAATTTTTGTTAGAAATCACTCCTAAAGCGCCTAATAAGGCAACTCACAACTCATATCGGGCCCAGCCCTCCCTCTGACAGAGAGATGGCGGTGCCAGGTACCCCAGGGCAGACACTTCGACCTCCAGAAGTGACACACACGCGCCCTGAGGACCCAAATACCCCTAGCCTAGCTAACCTACGCACTACAAAAAGACACAGGCAAGCCGAAGCAGCGCCTATACCTATATCGTTCGGTGGTAGTGCTAACAAGAGACAACTGGTGACGGGCGCGGTTACGGAGAAGATCACGGCAGCCCAAGAGGCCGCCAAAACTAGACACAGCATCATCACAGCTATCGCGAACGCGATTGATCATTGCCTAGAGAACTTCACTAGCATAGCGGAGCGCCTGGTCGCACAAGAACTACAGCAACGTGTGGTGTATGCCCTAACCAACTCTATCCACCACCCATCCACGACCACCCCCCAGCCTGTGAGCGACGCTGGGCCTAAGCCTACACGAACATATGCGAAGTCGCAAAACCCCCAACAGCCACTCTATGCAGGAAAGGG